TTTTTAATAATAGTTAATTTTACTAATTCTTAATTATAGATTCAGAAGATTGTATAATTTATAAATATAAGCTTTTAATATTATAAAAAATTTTAGTTTATTTAACAACTTAAATTAGACTTAGTTTATTATTTTTTTTTAATTATAAAACTTACTGGAACTTAATTTATTTTATAATTTATTAGATATTTAATTTTTATTAAGTAATCGAGAGTTTTATTTAGTATTATAATTATAATAATATTAATTATCTTTATTCTATTATAACTAAATAGAAATAAATAAAATATCTTCTTAAGCTTTTATATCTTTTTTTTTTATATTCTGTTTATTTAAGAACAGTAGGCCTACTATTTATAAGATTTATAATATCTATAATAATTTTTTTAATTATTTAAATTACTTAATTAACCGACTAATAAGAAAGCAGGTATTCTAAAAAAAAAGATTTTTAAAAATTTATAGTATATATATTAAAAGCTCCGAAAATACTACTATTATATCTATTAAATAAAAGATTATATTTATATAATTATAACTATTCTAAACCTAATATTAAAGCTTAAGAAGTTTAAAAAAATATTTAGCTGAATAATAATACTAACTGGTATTATAAATACTAAACTATTTTTAAAAAGATATTTTATTTTTATTATAGTTAAAATCTGATTATTAATATACTATTAACTATCTTCGGGTTACTATCAGGCCTAAATAAAGTTTTTTATAATATTTTTAAATACCGAAGACTCTTACTAGTAACTAAAATATTTAAAGAACTTAAAATATATCTAAATATTAAAAATATATAGCTTATAAAAATATTTTTAATTAAACTAATATTATTTTAAATATTATAAGATATACTAATATTTTTACTTACTAGAAGTCTTACTGTAATTAGTTTTTTATTTTTTATTAAATAATTAAAGATTTTCTCTCAGTTGCTATTAATAATATTAGTATTAAATATTTATTTAATAATTTTTAAGATATCTGTTACTATCGCCGAAGCTGTTTTTATACTAATATAATTAAAGTAGTAATATTTTAAATATATATTAATTATTTTACTATTAATAAGAAGTACTAAAATATTTTTAATAATTTTAATCCAGATTTAATTATTTTTATATCTAAGAAATAAAAAAAAAATAAGATAATTACTATCTTCTATATTAATAAAAATAAAAATATAAATAATCTTAAAGATAATCCAGAAGATAGATTATTATTAAAAATAAAGAAACTAGCTTTATTTAAATTTTTAAATATTATATATATTTAAATAGAGATAAAGACCTAGTTTTTTTAATTTTTCTACTATTATAATTACTGTTCTAAATAGTATAAAAAATAGTATAATTTTATTAGTTTATCTAATATTAGATATTATTTTTTTTGAACTAGATTCTATAAAAATTTTTTTTAAAGTATAGTATACCTCTTAGCTCTACGGGGGGAGAGGTCGAGTAGATTAAATAAATTAAATAAATTAAATAGATTAAATAAATTAAATAAATTAAATAGATTAAGCAGATAAGTCGAAAGAATTAGAACTATATTATAATATTAAATAGATAAGCTAAATTTAAAAAATATTATTATATTATAATTAAAAATATATTATACTTTGTATATTATATATATAAAAAGAATATATATATTACTAATTAATCTACAGTTATTAATTTATTTATTATATCTGATTTTTCTAACCGGCAGGTATAAACGGTTAAAATAATAGTTATATTTTAATCTAATTATAACTATATAATTAAAATTTTTTTATATCTTAATCTGACCGCCAGGTTATGGCCAGGTTAAGGTTAAGATATAACAGTCAGGTTAATCCACTCTAATATAAATTATTAGATATTTTTCTAAGATAAAATAACTAATTTAAATATAAAAAAACTAGTAAAGTTAATATTTTTAATTATATATAAAACTTTAAAAAAATCTTTTAAAAATTAAATAGAATAAAACCTGTAGTTTGAAAACTACTAAAAATATTAGTTTTAATAAAGATTTTAATATATATATTAATATAGTACTATAAAAAATTAATTTTAATAATTAAGTTTTTATTATTATAAATAGCTTTATAAATCTATTAATTATATAGTTTTTTTAATAGTCTAAAGTATATAATATTAAGTAGTTAAAGCTTATAAAATAAATAAAAAAATATATATAAAAATATAATTTTATAAACTATATAAAACTAGTTAAATTATTATATTATATAACTATTATAGCTGTTAAAAATTAGTAATTAATATAAACTAACTATTTATAAAACTATATATTAGGTAAATATATTTTAAAACTATTTAAAATTAAGCTTATTAATAGTTTATTTATTTTTATTAATATTAATATAATAAAACTTTAAGCAGACTTTATACTAAGTTAATTAGTAATATTATACTATAAAAATAATTTATAATAATAAAACTATTTTTAAAACTAAAATTCTAATAATTAAAATTATTTATTTACAGTTTTTAAACTATATATATTTTATTTATAATTCTTATATTTTAAAGCCGCAGATTATATATATAATTAAAACTATTTCTATTTAGAATCTAGTTTTATTTATATTTTAAATATTTTTATAAAAAATACTATATTTTTAAATTATAAAATAAACTAATTTAAACTATTTTTAGATCAGCTGGAAATTCTTATATTTAATATATTAATAATTATATTTTAAAACAAATTTAAATTTTAATTTAAAATAATATTTAATAAAATAATTAATCTAGTATTCTAATATAAATTTATATTAATTTAATTTTATTTTTACTTAAAGAAACAGTTTAGCTGAAAATTAAATATTATAAATTCTAAAAAATAATCCGCGGTATACTATATTAAAAAACTATTATTTTAATATATTTTTTTAATTAAAAATAGTTTTTTATAATTAATATTTTTTTAAGTATAAGATTTAATACTATTTAGATATTTTTTAAAAATATTAATCTTAATATTAAAAGCTGCAGCATACGCAGTTTTTATAAAAAATTTTTTATATTAAAAAGTCTTAATAGTAAGAATTATATATTTATTTTTATTAATTATATTATAGAATATTAAAAATTAGAATAATTTAGTAATCTAAATATGTTTTCCGGCTTTAAAATAGTTAAAATAATTAAGTATATTAAGGATTTTGGTAAGAGCCGGCACGGCCGCCGGTTCAGTATTATGCCGGTTCGGTGTCTGATTATATTATGTTTATCAGCTTACATAAGTTAGTTGAGTTGATCCTGCTGATAGTACTAGATAAACACAAATTATCTGAATTTTTTTTGGGCTCAGATAGAATATTCCTGCAGTATATAATATTAAGTCTTTTATATAAATAGAAATATTCTATATTATTTTATAAATTACTGTTTTTTATTATTATAATTTAAAATTTTTTTATATTCTTAAATATTTTTACTTTTAAGTAATTTTTCTAAGTTATTTTTAAGTACTTAAAAAATAACTTAGAAAAATTACTTAAAAAATTATAAAGAATTAGTTTTAGTATATATAAAATTATTAAAAAAAGTAGTATAAAATAAAATTTTTTGTATATATAAATAATAGAATTACTTAAAATTATATAACTAAACTACTTATTAAGCAGTTTTTGTTCTATGTGAACCGAAAAAGTAGTACAGCCGACCTGCAACCATTTAGTACTAGCTGATTTTCGAACACTAGCCATGCACATCTTTAAATGGCCCAGATTAAAAAGCCATAACTACCTCACTATTATAGAGAGCTATATAAATTCCTTGGCTTGCGCCTTGCGCATCTTGTAAAATGATAGAAACTCCCGTTACCAAAAGAAATACGCAGCAACACGTGCTGACCGTTCTCACCTGTTAGGCGGTACTTGAGGGAAGGCGGTGTCAGATGTGGCAGACCTGAACCAAACAGCGGGGTTCCGCCTTTATATCAAAGTAACCCAGGAGAAACATCTATTGCGCCGACTAGTGCTGCACACCGAACCATCCACGTGGCAGAGTACTGTGTAGTCTCAATACTATTTAGAAGTGCTCTGTCCTTTTCAATTTGAGCAATCCACCTGCTTCCAGCTAGGCCTCGCTGCCAATCACATCAACGTGGCGTATACTCCCCGAACCGCGCAGCGAGCCGCAGGAGATGGACCTGGAGAAATTGTTTGCTATACATTCGATTCTTCACCTCATATATCACCGCAACAAGAATCAGCATAGCAATACTAAGTGGTGGAAGTGGCTGGCGATCTTGAAGCGAACAACCCGGAAGCTCGTCATGTCTATTGGGCATCGGCCATCACACATCGCAGGTCAATCTTCGGTCCCAAAGTACACGAAACCCCTGGCGCGCACTATTATACCAAGATGTTACCTGTGAGTCGAAGTCCAGAACAACTCAAGGGTCTACACATATGGAAAGATGCGCTGATCCCCTTATAAAGCGTCTTCTCAACGGTTGTGGCCGACGGGCAGTTCTCCACACTTGGGGCAGTGCTTTTAGCCACGCTGGCCCGCCTTGCTAAGGCAATTGGAATCCGGAAGGAGCTCAAAATCCCTGCTACGACGTTGGGCACCTCTGCTCTCGGCAGCAGCAGCGAAACGACCAAAGAGGAAGATATAGGGATAATCGTTTCACGGGCCAGACACAAGGCAGTCACACCATTACCGCCAGACCATTGTGAACTGGATGATCTGGGTCGCATCGCGTACCATAAAAGTACAGGTAGCCTACCAAGGGGTTCAGGACGCTGCGAAGAGACGAAGATGGAGGACCGGATCCAGAAGAAGAAAAAGAAGAATAGGAGAAAGGATGCCATCGACGATTTGTTCGACTCTTTGCTGTAGGTGAGCTGGATGTGCACACTGTCGACATGCCTTCCAGAATCATCAACCAAAAAGTCTTCAATCTGTCTTCGTCAGCGACACCCGGTGGTACCGCATTCTCCGTAACCCGCGCCTATTTCATGCATATTATGAAAATTCCCCAAGTAAATTGACACCGAGATGGCCCATGACAGCCCATGCCATCATATAAAGATATTTAGGGGAGAAGACTGTCCAAATGAAAAGATGCGCCCTCAATGTCGCACAAGCGATCATGACACATAGCGATGATGTTGCTATATGGAAAGTGAGAGTAGTCATATGGACCTCTTTCCCCTTCCAGGTTTGTCTATACCGCAGGCGTCGAGCAGCCGAGGCCCACCATATTGGCCCAGCCCAATTGCCAACAAAAGTCAGCAGACCCACCAAGAAAACACTGTAATGGTCAATACCATTGTAAGCATTGGAAAGGTCGACGGAAGAAATGGCATTCGAACCACCGAATGCGAAGAAAGTCATATATTGCATCAGGAGGGATGTGATCGTCAATTCAATGCCAGAGAGGTTCATTGAAGCAAATGTAACTGCTTGCAACCTGAAAATTAAGAACAGTGGAATATTCGTGGTCCGAGACTGTGTGATCAATAAGAGAGCGAGGGCTTCGTGCATAACGCGGGTGTGCATTCCTAGCCTGCGTTAGTAAATTATCGAAGTAAGTAGGGCAATTGCTATAAATTTACCTGACTTGACTGGTCCCTTTTTACAAGTATTCTTCCTGCTGTATAATGTGACCAGGATAAGGAGGAGCAACCCTACGAAGACAATTCGTGAAAGGAGAATAAGCGGGACCTTATTAAAGGCCTGTTTTAAGGTTCCTATGTGAGTGGTCCCAAGGAGCTCAGGGAAATCCGAGACCACAGATCCGAGCTTGAAAAGGAAAGCTGTTGCTGTCACAGCGATGCAAATTAGACGCCACGGCTTGGATGAGTGATAACCGTTAGAGAGGTGAACACATATATCCACATATGTGACAATCACCAACAGCCAGAGAATGTATAGGTGAGTGGGAAGAAACCCGTGTGCAATGTCTGGCTCGGCCGCGAATTTCTGACCGGTTTGGTTCCAGCGCCTAAGAATACGGTGAGTTGCGAACAATCCCAACGTAGCATACTGGGCCATCGAGCTTGAGAATGAATCATTGCTGATGGGAAGTTGCTCGGAAGAAGCACAAGACCTCCGCGAAGCAACTTTCACATGTAGAAGGAATGTCCACGCTGAAAAAATCCAATTCCAGAATTGATGTTCTTCCTCAACATAGCTGCTTGCAAACATCATACCACCGTAAGACACAATGAGACCAGCAAAGAATGCCCCAGAATGCATCGATATGAACAGCTGCTTATAAGCATCCGGAAGAAGCAGCAAGACGGCGAGAGCCATAGCACCAATGCCTAGGAGAAGTTGTCGGAGGTTGTAATCACTAGCAGCATTGGTTAATACTTCTTGAGCTGATGATAAAAATCGGTTGAGCGCAGGCTCAAGCTCGTCTTGGTCCTCAGTACTGATAGAGTTGTCGATAAGACTCATCACCTGAAGCCAAGCACATTGGGCTTCGTGAATGCTGGTTAGCAACTCAGTAGTACATCTGCCCGGGAGTTGATCGACTGTGATCTTGTGATCTGGGAAAGAATATTCCAACCTCCTCAGCAATTGCTTGGCGTTCGCGAGCAAAACTTTGGTTCTTTGAGAATCTGAACACAGGTTCTCTGTAAGCTGTCGATACACATATGTAGAGCGCAGATAGCCTTCTACTCACATGAATGCCACACACCCAGAAGGTCCGGAATAAACACGCCCAGATTGTTTAACGGGATGGGGAAACCAAGAAGCCCTGCCAGGGTCGGAACGATATCTGTTTGGTCGACGGTTTTGTAGCATTGAAAGTCATCGGGAATGTCTATCGGAGCTTGATGGCGGGGCCCTCCCATAGTCTTGAACAATGGCGATATGAATAGAAGTGCCGGTGACGTCTCACCAGAAGATGAGCCACCATGATTACCGGCATCGTTCATTCCGTGATCACCACACAGTACCAAGAGAGTTGATTGAAGGTGTCCTTCCCGCTCGATGCTAGCATATAACTCGTCTATCACTGAGTCCATTTCACGCTGCTTTCTGAGCATATGTGAACTAAACAGAGATTAGACATCAACCAAGCAAGCGGAGACGATAAGAAATACCTCTGAGGGCCCAATTTATGCCCAATATGGTCGAGGCCCAGGAAATGCATTATGAAGGCAGACCAGTCGTCTTGAAGGAGCTCACTGGGTACATGCCGAGTCACATTATGGTCAACCTCAGTGAAATCCTGCAGTGGGGGTTTAACTTGGTATCGAAGACACGCCAGAAAGATAGTAGATTGTCTACTCACTGAGACATAGAAGCTAGTAGTGCCATCTGAACGGTCAAACATGCCAGGAAATAGCTTGAGCCAGGTGTCATCACCATACATCACGAGGCGGTCACCTCTTGCCCTCAGTTGGGCAAGCCAAGTATCTTGAAATGCTAGTGTTGTTGACGTATCTGACTCCGCGATGTTAAATATAACGTCTAAAAATGACGGAGTAGACCCTGTAGTCATAGCTTTGAGACGGGGCATGGTGACAGTGGGAGAACTGGCGTGGGCAGTGAATGGAAGCGCAGCCCCTGACCGAATGAGACTGTTTATCTGTATTTTAGACCTTAACTCAACACAAGACAAATGAGACACTACTGCTGACCTCTGTGTGAATGTAAATCCTGATGCGTTCGAATACACAAAATCACTACATCGTGGCTCAGCTTAGCATCTAGGAATGATTTGAACAACCATACCTTCGCAAAGCATCGACCACCATAAAGATAACCTTGTCAAAGGGCGGCTTAACATATTGCTCGGGATCTTCGCATTTTGCGAGCCCTGAAACCAGTGGCTTGTATGGGAAAAATCCGGATGAGAAGATTGCGATAGCTAGGGGTATCAGTATATTGGCGATCAGTATCGCCGAAAGTCCTGACACAACAGCCATCCTCACTGCACTGGCAAATCCAGACGCACCGGAGCCGGGAAATAGTTGAGCCACGCACAGGACCTGTCGCGTCTCGATTTAGATCTAACTGAAGAGAAAGTACTGCGATGTTTGTGACTAAGTAGCCTCCATGTCATTCCTCGCGGAAGAAGACGAGGGGGGACTTCATTAGCTGATGCGTATGTATACTAACTACTGGGCCCGACTGACCGCCTTTGGGATCCACCCAGATTGAAATGCTCTTCGCAGACCATAGTAAAGTAGGTTTTATAAATTCCTTGCTGGTGAGACTTCAGAAGGGTCTGGAAGATACTGCTACATTACTCCATGGGAACGAGGCTCCCGATTTGATGCATATTCGTTATAAGAGAGGCCTAGGCGAAATATGTACTGTGTGCTGATATGTTTGCATCAATTTATCGTACTTGATTGCAGCTGTCCTTCAAACGTGACATGTCTGCAAGGGTAATTGACAAGATGACTTGTGGGATTAAGCCAGATACATGTTAACTCCAGAACTCCAGGATATAGAGCATTGTAGTAATGCGCAATACAAGGTCCTTTATTTCTTCTTGGACATTCTCTTAGCCTTCGAGGGATGGGGACGAAAAACGATGGATGAGCGGTTTTTCTTATTCTTCTGGATGCGTCCTGACTTTTTCGAGCGACCGTGAGTATCACGTGGTTTCTGGTCAACGTCCATATCTGCATCCATGATAGGTTTGTGAGTGTTGAACGAGAATATAGGGTCACAGAAGCGGCAAAGAAGAGAACTATACCTTCATTAGAATCTGCTATTCTCGCCTTTAGATCAGTAGCCTGGCCATCTATAGTTCTGTCAATCAATGCCGCGAATAATATTCGGTCGAATATTGTTGTCGTGAGGGGACATACCAGATCTTGTTGAATCCATTTCCATTTTGGAGTTGCCCTCATTTGGTTTCGGCTGAGCAGCGAGTTCCTGCAGCTTTGCTGAGAGTCTCTCGGTTCTGGCATCAACAGCAGGCCCGAAGACAGTAGCTCGCAGATTGGCTCTGTTGCGCTTGATGACACTGGCTCGACCACTCTTGGCCATGCTGAAAGGGAGAAATCTTTAATATACAAAAGAAAGAGGTAAGCCAAAAGAAGAAAAGTATAATCGCCGAGAGATAGGGTGTTGCAAAATTTTCGTAGTTCTGGTTTGTTGAGGTCTTCTCTATCTTATCGCCTCGGGGGAAACTTTTTTCTTTCATTCCCTCCCATATCCATTACTCAAAAGGGTTAAAACCAAGGCGGCGGCCGATCTTATGTCATCATGTTGCTCGGAGGCTCTTCACAACTCCGCAATCCGCCATTACAAGTTCTGGAGATACAGATGAGTGCTCAAGAATTCGACGCATATCGCCTACAGTGTTCCCAATGCTTACTCTGCTGATCACTGAACCCTTCTTCTAGCAATATATGGTCCCACTCGAGCCAAGTATTGCGATGTCTTTGAACAGTGTTGCTCAGGATCCCGCAATCATATCCAATTATACCTCTTCCTGAGACGGCAGTTGAATGCATTTACCACAATATTGAAGAAGCTTGGCCGAAAATCAACATGGCATCTACTAGTCCATTCTACGACCTTCAGAGCACGGTTGCATTGGTGAAAACCCTGACGAATGCGCAGTTGAAGGACATCTTGAGGAATGAGGGGCTTGCGGTTTCTGGAGTGAAGGCGTCGTTGCAGATCCGGATCCTAGATTGTTCGTGGTATCCCCGTGCCTGTAATCATTGCTTGATCTCGAGCTTTTCATGAAATGAACGCCTTTGATCGAAATCATGTTAACCCTTCTTGAAAAATACCAGATATTGATAGACTCAGAGAAGGAGGTCATATTGAGAAGTACGATAGCATGAGGAAGTTCATATATCATACAGCACACCGGTCGATACCATCGCCTACACTGCCTCAGCAATCGTCCAACCAGCAATATCAGCAGCCTTCAGTTAGTCAGTCTCTGCCCACGCAGCATAGACCATCACCTTTGAGCATGGCAGTGCCGTCGCATGCTATCACCCCAGGTATTTGAAGCTTCATGCTTCGACCCTTTAGACTTTCAAGAGCTTGAATAACCCGCCATTACTGAATAGGCCGCTTGACCTTTAAAGACAGTCCTTTCTATACGGTCTTGGACCAACTGACTCCGACGGCGGAATGCAAAGGTAAGTTCGTCGTTCCTTGCAAAGGGCTGTCAGTGACCTTAGATATCACCAAGTACGCGAGCACACTCGGGACAGCGTGGAGCTGAAAGTTGCTTTTACGCCTAGTATGGCATCCAAACTGCAGGCTGATCCAAACCTTCGGGTGATGGTGTTTTGTGCGGCAGACACGGGTCTCAATCAATATACCAAGTCGGATATAGCATTTCCTCATCAAGTTGAACTCAAGACGAATCTTGACGAAGTCAAAGCGAACCTGCGAGGTCTAAAGAACAAGCCTGGCACAACAAGACCGGCGGACATTACCAATTATGTTCGCAAGAAAGCAGGGTATCAAAACACTGTTGTCTTGACCTTTGCCCTCACCCAGAAAGTAAGCATCCACTCACAGGTCATACCATTCTGTGTCATTGTTTGACCATGATTCGGGCTCAATCACCTTAATTTGCTGATTTGCTGGCAGAGATTCTTTGTTTTGGTCAACCTTGTTCAGAGACATCCAGTTGACGAACTTGTCACCGAGCTCAAGAGAAGAAAAACTATCTCAAAAGAACAGGTCCTGCGAGAAAGTATGCATTCTTGTACACTTATAAATCTACTCGAGAGATCTAAGCTAAGCAATCTTAGTGAGGAGCAAGGCAGAGGATACTGAAATTGTCGCCACTTCAAGTGTTATGTCACTCAAGTGCCCTTTGTCACATACTAGGATTACGGTTCCCTGCCGCTCTATAATCTGCACCCATAATCAGTGCTTCGATGCATCATCATTCTTGCAACTACAGGAACAAGCCCCGCAGTGGTTGTGTCCTGTATGTTCCAAAGCGACTAGTTTCGAGTCATTGCAAATAGACCAGTAAGTGCAAACACTAACCATTTTGTGCGCGGTGAATACATGAAAAGAGAACTAAATAAGTGTCTATCAGGTATGTGGATGATATCCTCCGTCTGACCCCGTCGGACACTGAACAGGTGATCATTGAGCCAGATGGGAAATGGTCTCATCTTAATCTCGAGGACATTGAGAAAGCCGGGAAAGCTACATCAGCAACAGAAGATGATGATCTGATAGAGATCAAGGAACCGGGGATATCACCCATCAAACAAGAGAGTTTCTCTGCTGTTAATTTGACCCTGCAGCAGACTCCACTCAAGTCACGCGAACCCTCTGCCACCTCGTCTGCAGTTCCATCGTCTATGAACAAGCGTCCTGCAGCCCAGGTGATTGACCTTACTGGCAGCGACGATGACGATGATGGCGATGATCTACCTGTCAGACCGACCAAACGGCCTGCGCTGGGTGAAATGGGGAGGAGTTCACTTCGCCCAGAATATCACGACTCGTACACTAGCGGGTTCGCAGGGGAAACGAACCTTACCTTATCTGCCCGGCTCAGCCCTGGATTTCCAGGCCAGGCCGGCGACTTTCAATCATCAACCTATTGAAGCATCCATGCACGGTGTCACGGCGCTTTCGGAATTCGGAAACCGGCTATCATTATTATACCTGGGATTGGTGGGACTGGGACCAGACGTATTGCTCACATCTTCATATAAAAAACAAAGGATTTTTTTTCTCTGAATGAAGGAAGCAAACCCATAGTGAAATGGACACATTAATACATTTTGAACATTGTGCGCTGTACAATCAGCTGCACTGCGATATGATCCATGTCGAAGCTTGGCGACGTAGGTTTACTGTACAGTTTAGTACACTAATGAGTTTCAGTTAGACCATTTATTGACGTACGTGCAGCACCATATAAATACATTCAATATTTGGAACTTCAGGAAGACATTTGCGTGACTGATATTTATGCGATTCATTAATAGTTGCATGTTGGCGAAATGGTTGCGAGGGTTGTCCTTTTCTGATGTGTGTGTTTTGGGCACAAAAAGCGGCAAGGTGTTTGTATGGAATATAGCGTAACTTGTCTCTGGTTAACTTAGCTGAGCTTAGTTACTCACTAGACAAACTATTACTGATTGACCACTTCTTTAAACTCCTCACCCGTGACCTTTGCGGGCGGGAGGCACCCCATCGCTCTCGGCTCTCTATACTCAAGCCACCTCTCAGAGAATATCTATTCGCCTACCTCTTTCTCCGAATTGTCTCCTTTCACCCCTTCCTTTTCTTTCCCTACACGAAGCCGTCCACTAGGTACTATGTCAGTGGAATCGCCCGCCCTCCTTGCCAACCATGCCTCCGAATCGCATTTGCGCCTTCTCGGCGCCTCGTGCCTGGACTTCCTCTTAATTGAGCTCGTCCCTATGGCCGAGCGCTTAACAAGAGAGCTCACCCCGAATGAGATTATACCGGATGATGAAGGAATTAGGGAAACAACCTTTTTTCGGCTCGAGTCTCTTGGTTACAGAGTAGGGCAGGGCCTTGCTGAACGGTACGCCATATGAATCCTACCGCTGAAGGAATATCTTCGTAAAGGGGCGAGCAGGGAGGACATGGCGAGTCGCAGTTTCTGAGTGTCTGCTAATACACGTCTACTCGACTTGACTCGATGAACAGCTTTGCTCGAGACCGTCCACGTTTTGTGGATAACTTGGATGTGATCAAGTTTCTTTGCAAAGACATTTGGACGATTCTCTTCAAGAAACAAGTCGATAACCTGAAAACCAATCATCGGGTAGGCACTGAACACAAAGAATCGCCGCGAGATGGGCAGCGCTAATAATAGGTCTTCAGGGTGTATATGTCTTAACAGACAATTCATTCCGGCCGTTCGCTAGGATGAGCACATCTGTCCGAAGTGAATCGGTGTCCATGGCTCAAGCGGTATAGTCATGCGACCCCTCACGGTCATTTACCTATGAAGTGTATACTGATTTTATGTGGCTTTCGGCAGTATCTATGGTTCCCGTGCGGTGTCATACGCGGTGCGCTCTCCAACCTGGGCATTTCGACCACTGTCCAAGCAGAGACTGCTGAGCTTCCAGGGGCCACGTTTCAAATCAAAACAGTCAATCCGAAGTCTTGAACAGACAGTCCAATGCATCCGACACCTCCGGTAGTGTAAGCGTGAAACGCCCACGTAATTGGTCCTAGCAGGCTGGATACTGTCACAGCTCATTGCGCCCATCGACCTACAGATCAACCGACTACTGCATGATACCAAAAGTGGAAACCGAGGCACAAATATACATGTTGCTTGATTGTATGGTGCACATTTCTCGTACCCCAGAGTCATGGTACTAGTTTGTAACAGCCTCCACGACTACTGTGTCAATTTGTCCTCTACTTCTTCCTTCAGAGCCTATCTTCAAGGAATGACAACGATCAGCGATACTCTATCCATTACCATGTCCGTGAACGACGAGCGAATCAACCGAAAGGTGTCTTTCAGGTAGGAGACAAGTGTGCGGTATCAACAAAACATCGACTAGCGGATGGAAAACTTGCAAATGATGTGCGGGGATGGACGAATTTACTTTGGTGGAGGATTCTGGATGAAGTCGATGCCTTTTTCGATGTTGCCTTTCAGGCCCTTGTTGCAAGCCTCAAGAAGCTTCTTCTCTTGGTCGGTGATGCCCTCCAAGACATTAATAGCCTTCTCTGCTCCATTCGCCTGTTTTCGCAGCGTTAGAACCGGTCACTATTTGCCTTTTAATCAGGTATCGAAACTCACCCCAAGAGCCACAAGAGTAGAGAAAAACTCGACGCCCGTAGCCTTGACAATCTCGTCACCACCGGGAACTCCAGGCAAATACACAAATGTGGGCTCGACAATGTCCGTCTGGCCCTGGGAAGCCTTTATCACACTCTCGGCAAATCTAAGACGCAACAAGATAAGCTTGAGCTGTAACATGGTGGGATCGAAAAGGAGTCAAACCTGAAACCAGCAAAAGCCATAGATAGAGTCGCAGATCCAGCGCCATCCTTAGCCTTGACAACCTCATCTCCACCAAATTGAACACCTGGGCTAGCATAAGCATACATACTCAGAGCTTATGGTGACCGAAGCGGGAGTGACTCACGATTAACCAGGGCATCATACTTGTCTGATGGGATCTGGAAGGCGGGCGTAGCCTTGCTGAACAGTGGGACAATGGTTTCACCAGAGTGGCCACCCACAACGGGGATCTTAACAGCAGATGGGTTCTTGTGGCCTGAGAATTCTTGGGTAAAAGTCTCCGCGCGTACAACATCCAGGGTAGTCACGCCGAAGAGGCGTTTAGGGTCAAAGACGCCAGCGGCCTTGAGCACCTCTGCGGCAATGGGAACCGTTGAGTTGACGGGGTTAGAGATGATCAGAACGAACGCCTTGGGGGAAAACTCGGCAATGCCCTTGACCAGGTCGCGCACAATGCCAGCGTTGATCTTGAAAAGATCATCGCGGGTCATTCCAGGCTTGCCTAGCAGAAAGCGTTGGCATTAGAGTTCACGACCTGTGGTGTCTAAAAGGGGAGGGACTCACGTGGAATTCCAGCGGGGATGACAACGATATCAGCTCCAGTCAGGGCATGCTTCAGGCCATCATCCTTCGGCAAATAGCCAGTGATTTTCTGCGAACGGGGCGAACGCCATCAGTCATTAATACTCCATCAGTCGAGGGCCAGGCTTGTGGGTACCTACAGCAACAGAAGAGATGTGGGACAAATCGGCAGCGACACCCGGAGTGTTAACAACATCGTACAGGGCGAGTTCGTCAACCAGCGGAGAAGTCTTCAACAGGAGAGACAAGGGCTAAACAACCGAATAGCAGAATGGCAGTCAGTTCGGAGTTAATGGCTCGGTTGAGAGGACAATCATCGGAATAGTGATACAGACCTGGCCAATGCCACCCGATGCGCCGAGAACAGCTGTTTATGGGAGGTCAGTGGAGGTTGTTGCATGTTTTCCCGTCTATATCGGAAGCTAGGTCGAATTGTAACCAGGCACTCACCCGCTTTAACCATCTTTGGAATGCTGTGACTCTTGGAAGGAGTGAGGTATGCAGGTATGCAGTTATGCAGCTCTAAGGTAGTGTGAGTGAGAGATATATGTGAGGAGACGTAGAAAGGAAAAAGCAAATGGGTCAGAGGGATGAGGAGGGGAGGGGAGGGGCAGGTCAGGAAGGGTTGGGCGGGGGAAGCTTTTGTTTGATAAAAAGAAATGACGGGTGGGGTTGGGTGGTGGTACGGTCACATTTTACGGTGAGCAGGTCAGGGAAAGTGCTATTCTTCTGCTGGGGGGCTTGGAGCCTTCGCGGCTTGGGACCCGGGGCTTGAGGATTGGTTGGGATTTGGTGAGGAAAGGAAGAGTGGGTAGGAGATCAGGAGGGGGGGGGGAGGAGGGGAGGAGTAGTAGTTGAAAATCGTGGGGAAAGGAAAGAGGGGTAAAGAGAGGAAGGATGGGGGAAGGGAAGAGAAAGAGGAAGAAGAGGAGCACTGTCGAAGTATAGAGAAATACACATGAACCGAACTTGTTGGTAAGAACTTACTATGTACTTTTTGTAATTGTTTTTAGTTTAAGAGAATGATATAATTGGAAAGTGAAAAGGGTAACTGGAGGATGTTGTGATGGTCGAACTTATATACTCACAGACCAGCTAAGCTGCCTTGGTGGAAAATCACATGTGGGGGACAAGGGGTATCTTCCTTTCCCTGTAGACTGTAGACGTAATACTACTCATACTCGTACATACTCAGTACTCATACTATGTATATCTACGTATACTGGATGGTGCTACTTCTTCTCATGACCTAGGTCCCTATCCGACAACCAAACAACCACAAACAGCATTCGCTAGGCATCCACAACCACAGCCGCAACGGATAAAACCGAGGTAATCCTCCGTCTTCCCGGGAATTTGTCATTGTCGTCATCCATAAGTTAGGTCTGGGTGAACGGATCAACCCCAATCCTTACTAAAGATTCTATAGGCCCGATCGTCTCCGTCCGGAATCTTCCCTGTTTGCTGCTCCTGGAGGGCTAGGCTTCCGGCGGAGTTTGTCGGTACCTGAAATTGACTCTTAATGGAGAAGGAGTCTCCTTCTTCCGCTCTGACTAGTCATCGGAAAAAGGCGGATGGCCTCATCCGTGATTTGAGTATCCTACGGCAATTGCACGGCTATTGTTGGCCTACCGGCCGGTGACAACGGTACTCACGCCGGTCCTGCTTAGATCTGATGGCCGGAAATATGTTCCCCGCACCCAACAAACTGCAGTAGGTTTGCTATCACCACAAGTGGATAAGCAATCGCATAGCGAAAAGCAGAATGTGCTCATGGCTTGATGTGATCTTCTTTTTGACATTTTTCCTTTTTCATTTGCGGATTATCTTCTATCACATGGTTGGTGGTGTTTCTCATGGTAGCGCGATCATGCTACATTACCCAGATGCTTCCGCCATTTAGTTGACACAGCCCTACTATGATCGATGCGCCCATTTCCGGGGAGCTTCAACCTTAGGATCCCTCTTGCTACTATTGTTGCTTACTCCTGGTCCTTCTCGGCGGCCTTCTTAGCCTGAGCGCCACGAAGCTTCTGGGGAGGAGACTCCTTCTTGGGCTTCTGGGAGCGGCGGATGGCGCTCACACGAGCGACAGCAGCCTCACGGAGATCGGCACGGTAGCCCTTCTTAGCGGTCTTGTCGGCAACACCCTTGAAGATCCTGTAGAGAGCAAGTGCAACCAGTCAGCCATACATGGTGCTCTGGACAGAAAGATTTATCGGTAGATGGCGTCGACTTACTTGCGGGTGGAGGCGCTGGGGCCGTAGCTCACGGTGACGATGTTCTTCGCGGGCTGTTGGGAGTTGGACTTCTTGGTGAGGACGACAACACCGCCGTTCTCGGTAGCCTGAACACCAATGGCCTGTTGCAACATATCAGGAGGTTTATTCGCGGGTAAAGGAGGGAATATTATGGGCTACCTTGTTGTTGGCATAGCCGGCGTACTTAAAAGCAAGACCGTATTAGCACCCGAGAAGTCAAGATGACCTTCGTCCTGGAACTCTTACCTTGAAAGAGTGCTTGTTCTGCACGTTCAAAGGGTCGCGGGAGAACTGAGAACCACCGCCGCTGTTACGCTTCACCAGGAAAGCATTCTGGTTGCCTGTTCCAAAATTCGCAGATTAGCCGGAATTCGAGGGGATGGCCAGGTCGTGCGGCGAATGGCGAGAAGCGGATCTCGAAGCCCTTCATTTGAGAATCTCTATATATTGCCCATTGCTGTGCGAGGGGATGGTGACGTACGGGTGATCTGCCAGATGAGATCGCTGGAGACGTTGGTTCTGTCGGCGGCCATTGTGAAGATAGCGTGTGAAGCTTGAGGGTATGTGTGGCAGGTCGAAGTCGTCGCAAGTCCGTTCGGTATATACGACTCTTGCTGCCAATACTAATAGCCCTGTGTGTGTGCCAATGCCAAGAGTGGCAACGCTGGAAAAGGCTCGCTAAGCAGGCCGCTTCAGGAATAGCCTAGCTAGCGTGTGGAGCGTGTGGGAGAGATATACTGATGCCTGTATGCCTTGTAGACGAGGCATCAAAAGGCTTGTCTAGTGACTCAACTCCGTAATCATTGTTAAGTTAGTCTGCAGGTGTAGGCATCAGCGGTCCAAATTTGGGTGTTAACGTGCACGGTCCAGTTTGGCATCTTCCTCAGCCTTCCCATCTTCTCCACACACCCGGCCAGATTACATGAGTACGCTCTTGCTGATGCCTATGTTACTCTTGATGGTGCCGCACATGTAGTGTATCGTGGGAGTCGCCTCTGCCATCACGAAGCAGATTCTCTCATCTACCGACAATTCAAACCCAAGAGGCTAGCCTCGTCTCCTAGTCGTCAACATCCGCAAATCTGCAACGGTTCCGATCTGAAAGCTGGCGCGGATCTTCCCGGGGTTCTACCAGCAAGACTTCAGACCATGGCTTATTATACCTTGTTCTTTCTGACCTTCACGGTTATCATTGGTGGCACCGGTAAGCTTGAGGGTTCTCGTTGAGGATTATGGCTTCCTGGTTCTGGATCGAGTCTAATATATCTGCAGCGCTCTACCTTACTCGTGCACGATGGCTACCGTTTATCCCCGTGCCTGAATATATCTATCATCGCCCTCCTTCCAGTTTTGCCAATGATGCCGAAGCTGGCTTTACATCCACACAATTTGATCTTTCTGCGAACGTCGCAGATGGAGATAGTAGAGCTGGATTGGATAGTCGTGCAAAACGTGATATTAGGGAAATCATGCACCGGCAGAAAGTCAACTTTGATGAAGCTCGTCGCCTTTACACAGAGCAACGATTTGCGAAAAATAATATTGGCCCGGATGGTCGGCCAAGAGACCCCAAATTTGTTTCCTTTTCCTAACCGCGTATTATGTTACAAATTGATTTCGCTATTGTCGTTGTCGCTCTTCTCATGGTCTGGGCCTGTGTGCAACCATACAAGTATATTGGCAATCATCGACTCTATAAGGTCACCTTCGGAAGTCGCCGAATGCTCCTCTATCTTGCTATCTGTGGTACAGTTTGCTAAACGCGCTCCGTTCCAAAGCTTGGTACCACTGCCAATACTGTTGTCATCACCATGTACTGACACGTATTGACACGTCTATTGCACCACTCTAGTATTAATATGCACCAGTATGATTCGTTGCACAGTTTGTAGAGACGGTTCTCTATGGGAGACCAACTGCCAACCGAGATTCGATTATCAGCAGGACGATGCAAGAGGGTGCTTCGAAGGCAGCACACGAGCGTCATCTGATAAAGTAGAATCAAGATGCGTACTGCGGCGAAAATCGGATGGGTAGATTAACTTTCTTGGAGCGCGAGCTGCCTGACTAAACCAGCTGTCGTTGTCCGAATACTTCCTTGACGAGACGGCGATTGTGATACCGAGACTCAACGACCCCGCCCAAAACCAGGTTGTTGAAAGCCTGGGGGCAAAGGAGGCTGAGGCCCAGGGGTTCCCGTAGCAGGGCTGTAACCCGGCTGTGCAAAACCTGGTGGAGGTGCTGCTTGGACAGGGTAAGGTGGCTGTTGACCGGCGCCATTGTAGCCGGTGGGAAGGAAAGCTTGCGGCCCCCCGTAACCAGCTTGCGAAGGAGGCGGACGTGCTGGTAGACCCGGCGGCGGGGTGGCTAAAGATGTCGGGGGATGAATTGGTCGATTTGGCTGAGGCGGCGTATTATGATAACCGGGATTCGGGAGCGGCACGCCCCTGCTAATACCTAGATCTGGTGGGCCAGTGCCCACAGGTCGAGAGTTGTCACCATTGGCCACGCCCGCTGATATCATAGGAGCTCCAGGTCCAGAGAATTGCGCTGGGAGCGGCTGAGTCACCGGACGCACATTGTGCTTGCGAGCCTGTGCTGCTAGCATCCGCTCTGCCTGGTCACCGTGCCGCTCGCCCTTGCCGTCCTTCTTATACGCATACTGGACTGAAACCTGTTTGTTCATCAGGTACTGGCCGTTCATGCTGGCTATGGCGGCGTCTGATGATTCGAAGTCGGCGAACGACACAAATCCATAGCCCTTCGAAAGATTATTGTCATCCCGTGCGATCTGAGTGAAACAAAGTGTCAGACAACTTGCCAGGAGCGAGAGTCATGTTCAGCGACGGGAATCCATAGAAGGAAATGATACATGCCTTTGGAAGAGTGATCAAGTTCCCGAAACGGCTGAATGTATCATAGAGAACCTGCTCTGTCACCATTGGGTCGAGGTTGCCGACGAACAGCTCTGCACCGATTTCCACGGCCTTCTGCTTGTCGGCAGAGGCCTTGTTCACGCGTATGGGCTTTCCGTACAGGCGAATACCATTCATAATCCGCGATGCATACTCGGCATCCTCTTCACTGATGAATTCCACAAATCCATAGCCCTGGTGTGACTGCGTGACTCGATCTTTGGGCAGATGAACGTTAACGATGCGCCCGGCTTGAAGCATTAGCTCCCATACCAGGCTATCCGTGACACGTTCATCGAGGTTCCCAATGTAGACGGTAGCCTCTTTGTCTTGCTCCCTAAGTAGTCAATGAGTGAGTTTGAGAACGTTGGCCTGCAATAGAAGCGTGCAGCACCTACCAATGTCTTGCGCCGGACATCGCGCGTGGCAAGAAGCTGTTGGAGCCCCTTCACTGATTACAGCTGACTGGCAGGTGAAAGGAGGAGATGAAGCATAAGTCGTGGGTCAGAACGCGTGCCTACAGTTGATATCAAATACAGATAGCGTGTAAGACTCGGACACCGAAGCGAAAGGGAAGCGGAGAAGCGTAAGTTGCGGAGGAGGGATCGATCCGTCGTTGGAGACAGGAAGCGTTCGTCGGCGGAGCGGTACGTTTTTGTTAGCCCCGGAAAACTTTGAGCTTCACCTTCTCCCCGTCCTCCGTCATCACACCCACCAAAACAACATACCGGTAGCCACCGCCTTCTGTTCTGCTTTCTGGCTTTTTACCTCGACCCTTGACCTATCCTTGCCCTTGGCATCTGCTTGACTCAGAATCTTGCCTTTGATCTAGGAAGCTATTACCGCTCAACATGGTCCAATTCTCCGAAGAAACCAAGGTGAGTGCCTGTGTTTTAGTGAGTAGCCTGCGCATATACCATCGGCTTACAGTTGTCTGTTTCCTAGGAGCGTATCTCCAAGGTCATTGACGTCTCCAGAGTTGCTATTCACTAGTGAGTTACTCCTCAACCCCCCTCCACTTTCAAGGTGGCCGCAGCTGACGGTTGTCTTTGTACTAGCGGATATCTTCCTCTGATCATCTACCTCGGTATGATTCTACGGGGATGAGCCCAATTCGTTTTGGGAGCAATGAAAACAGCCCCAATACTGATTTTTCCTTGACAGGCTACACTTATAGCGAGCCTAGACCTTCGCTTTTCAAGTATGAACGAACCTTGATACCAGTTTTCCTCCGATCGGTACACCCAGCTAACACCATGGCACATAGGCTGTTCTCGCCGCTTGCATAGAGTTGTGGAAGACCTAGCCGCATTGCATACGAGGGCTGGTCCAAGAAATATGGCATCTGAGATTCTCATTCCTCAATTTGTGGCAGGTATGAGATTGGGTTGAACCGGACCTTCTGCACGGAGCCTCGGCCTTTCGCATTCTCGCCAGTAAGGAAATACGAAACTGGATGTGCAGGAGTTTAACAAAGAGGGAGGGGTATTTCTATTACTGTGTTGGGATTTGTCAATTCTCATTTTTGGTTTTGGTTTGGTTCTTGCGAATGACTTAATGTGACTCCTTTTCTCACCTCTTCTTTCATATTTTCTCCCGTTACGGGGTATTATGCATGAGAGTGACGCAATGTAACTGCTTCGAACTATACAAGAGCGCCGGAGGGGTATCGCAATCAATCTTCCCGCACAGTAGATGAAAAGTTCACCATTACTTTGTTGTGTTAGCGATAATAGCCGGAGAATCGCACCAGACTGGATACCGCGGCCTCGGCCCGCCAAGCTTAAACCATGCAGGCGAAGTCAAAGCCCAGGCCCGGGCGATTCCGTAGTCGCTTTACAGCAATCCAACTCACACCCCGCACTCAAAGACGAAAGATTACATATATCTCATTTCCTAAAGACCATCAGCCCGGAACCTTTTTGGTGAGGTCGAAGAGTTCATGACTGGCAACGATGACCTATCGTCATCCTTTGTGGAGACCGTAGCAGGGTTGACGGCGGGAATTGTTTCAACGCTTTGCCTGCATCCGCTGGATCTGATCAAGACTCGACTTCAGGGTGCGCCTCTTTGTTTCCTCGGAACGAATAAATGAACTGCGGCCTCCGCAACTCTTCACTCGATGATCTCATTACTGAATCGCATTGCAGTTGACCCGTCTTTAAGCTCTCGCGGCCATGAATCACTCCGACTTGTCCAAGGCATCTTTCAGCATGAAGGTGGCCTGGCTGCATTCTATCGAGGCCTGACGCCCAATCTCCTTGGAAACTCGACTAGTTGGGCCCTATACTTCCTGTGCTACGGTAATATCAAAGAATTGATGCGAACCTGGCGTGGAGGTACTTTAGGAGAGGGTTTGAGCTCGGCCGACTATTTTCTAGCCTCGGGATCCGCCGGTAAGTCTTCTCTAGATCTAGACAGAGCGTCAGTGGGAGATTCCGGCGGTTTCGCTAATCGTCAGAAAAAAATGAACCCGGTCTTTAGGTATGCTGACATCCGTCTTAACGAATCCTATCTGGGTTATCAAAACCCGCATGTTGTCAACCGGCTCTCGGGTACCGGGAGCCTATGCCTCCCTCGTCGTGGGCGCGAGACAGATCTTCCGCGCAGAGGGCTTATCCGGCTTTTATAGGGGCTTAGTCCCGGCGATGCTCGGAGTCAGCCATGGTGCGCTGCAGTTCATGGCTTATGAACAACTGAAGCTGTACCGCACTCGCATGGCGGCCGGCGACGCCCAAGGCGGTACCGACGGTCCAAGCTCGTGGCGGCCAGAGTCACCAGAGCTGGGGAACGTGGACTACTTCGTCCTGTCCAGCCTCTCGAAGCTTTTTGCTGGGTGCGTAACATACCCATACCAGGTATTGCGGTCCCGGTTGCAGACCTACGACGCGCATATCATTTACATGGGCGTTCGCGATGCGGTAATGAAAATCTGGGTCAGAGAGGGAATCAAGGGCTTCTACAAAGGTTTGGTGCCAAATCTGCTGCGGGTACTACCCAACACATGGGTCACGTTCCTTGTATATGAGAATACTCGGGCATATTTGCCGCGGCTGGTTCTTAAGGGGTAGTTGAAGGCATCAGCTAAGTCTCGCATCCATCCGGAAAGACAGCCCACCGTGCCTCTTCTTGAACCCAATTGCAACTTCCTTAAAACCGATTAAAGGGGCAACGTTCCCTGCCCGTTCATCTAATCACTAGCAGGATGACAGAGGCAGAGCAAGTCGAAGATCTATCTGGAGATCAGAATCTGCTTATACGAATGGATGCTATACATGTATTACATCGGACCCTGGACATGTTCTTCCCCTCAATTACTTCATCCCTCCCAATGCAGTGTTTCTTTCGTGTGTTGAAAATGAAAGCAAAATGTGAAAAGTAATTGAATCTGGTATCAGCATAATCTCAAAGCGAAGGAAAGTTATAGAAACAGAAGAAATTCCCCCAAGAAATAAGTCAGTGTCCTTGCCTGTCAAGGAAGTAAGGTCCAACATCCTCTTCGTCGCTACTGGAAGCTCCGTTATAGGTCGACGTATCTCCATAACTTGGGCGCCGCCCCTTTCCGTCACTGTTAGTAAGAGACTGCAGCCTTCTGCGGGTGTCGGGCCTGGTTTCGGATCTCGCAATCGGGGATATCCTGCGATCTTTTCCGCGGCCTTTGATGCCCTTGTTACTATTCTTGTACAAGGTAGAAAAGTATTCCCAGAGCTTCTGGTCTTGTGAGCTCATGTTATCTGCATCCGTCATCTGAGAGAACTTCAGAGTCAGATTTTTCAGGGTTGCTGCATGGAATTTGTTCTGATGTGACTACCACTTTAGTCAGCCCAGATGAGTTCTACGAGCAGCAAGGTGAATCATGGAAGGGCACACCTTTAGGTTACCCAACTGTGTAAATTGTTTACCACAGTCGTCCAGAAGGCAAGTGAAAGGCTTTGCATGTTGGTGGGTGATCTTGTGTGCGCGAACATTGCCACGCTGGGCAAATCGTTTATGGCATATCTCACAGGAAAATGGCTTCTCTCCTGTATGGCGTCGCTGGTGGGTCTAAAGCCACCGACAGAACTAATTAGACATTGCATGAATGGGCGAGCAGCATCAAGGCATAGGCGCGGCTTACCTTCAGGTTTCCAAGTTGAGAGAAGCGCTGGCCACACAGGGGCTCTTTGCATACCTTACAGATCAGTTGTCAGTGCCTATTCCATTGGTTTGATAGGATGTTGTTTCGCTCACAAAGGGCTTGTCTCCTGTGTGGGCCCTCATGTGGATGTCCAAATGTGTCTTCTGCGCAAAACTCTTGCCGCAATGTGGAAGGGTGCAAGCATACTTGCGCTTCTTTCCTGAACGCAGTGGCTGATCTTCAACAATCACAGTACAGCGCGGGTTCGTGGCTGCTGAAATCGAATATTGAGGGGCGAAGGTACTTGGATTCACTCCATGCGTCATTTGCTGAAGTGGCGGGAGTGACTGCACGTTTGCCGACTGAGTGCTGGCCTTTGATTGTATCGTTTTCATGAGGATGTCTACTTCGGTTGAGAATTCGATTTCATTCGGGCATGGACTTCTCCCCTGTGCTGGTCCTCCAGACGTCGGATGCTGTCCCAATGGCTGCTGAACGCTCGACTTGTGGTCAATACTGGCCGAGGCATCTTTCGTCATCCGACTGACCGCGTTCTTGGCCGGTCGAATCTCTGGAATTGGCTGGATAGAGGGCGGCTCCGATGAGAGGCGTACCGGCTGGGAGTTCAAGGGTTGCTGGCCCGCTACGAAGTAATGCTGGTAGCTAGTCTGGTGGTGGTGATGCTGGTGGTGGTGGTGATGCTGGTGTGGATGATGATGGTGCTGATTCATGCCATGTCCGAAGCCATAGCTCGCTGACGAATGTTGATGAAAAGAAAGAGGGAATGAAGCAGTCGGGCTGGTGTAAAATGGTAGAGTATGGCCTAGGTTGGTGTTCATCATCCGACGGGGTGCAACGGCGCCGATAGCATGGCCTGGGAATTCGTAGGATACAGGTTCCGCTGCCTCCATATCGGTAAGCGCTTCAAATCGATGTCAAGGTTTTGGAGGCTATTGCCCTGGGCTCTCAGAGCCTCGTTTTGAATCTTGTCTGCTTTCGAAGCTTCTTCCGGGAGACAAAAAGCCGAGAATAAGACCGACGCCGGTGGCTGGGCTATCTCTGCAATCCTTTAGCTATGGTCTTGTCTGACTTTTGTGGATGGAGCACAGGAATAGGCAAAGATGATCTTGGGTTGGTTGGGGAGGGGGTTGTATTATAGCTGGGCGAGGGAAATAGCCCTCTCTTGCGCTGTAGGTAGTGAGGATTGAGACTACCTTGCTATATTTCACGGCCAACAGCTTATTTCGAATGAGGGCAAAAAAAGCAAAGACCGCAAGCCGGTGGATGTGAATCCTGATTGATTGCACAGGCTGGATTCAAGGTGCAGGCATCGGGCGAGAGAGGAGTCCTTGAGAAACACCCCAAACGGGATATGTCCTTCTGTAGATCCTGGACTCGGCTTGTCTACATGGGCTCTCGCAAGAGACAAGGAAGCGAGAAAAGTAGTCGAATGTCCAATAGTCGTTGGTAGCTGTCAGCCAGTGGAGTCACCCCAATAGCATCAGTGCCAGCCGTGGGACCCGCTAATCAATGAGTATGAGTTATTCACCAAGAGATGTTGCTTCATACTCCGGGGGGGAGATTATCTTCAGGCGTTTGACAAAAAGAATAGGTGATTGTGCAGCGAGCCAGAAAACGGCTGGGTCAAGATTGATACCTCTTCGGAACCTTACCTAGAGAATTAATTTTTTTTCCTTCACTTTTGGCCTTGAGATTTGTTTTGGCGAAGCTTATTGAAAATACTTTCACTCTCACTCTCACTCTCTTTCTCTCTTTCTCGGTCTTTTCTTTTCGCCTGTTTTGACAGCTGAGAACAGCTGGAGAGATGGCGATCTAGAACTAGATATACAAGTCAATCCCGCCCACCCCCCTTCTTAGTGTCCCAGAGAAGTGGAAGCAGCGGGGTGGGAAATCGACAGGGATCTAGCCTGTTGATTGGTACCTGGTCTAGGTAGCTGAATGGAGGGCATGGTCGGAGTCGAAGAAAGATTGATAGGTATATCCATCCGTACACATCATGTATGGATGTATGAATGCTGCATGTATGTATGTATGTGTGTATGTATGGATGTATGGATGTATGGATGTATGTATGTATGTATGTATGTATGTATGTAAGTCGTACGGATGGATGCATGGATGCATGTCAGTCAGAAAATACATTATTACCTAGGTAGGTAAGAGGTAAAATCCAGAGAGAGAAAGGCTCACTCAGTGGGGGGGAGAGGATGGGGGCGAGAATGGCGGGTGTTGGAAATAATGGAGAAAATACTAATTATGGTAACCAAATGGTAAATAATAGAAGAAAAAGAGAAGAGACGAGCAGGAACAAGAAACAGAAGACGATCAAGAAGAACCAAGAACAAGACAAAGATCCTGATTGAAATCATATGCAGGATCGCAGAACATGGGTGGTGCAGCAACTTAAGCACTTGTGACTTGGTTACTGAGTAGGTAAAGTACCTAGTCCACGGTTAGTAAGTTAGTTAACTAACATAAACTTATCTAATTCCTCTAATTCCTCTGTAACTTAGTGCCTCTCAGCTGTGCCCGTACCATGCTTCGGTTTGTCGCATTGTTTTCTCCATCTCAATTTCGCCTCGCCCTGTCCAGTTTGTCAGAATGTACAGTACTTGGAGGTTGAGATAAATGGCTGTGCAGTATTAGAGTAAGTACTCCGTACATTGCATTAAACTGGTTCCATCATTGCGGTTCGAGTTTACCTGAGGTGGTGTACATACATACATGTAGTTACAGTACCTACCTACCTGCTAAGATAATAGTGTGGTCTGTAGACGGGAAGATCGATGATGATTGCCCAGGGTACAAAATTGTAGGTAAGATCCAGGCCTTCGAGGCTGATGAACATTTTTTCTGCTTCCATTATTATTTGTTCACTTTATTTAATTTTCATCTATTCCACTCTACCTTCTGCTTACTCTAGCTTTTCTCTCACTTTCTCACCCATCTGCTTCTGTTGTTTTGGCCCCGTTCGCACCTCAGACATTACTGGGGCGAAAATTTGGTCCTTTTGAGGGCTGCATGGTGAACGCCGTGACTGACTACCCAGTACCATGTAAGTTACTGTACGGAGTACTCCGTACTCGTGGACACTTTGGCCCAATCGCGGAATGTGTGGTGACCTTCCGATCGGGCTGACTGACTATCACACACCGCATTGAAGGATACGGAGGTTTTATCCTTCTTTTTTTTATTTTTCATTTTTTGCTTTCCACTTTTTTTTCTCTTTCTTTTTTTCTTGCTAGCAGCGGTTAGAGTACACTGTATAGAGTCACAGGCACACGGCACATATTCAGTACGTATGACTATGTATGTAAAGTATGTATGAACATACTCATCATAGTGATACTCCGTGGTGTCGACCCTCCTCCGCACAAATAGGCGGTGCGGAATATGTAGCTTTTGACACAGGTTCATTTATGAGTAGTAGTAGTACCGGTAGTAGTAGCTTGGTTTAAGGTAATCATAGTCCTGTACCTGACTAGTAAGTTACTGCGTATTCCGTAGTATTAGAGACGACGGAAGACTATCCCAGGCTCCGAGCATGTTTGTTTTGAGACCGGAATAGCGAGGTATGACAGCCCTCGTTTATGAAGATAAGACATTGTCTCTTTTCACTCTCGACTGCCATGCTGCTTACCTAACAGTAGATCAAGTTTCTCGTATCGCAACTGCGCGGTTCTTGGAACAGCTAGGATACCCCAGTCATTTACGCAGGCCCCTACCTGGGCTATCGGGATCTATCTCGGCGAATGGGGGCTTGTTTAGAGCTTGGATCCCTCGGGAGCTCGAAGGATCACGATCATCACCTGATTGATTGTATGTAGATCATGGCAGAGGCGGCGGCGATGTCAATTATGGGATTGAATTCTCAAAGTCAAGAACGGGGTTGTGCTGCTGCTCATCAGCATCAGACTCTGAGGTATGCCAACTCTACTTACTCGTATTAGCAGTAGACTGTTCGTAGTCTATAGTGAGCAAACCACTGACATGAAGCTGATGTGTTTCTTGCTGGGTGGAGTAGAAGAGAAATTAGACAGGAGATCCCGAGGACGGACCGCCCGCAGGCGATCAATTACTTACCTACGGAGTACCCATGGAGCACTCCGTAGACAGACCACGGAGTAAAGTACATGCATGGTCTATCTAGTAAGTTACCTACTAATTTAGTATTTCGTACAGTATTGTACCTACTACTCATTCAGCCTTCCTTCAGCCTTCGTGCAGCCTTCAAAGTTCAGGTCCACCAACCCCAGGCCCCCAGGCCCCCAGGGCCCCAGGCCTTGTCATTTCCTCTTCCCCGTGCACTTGAGTTTTAGAGAGGGCTCATTCGCTGCTCCACTCCACCCACCACTATGCTTTAGCCTAAGCACGTAGACTAGTCGAGACACCGCAAGCAAAATTGAAACCAATTTATTTTATTCGTTATTGTGTAAAAATAAAACAAGAATTCGACAGAAAAAAACATTTGGGCAAATTGAAAAAAACTTGCGACAGCCGCGACTGGCGACAAGGAATTGTCTGCCTGCCAATATCCTTCCCGCCCAAACCCCCTTCCCTTCGTCCATCCTCCCCTTCCATTATTGTCCGCCATGGACTTTTCTTGATCACTTCGTGGACACTGCGGGGAGGGTCTCTCCTTCTTGGCCACTCAAGGCTATCGTAGGTAAAGCTCCGTTGCCTTGGCTCCTCATGTCGAGTGACAGCTCGGGATATGGGACCTATAACTTGGAATGATGGACAGTAACTACAGAGTAGTCATCATGCTGCAACCAGTAAACCAATACCCGCCATAATTAGGTATATATTTATCCTCCTTTCCCCGAGTCAGGATAACAATAAGGTACCGAGTAACGATGCTCGTGCTTTAAAGGGCCCTGGTTAGAGTCCTAAGGGCGAATCTCACTGTTGAGTGAAAGAAGGTGGATGCTTGATCAAGTGGTGATAATTACTCTTACATGGCCTCTATGAGAAAAGGGTACGATCGATCTATTGGAATACCTTAGCAATCTCGATTGAGTGTTGGTTTAAAAAAAGAAAGAAAAAGAAAAGAAAAGAAAAAAAGTAGTGACGGGCCGGGCCTTCTTTATCTTGGGATTGTCAAGTACGTATGTACAGTACTGTACTATTGACCCTTCCCTGTGCTGTGGGGTTCTTTCTTCTAGCCTCACGGTATGAGGATCCATTCGGAGTCCGGGTTGGGGGAATGAAAACGAGGAGCTCTTGGTCCTTCCATGCTGAAAGCTCCGTCTCAACACTGGAGCAAGCCCAGATGTACGGAGACTGTGCTCCATAGAGTTAGCGAACCATCAATCTGAAAAATAGGACGATGCGTTGTCTCATCTCCGGTGGTCATTGAATTTCTGGCTAATATTACCGCTGGCGGCTGATCTGCGGTCTACATGAGTATGTAGACAGGCAAACAGGACAAGAAGACGCAATCTGGAGGCAAAAGAAGGACCATTCCCCTGGATACGTCACAAGGCAATGATACAATACATTCGACCCCGATCAACATCCTCTAAAATCATGAGCCAAGCAGCTTTTTTTTGCTCTTCATCCATTCTTCTTATTTGACTCTTCAACCCTATCTCCCTCTGTCTGTAGGAAGTTCGACTTGCAATTTGACCTATTCATGCACGCTATACTACAGTAATCTCTAACTTCCTAATTTAGCCTCTGACCACTTACTTTACTTGTGGTCTCCAAGTAACCTGACATCAGGAGTAGTTCATGCACGATCTGCGTGGATGTACAATGCATTAGTGTAATTGTAGCAACCACTATTTTCTCCATGTGCGTAGGACAATCAGCAAAGAGCAAAAGCCCTCAGCTGTTATCGCCGATATGCCAGGTAAGACACTGAGGTAGCAAGTGCAAGGGTGGAGGTGGTGCCTTCCTTATTGGGCAAGCGGTGGCCTGGTTGGGGGATATCCTCCTCTCCCTCCTTCTTCTCCTCCTCCCTCTCAACAATCCTTTTACGAATAGCTTCATATTGAGAATCAAGATCAATCCAATTAGTTACCCTTTATCATTCCATTCACTCATACCGCGTCATTCTTCCGCTTCATTATTCTATCCTCGCTCGGGCGTCTTCAACACTTACAGTAGGGAGGGGTACCTACCTAGGTACCTACCTCCACCAGGCTATTACTAGGTACTACCTAGTAAGGTAGGTAGTAGTCATCACAAAGCCAGGCCGGGATGGAAATCAGCCGCCAATGGCTCCTCCAAACTTTTGCCGCCACCGAGACACGAGTTGATTGGCATCCCCCTCATGCCAGACTCTTAGGAGCAGGTATCTACGGAGTACACCAGTTAATACCTAGTAATTTAGACTCCCGAGTCGATCATTCAACGCCCTTCATCTTCCTGTATTTTTTTTGGCAATCCCTCGTGAACGCCATAGAATCTCTCCATTTGTTTGTTCTAACTCCGCGACTAACGCTACTAACTAGGCCACTTGTGTGCTAACAATCTCAGCCATGAAATACTCATATTAATCCCATCGCCCCTCCCCAAATACCTTGTACAGTACAGTGTACAGTATAATATTTACAGTATATTGCTAATGCCACAGTTTGGATAGAGCATACCAACCCCATCGCGAAGTTGGGGCCAGCACTTTGTACTGGACGTACTGGAGATCTTCCGTCCCTACCGGACACACAGACTCGTATTGAATGTGCTTTGGAGGGAAAACTAGAATCATACTTCGTAATTGACTTATTAAATATGTAGGTGCTGACTGTCCCTGCATTGGCCAAATGGGCTCGACACCCCAGCTGGGTTGTCAACCGGCAGTTGTGGTGCGTGTTTTTTCAGGTAGCCAAGATACGGAACCTAGACGTCAGCGTGGTTTCGTGGTTTAGTTCAGCAATGTTTTAGCAGGGGTTTTGCGTCATCTCCATAAGCTGAATGCTTGATGGCAGCCCCATTTAGTGTTTAACTTCAGATCAACCGATCAACCCCCTATGGACCTGTGCTGACATACACCTGCACATGAATCGTGGCTTGACACCAGTGCTCGATGCAGTCTCAGAATCTCTCCAAGGGGGGCCCGGGGTGTTTTGCCCCCTCCCAAAGAAAACGAAAGACATATCTGGTTTCCGGAAAAAAGGCTATAGATCCTGATCTTACTTTCAAATCCCGCACCCATGTGCTGGAACTCAAGCGATAAGACTAATTTACATCTTCTTTTCCCTTGTGGTGAATATTCCTGCAGAGTGCACTGTTGCAGAAAGACAGACCAGCAAGACATTAGGGTTTGCAGCCTGCTTCGGGTTATAGCTATTGTCGATCAGTAGTAAAGTCCAGAGCATATACTAGACTATTGTGTATCTGATTCGAAAACGAGGTAGCTCCCTCGAAGTCGCCTGTTATGGCCAGTTGTGCCACCCTCCCCAAGCTATCATGTAGGTAGCATGAAGTCTACACATATATCATTCACGATTCACAGTGCTTTCATCATTAAGGCAATTAGCCTCTTTTGAAGACAAATTCATTACCGGAAATTCAGCGGGTGACTACTACCAACACAGCCCGTAGACTGATTTCGCTTTTGGTTATTGGGCTGCGCTTTTGGAGGCCAAAGACCAGCCCTGTAGGATGGCCACTTACCCAACCGCGCGCGGGAGTCGGGGAAGGACGCGATCATCCTTCGGCAACGCAAACACCCTGAAGCAGAACGAAGCGAGGAGCAGCAGGTTTCAAAATCAAGGCAAGAACAGCAGTTACGAAGACAGAAGACATTTCACATTTGCGCCAAGGCTTTCCCATGTTTAGCCCAATTACCGTCCGGTGTACGTAGAGTATCTGGAAGAGAAAAGAAGAGGAAAGACCCGAATGATTAGCAACGCTCATGAAAGGTATCAAACAGGTGGGAAACCCTCCGTCTCATAATGCTGATCTTATTATCACGGGTACTGGGACTTACCTCCAGATTCTTGCCCGCATATCACCGCTGCCTGTAGCGAATAGATTGTTGGTGGGACTAGGAGCCACAGAAATGACTAGAAAAGGGGTCAGTTAGGAAGCACACCAAATAGCAAGGTTGCTCGGGAGAACGTATCGTCGGGAGAACGTACCTGAGTTTTTATGACCTTGAAGCATCATCTGTGCGTTGCCAGTGATTGGATCCCAGAATTGGACGCCTCTATCCTTGGAGCCACTCATAACCCAGTGGCCATCAGGGGTCAAGCAAACACTGAGCACAAAATCCTGACCTTAAAGTTAGCTACTACAAAGCTGCGGTGATAGCAGAAAGACAAATTACCTTGTGACCCTCAAAGGTACGGACACATTTTCCGCCTTTGACTCCACTCCCCGGGTACGCGCCACGGGGAACATTGAGCTCCCAGAGCTTGATGGTTTTATCGAGACTGCCACTGACGAGGTCTCTACCGTTGGGTGCAAATGCGACTGAGTAGACACTATCCTTGTGGCCATCAGGATTTTCCAGGCGCTCCACAAGGTAGCCGGTGGTCGTATCCCAGACCCGAACGCTCTTGTCGAGGGAACCCGCAGCGACGTAATGACCATCAGGTGACATGGCCACAGTGGTCACACCATCTTCAATGCTCAGGGTGTAAACTAACTTGCCGTCGAGAATGTCCCAAAGACGGACAGTCTTATCTCCACTGCCGGAAGCAATATAGCGGCCATTGCCCGCAAAGTCCAGAGAGTAGATGTCCTGCTCGTGGCCACTGAAAACGTGCTTGATAGTCCGAGAACTGATGTCCCAAACCTGGAAAACATTAATTAGCTTCTGTAGTAGGTGGGTTTGGCCAATTGCCTTTTGTAGGCGAATCCGTAACATATAGCAAGTTCCGGGCGGTTGGGCCAAGGGGAGAAAACAAAGCTCATGCGCAGTAAACAAGGAGGATGAGTAGGGCTGGAAAGGCGATGCTGCCAGGCAGGCTTTCGCCTCCTAAGGATGATGCAGAGCTAGACGTACCCGAATCTGTTTGTCTTCCGCACCCGTAGCAAGATACTTGCCATCCGGACTGAAGCAAACGCTGCGAATGTACAAATCGCCGTTCTTATCGACTGTTTCGTCTTGCAGAGTGGCGACAACCTGACCGCTAGTAACATCGTAAATCTGTGCCTGACGGTTACAGCCAGTGGCAAGGTATTTGCCATCTCGGCTAAACCTGACACAGCAGACGACGCTGTCATGGACGAGATGATGGACAAGTTCGACATCTAGTACGCGCTGCACTTCCGGGTTGAACACAGCATACCAATCAGCGCCCTCCCGCTTCTGTGAAGCCGGTAGCTCGTCGGGGTTCCAGTTGGCGAGCATGTTCCCAGGGCGATCGCGGACCAATGACTGAGTAGGAGGGGTCGGCCGAGCCAGTTGCGGGGAGACGCGTGGGTCGGGATAAGCGAGCTGATGAGTCTGCTGGGGGGTAGCCGGGCCAGGAGGGGCGCGAGGCCGCTTACCAGGACCTGGGGAGGCAGCAGGTGGAGGAGGGGGTCCATAGCCTGGACAATGGTAAGGCACAGCCAAGTTAGTCACTAGGAGTTCTGTTTCCAATGCCAAGTTGCAACGTACCGTTCACAGCAGCACCAGGTTGATATCCTCCGAACGAGCTCTGTGGTGGTTGCGGCGCTCCTTGCTGAGCCGCGGCAGCAGGTTGTTGAAGAGTATGCTGGGGAGGCTGCTGATCCTGGGGAGGGGGAGGGGCAAGACCGGGGCCACTACCTCCTTGATTGGTCATGATACCGCCGAACAAGTTGCTCGGACCATGACCCAAGGCAGGCGGCGGCGCCTGGGAAGGGCCAGTGTGCTGGGCAGGGCCGGTGATATGCGATGAGACGGGTTGGACACCGCGAGACTCAAGCTCGTGTCGCAGCACTCGAATTTCCGCTTCATAGCTGCGAAGCAACAGGCATTAGCTTTCCTTGTGTCATGCGCACTCAAAGTAATCCCCGGATGTGATAGGTCACGCACTCGTTCTTCATCTTCACTTGCGTCTGCTCCAGCTGAAAGATTTTTTGCCGGATCATTTCCATTTCCTGCAGCTGTCCGGTTACTAGACATTCAATTAGCAAGCGGCACCTCGAGGAAGTGGCCCTATGTCAGTTATGTTTCTAATTCCCTCCGATTTCCCCTCCAGTAGATCGTTGTAACGCGATCGAGGAGGTAAGGGAGATAGTTGGTCGCAGAACCAATGCAGGGAGCCACGTTAAAATAAAGAAAGGCCAGACGTACATTGGTGTTCAAACTCGCCAGTGCTTCTGGATTGGTTCTCAAATTCCTGACGGAGCTGGTCCAACAACTCTGTCAGGCGAGAGTTGGGAGCGGGAACCATCCCGCGATGAGTGTTATACATAGCGCACAATTATGTTTCAGTGCTTTCGCGTGAAGAAGCCAAAGAAACGACTCTGACAGATCGATTTTCGGGGAGAAACACGAGGACAAAAGGCAAAGAAAACCCAGGTGAGAGAGCGAAGGGGAGAAGAAAGAGGGAGGATGCGGTGGGATGAGAGAAGCAAGAAAGTCAATTTGCTCCGCCTAACGGTTATATCTGTTGTTTGTTGTCTGTGATGGACGACGAGGATAACAGGTTTTGGTGACAGGGCCACAGAGACTGAAAAAGGGTAATCAGTCAACGCAGCCACATTACAGCGCGCCCTGAAGGATTTGGCGCAGTAGTGAGCTTAAGTTGAGATCAAGGTTTCGATGATAAAGAAAAAGGGGATCAGCTTTGGAACCGATCGAGGTAGAGGTGAAGCTGAGGGAGAGGTAATTGAGGAGAAGAGAAGTGGGACAAGGGAGGGGAGGGGTCAGGGTGATTGTAAATGAATTGAATATGATGTGGTGGTGGGTTTGGGGGTGGGGGAGGGTGAAATGGTAGGAAGTGGTGGATGAAATGAGGGAGCGGGTGGTTGAGTTTCTGAGGCTGAGGTAGGAGGAGGAGGAGGAGCCTGGAGGAGCCTGGAGGAGAAGGGTGTCGATTCAGATGAGGTGACAGTTCGGTTTAGGCAAAGTACGGAACTCCGCTGGGATATCCCCGCTACCCAATCGCCACCCATGTTTGCCGCTCCAAGCGAGCGGCTGCAGCTCCGGACACAAACCAAGCGCTGCTGGCCAGTTGACCAACCATTTCTTGGCCGGCTACGGAGCAGCAAGCACTGTTGTATCAATGGCTCAGTACTCGGTGGTCAACTGTTAAGAATTAATCTCTTATTGACCAGATCAGCTTTTTCATTCGGCTTGACGGGCAAGACTTGACGGATTATCAGTATCATTGATCTTGGTAACCTGTCTGAGTTGAGGAGGATTGCTCGCGGCTAGTGATACTACAAGTAACTACCGTAGGTATATAGTCGCGCCAGTACTTAGCAGGCTTAACTCGCTTGACATTTATTAAAGAGTATCATCAACATCCACTTGCATCTGGTTTACTTTTACTTTTACTTTTTCTTTTTCTTTTTTTTAGAAAGCCTAAGCTGGCTTGGTGCATAAGTGAGTCTATTATAAGATTATAGATACATACATGTGCTCAATCCATGAACATACCTATTATATTTTGGGTTTACTTGTATACTCCGTTCCCACTAGAGGCGAATAGCCAGCAACATTATCGATGACGAGCGGTTGGGTTTGTTCCGCTCTGGTGTGATCCCTCCGTCCTGAACAGACCATTAAGTTGATTGGCGTTCCTTGTATCGGATACTCCACCGGTGCCTGCATTATTTCTTCTAACTAGCTAGGTATTAACTTACTCTTCACGGCAAACTAAATTTACCCCTACTTTTGGCTCCGTACTACAGTACCTCTTCTTCCCTCTTTCATTTTCTAACTCTTCCTAATTCCTACTACCGTACTCCTCCTCCCCCTCATTCCCCCCCCCCCTCTCCTCTTTTTGTTCTTTCCCTTTCCTTTCATTTAAGGTCCCTGAAAACCATACTTCCTTCGTCTCTATCTTCTACTCGATTCCCCAGCGAAGGTCTTCTAATCCTTGTGGACGGTTGTTACTGTCGAGAGCCATCATCTCTCTCTGTCTCCGTTCACCATTCCCCTGTGGCGATCAGGACACAATTATGGATATCGCCCTCGAAATTTGGGACACCTTCATTGGTGATCGCCTCTACTCCTCCCTCCTCCCTTTGTCGCTCTCGTCCTCTGTCTCAATTCCAGGGGTTAACACGGCTGCCAATAGCACACTGTCTCTTTTCGGTGCATCCGAACCCTACGTCTATGAACCGGCCACGCAGCTGTTCTCTCTGGAGCCCAGCAAATACGCCTACCTGAGCGCTTGGCCGAGGAACAACATCTATCGTCAGTTTCTCAGCTTTTTTCTGATCGTCTGGTATGTGATGCGATCTCCCACCTGTCGCGCATTCTCACTGCTAACTGAGACTGTCACGATATTAGGATCTTTGGTCTGATTGTCTACTTCATTTGTGCCACACTCTCGTACATCTTCATTTGGGACAAGACTACTGTTCGCCACCCCAAGTTTCTCAAGAATCAAATCCCCATGGAAATCGCGCAAACAATGCAATCGATGCCGGTCATGTCACTGTTGACGGCCCCCTTTTTAGTCGCTGAAGTCCGTGGCTACGCCAAACTCTACGATACTTTTGATGAGGAGCCTTTCCCCTACTACAGCGTCCTGCAATTCCCACTATTCATTGCCTTTACGGATCTTTGCATCTACTGGATTCACCGTGGCTTGCACCATCCCTTAATCTACAAGACACTACACAAGCCTCACCACAAGTGGATCATGCCCAGTCCCTTCGCATCCCACGCCTTTCACCCGCTTGATGGCTGGTCCCAGAGCGTTCCCTATCACGTCTTCCCCTTCATCTTTCCCCTTCAGAAACTTGCATACGTCTTCCTTTTCGGGTTCATCAATCTCTGGACTGTACTTATTCATGATGGTGAATACGTGGCCAACAGCCCAGTCGTCAATGGGGCCGCCTGCCACACAATGCATCATCTTTACTTCAACTATAATTATGGTCAATTCACTACTCTGTGGGATCGTCTGGGTGGCAGCTACCGGAAGCCAAACGAGGAGCTCTTCCGCCGCGAGACCAAGAATGACCAGGAAGAATGGAAGCGGCAAACGAAAGAGATGGAGACCATTCTCCAGACGGTCGAAGGCGAGGATGATCGGAGCTACTTGGCCGACGGAGAGACCAAGAAAAGACTGTAACACAAGAATCATCTATGTGTCTCCAAGCTCGCCCATCACAATCAATACAGGGACCCCACATCAGCCTGCCGGTTTTAGATTTCGTCCTGGCTCTTCCAACCTCCCCCCTTGGAATGATCTGATACATGCGCAGCCAACGCTCATCGTTGGCCTCGAGAGCTCGAGAAGAAACAAATCCACGGTTGCCCCAAAACGTCCCGGGATCATGATTTGACGGCGTCGGAATCGAGTTTATGCGAAATTGATTCCACCCAACTGACGTCTGCTCCATGGCAGGTGGCCTCACGAGTTCATGGTTCTTGCTTTCACAACACTTTTTTTGCTATCGCCATCACACTTCCTAATCACCACTGTACAACACACTTTCTGGTATGATGGTTGTCTTATTAATGCCTGTTCCGTACCTTACGTTCGTTATCAAAGTGCTTCATTAAGCTGCGCTGGTGGCGCGACTTCGGAGTTACCCTCAACGCTCCAGTTAGGTATCCCTGCAGTTCTGCTTGTACATAGATTTTATATATTTTTCCCCCGACCCCAGAACTGGAAACAAATAGATCATTGGATCTTCGGACGCAATACAATCACGAGTCTAGAGCAGTCGAAACCTAAAATTGAATTGACGACGACAGCGACATTTTATGGGAAGACAGCATGGAAAGACTACATGATGCGGAGCATGGCTTTGGTGTTTCTTTCGCGGCTCGCTGACATCTGGAACTTCTTAGCCGAGCCCCTTTCGCCCTGTCCTTGTGGATTTTCTTGAAATGAACCTGCCTCTACACCACGTCACCGACGCCCAGAACATCAAGCTTCTATCTATCATGGTTGGGGTGTTTTTTCTGGATATCTTCCAAAAGATTCGATCAGAGGGAATCCATACATGTCACTCTAAATTGCGCTGATTCGCTGGCTTGATTGATCTTACAACAACACATACTCACACATACACACCTATGGATACAAAGCAAGAACCAAGCCCAATTTAGACAAATACAGACGGTCCCTATCATACCACAGAGAACTGGAAGTTACCACTCGGACCTTGTAGACTTCTTATTTTCCACCATCACCCTCAACAATATCCATATTTCCGTTCAACGGGGCATGCTCCGAAGCGGCGGCATCATCAGGGACCGGAGTAAGTGCTACCGTACCGACCGGAGCTGCTCCGACCAAGGCTTCGACAATGAAGGACTCCTCAACGCCAGCTTTGCGCCGGAATACCCTGAGCCATCGCTGACCCCAGCGCCGGATGATCTCATCTTCAGGTAAGGTACCACTTCCGTCCCCCCTTTCCATCAGTTCGTCATTACTGCCGCCAGCAACCGACACGATGGAGTCCTCAATTACCCGGAAAAGAGCCTGCATATCGGTCTTTTCGCGTTTCAGAGTCTCGTCCAGGACGCTCAATTGAGGCTCGTACAAACTAGGCTGAGTACGGGCAGCAACGATCTGTCGTAGGCGATTTGTGACCTTCCCAACGGTGGCGGATATCATCTCGAAGACGTGCGGTTTGGCGAGAACCGTACCTGCCGCGAGCTTGTCGACTAGGGCCCATTCGACAACTGACAGCGGTGTAAGGATGGTGTAATTCAGGAGTTTGTCGATAATATTTATACCGATGCCTGGCTGATCGACCCAGTAATCCATGACGGATGTGATAATTTGACGCTGAGCCCGAGGTGACTTAGGGCCGATGGCCAATAGTCGCTCCTTGTTACGCTCAATGCATGAGAGGAAATGAGATAGAGATTTGGATCCCACAAAGCAAATCGCCGTGACAAATGCGTCGGTGGATGGAATCAGCGGATCCTCGACCCCTAAAGACTTAGCTTGCTCTTCTATCGCATCGATAAAGGGTTGTATCTCCTCGTCGCTCGCTTTCTTTCGAACAAGCTGCATAATTTCCTTGCCTTCGTTCGAATACGGTGTAGCTGGACAGTGTGTCAATTCACTGGTCATGTCGATGAGAACAACCGGGAGATAGTAGAGCAGCGAGAGGGAAGAGAATAAAGGGTCAGATATGGGGCATGATAAACATACTGTCGGACATGTACTTGAAATCAGGTGTGTCTTTTTCCTTCCCCTCCGTAACCAATTCTTGATATGGGTCCGGTAAAGTTCCTCTGATGCGCTGAGCAAAACTTAATCTGATCTCCTTGTCGAGCGCTCCGGTTATGAAAGCCATTCGAGGGTGGACTGCAGGTAAACCCAGATCCTCGATCCTGATAACCAAGTTAGCTTACCAGCTGAAGCCAATGGAGATTGTTCTATCTTACCATTCACTCCATTTCCAAGTGAAACCAAAATTACTCAAATGATGGGAGAACCAATCCAGGAATCGCTGACTGAGGTCAAGGTCGATGCTCTCAAGGCTGCGATATAGGAAACGAATAGCTCGGCCCAAACTTGGAGCGATGGCGGCTGGAGCAATCTTGCAGCACTCGGTAAGTACTGAGTGGTAGTAGATGAATTTGTGTTCTGGGCATGGCAGCTGGAATAATTGAGAGAATACTGCATCGACGGCAACGTCTTCCGGCTTCCATTGCGGGCGATCAGTGGGCAATTCACGCAAGCGATCAAAAGGCGTGGCCCGCTTGACGAAGGTATTTGGGGTGAAATAACAATCCACGTCAATTAGATACTTCGCAGTTGCAATTCGGTTAAAGTCCAGAATGTTGATAGTGTCAACAAGCGAGTCACGCAGCAGAGAGGAGGCAATATCCGATGTTGGAGGTACCGTCTCGATGTCTTGGTTTGCATAGACAGAGAGGTAGATCTCCGGAAAGATTGCTCTCGCTCCGTGGCCGACAGGACTTGGCATGACGACTTGCGGAAAAGCATGTTTTGCGCCGGGTGCCGTAGTGCTTGCAGATTCGGCTTCTTCCTCATCTTGAGCACCTTCGTCTTGGGCTTCTTTCTGAGCCTCGAGGGTTTCATAGATTCGTTTCCATGGGCGAGGAAGGCATGCGAGCTCCCAAGACCGATTCGATTCGCCCTGTAACTGTTTCTGCATCAAGCTGATTACGCTCTCCGTGGCCGCCGGCTTGCCTTCGGTGAGACAGAATGGGTCCACAAGATCCACAAGAGCATGCGGAGTAGATGCGATGATGTCTGTCTTTTCAAGGAGGGCAGTAGCATGGGTCTCGAAGCGGGTCGCTGGGGATGCCATTACATATGGCAAGGTGAAGAGGATAATTTTGACAAGTTCCAAACCGAGCAACTGTCGCAGACAGTTAGCATCTACTCAGTACAAGAAATGTGCTACTGGGCTACTCGCATCTTCAGAGGAGGCTGTTTGAAGGTCGACTGCGCGTGCAAAAATTTCCTCCAACAAGGGAAAGATACCATCTCCCTCAAGGATACCCTGAAGGCAACCGAGGAAGCGCAGGAGGAGCTTGACTTCACGCCACGCACCAGCATTAATGTATCCTTGCAGAGCTTCACCCGCCCTCGTCAGGAGTTCTGAGACGGGCTCTGGATTCAAGACATTTGCGGCAAGAACTGTTGCCGCAATGAAGGGGATCTTCAATGGCTGCTCAAGGACACTGTTTAGTGAGTGTTAGCTCCGGGCCAGGCTATACTCATTCACATAGGTAGTTGCATACAGGTCGATTGCAGTCTCAAGGTACACCCCTCTGATTTCATCATCACCGTAGTTCTCAGCCACAGTCTTCGCAATATGGATAGCGTCGTCCTCTGCTCTTCGGGCGGCCTGGAGAGAAGTGTATAAGGTAAGCTCGAGGACTGGGGCTACTACACGGACGCGAGCCATGTCATTGCAGGAAATCGTACAGATTCGGCAATTGTGAGCAACTGCCTCCGAACTTTGACAAATAAAGGCTCCTCGTGTCTGCGCCGCTGGCGGCGGTCGTAGTCGTCATCATCTATACGTTCCATACACATCTGTAAGCAAGAATGGCAACTGCCCAGGGTAAAGCAAGGAAACAGATGACAGAACAGCACAAACTGAAGTAAAGCAGCCATGAATCTCATTCTAGTGAGCGAATGGTGCTACTAACCTCTATAGCGTCTCTTGCGACCACCCCTTGGGCCATGAGGTCGACGTTCGTAGTCAGCCATCGGGGAAAGTGCTAGGTCCTCAAGGGCTACTCCGCACACGGAATTCAACCAAGCGAAGCGAAATAATAATTTGGTCTGCAGCTGACGCAGCAAGAGAGACCGGGTTATCGGCTTCTTGGTGGGGATTGTCGTCGGGGTGGAAGCGCGTATGTTCTGAAGCAAAACAGTGCCGACCGATGATGCTCATCAATTCCGGGGCATGGGATCCTCCGACCCGCTGATTATATAACCGGCACATCTTTAACTGAACTTGAACTACTACCTTCTTCCGAACTCAGCTTAGCAATGCTAACTGACTCCCCTGTGTTATATACGTACTGTGCCATTGCGAAAGGTTTCATCTCATAGTTGACACTGCAACCAAAAAGAAAGGGGGGGCAAAGGGGCAAAAAGGCCGCAAGCTCTCTCTTACGAGAAAATTAGTAGAACTAACCAACGCCGCCTTTCCTATCAAGTCGACCCAGAGACATAGCGTCTTCTAAGCGATGGGATTGTGCAAAAACATCGAGATACGAAGGATTGTATGTGTAACATCATGCCAGAAGATACGCGCTAAGGCATCAATGCCTTGGTTTAGCGATCACCCACATTGCCCAATGTGGAGCTCCAGGTATACTGTCTGGGAAGTCTAGGGGAGAATGGAAACATGAGTTGTGCAAGAGAAAGAGAAATAAGCTTGTCTGCTTGCGGAGATCAGAGGCATTTTTATACCATACTAGCATGGTAGCTTCATCGTAAGCGAGTCAAGCAGCATGACCATCCTTTGTCAAGCGAACGATGATTGAGGAAAATCAGAAGTAGTAATAGGTTGATGATATAAGGGAAACAAGTGAGAACGAGGAAAAACCGGGCAACAGGAAAATGGAGGTTTCGACAATTCGAGTAACGAAGCAAAAGAGGAATGAAGCAAAAGAGACACAGATGAGGGCATCTAGAGCTGCAAGTCAAGGAGAAGACCTCCAATACCTATATTCAAGCACACTCACAGACACAGAGCAATGTGCATCCAAACAAAGAAAATCCTCATAATATCTGACGCATTTGTAGGATATACCTGTCCGCCTCTCTGAACAAGATTTGCGGCAACTTGTTGCAAGGACTCCTCGGATGGGAGATTCACAATCGACATACTCAAATTCCGAACGGCAGACTCACGCAATAAGGGTATCACTTTTGTTTTCTTCCCACGAGCTGTCTCAGACAACTCGGTGACTCCAGGGTATGACAACTTCTCGAACCCTGCATGTGAAACGGTCATCATCCCTGAGCCCCTCTTTGAAACTTTTCTGATCGTCGCCCGAGTCACACATCGTCTGTTCCCATTCGCTCTCTTTTTCTTTCTTTTCATTCTGATCATAACCCCCCCCTTTTTTTGGTACCATTTTCCGCCCTTATGCTTGCGTTATGCCATTTCTCTCCGTCTCGCTCATTCAGAAGCCAGCTCCCGGATGCTCCAACCGATGGGTTAGTCCTACAAGACTGACAAACCTTACCCATGTATCACAAATCGCCCAATGCATGAAAGTGAGCCCATACGACATGATTTCAAAGACTTGCAGTCATGTGCAACGGGCCTTGCACTGTGGAAAGCGTGTTACCCATAAGCTTCACATGCACGGACTCAGTCTAGGCGTGCGAGCATCTCTTCCTTAGAGAGTGGTTTAAAATTGTTGATGTCCAATCCGCGGGCCTCAAGTGCAGGGCGCGCATGAGGAGGGACCAGCCGGGTGTTCATTGCAGGTGCAATAGAGAGCTCTGTGGGTGCAGACATGCGTTAGCTTTTGAAACAAGCCAAACCCACCCAAAGTATAGGAAACAAACCATGTCTGGAGAAATCGAAAAGACTTGGAAGGTCCCTTGTTGACCCGCTTGGGTGTCGTGAATCGGGTAGTCGAGTGTTGGGGTCTCGGAGCTCGTCAAAGAATGGATGGCACATCGCTTCGATCGCTGACAGACGTTGGGTAGGGGTATATTCTAGCAGGGCGGAGATCAAATCAATGGCCTCATGGGGTGCCCTCCGAAAGACCTAATACTGAGTTAGACACCGATTGCTAGAAGAACGAAATGCCAACGGAATCTAGCCTACCTTGTTGAATGGGTGTGGCTTGATTTGGGGAAACTTATGTTCCATGTAATTGGGGTTCATGGTTCGGATCTGTTCTCGCGTCGGTGTCCCCAGAACTTTGATAATTTCAACCAATTGGTCGATTCCCGACTCTCCCGGGAAAAGCGGTTGTCCGAGCATCAACTCGGCCATGACACAACCAGTAGACCACACATCTAAGAACGATTAGCATTAAAAGGGTAACGCTAGGGATATAGCGGCGATAGTTACCAATCTTTGTAGTGTAATTCGTCGCACCGAAAATTAATTCTGGAGCTCTGTAGTAACGAGAACAGATATAAGAGACGTTAGGCTCATTCTCGACAAGAATCTTCGCGGAACCGAAGTCGCAGAGCTTCAAGATGCCAGTGCTCGGATCCAGGAGGAGATTTTGCGGTTTGATGTCACGATGGCAGATGCCCTGGGAATGGATATATGCCAAGGAGCGGAAGAGCTGGTAAATGTATAGCTTGACCTCGAGCATCGGCATTGTCGTCTTCAGCTTGTTGAAATAACGTGATGCCCGATAGACCGTCTCCGGTACGTATTCTAAGACAAGGTTGAGGTAGACTTCGTCCTTCTGCGGACCGGTCAGCATGGAGAGTAGTGCAAAAACACCTAAAATCTTGTCGCAATAGAATGGAGAAGTGGAGGTTAGGTGGTCCATACCCTTTCGCCATTGGAATAGTAAAATGCTTTAAGCTCGACAATATTGGGGTGGCGCACAATCCGCATGATTTGAAGCTCACGATTCTGGGAGTCTGTCAGCGACCTTGCACGCATCGTCAGGTAGTTCGCCCCGAGCCACGCACTTTGAAACGCTTGTCTTGGAGAACCCTCTTGATGGCAGCGTCCTCGCCGCTCGGCATCATCTTGGTCTGGAAAACGACACCAAATGATCCATTGCCGACAATTTTGCACTGTGAATAGGATATCTCCTTGGTCTCTCCAGTGAGTCCATCTTGGACTTTCTCGCGGACGACCTCTGCAATGATGAGCGATGGGAAAATGAAGTCAGCCACCAGGTTCAGCGATCAAACAACCGACATTGAGGTTTTCCGAGAGGGAGACAGAAGGGGATTCGTGTCTTACCACCAATGCGCAAACTCGAGAACACCCCAGGCCGATTCTGTGACATCACGGATAGCTTGTGAAGACGACAATGAGCGGTAGCTAGAATGACGCTATTGAGAAAAGAGATGCTTGAGGGTCAACAGCGAATGGGTGCGCAGAGATACTGGAGCAAGATGTAGAAAATCCGTTCGAGGCAGGCTGGCGTCGGTGGAGCACAAGTTGAAGAGGGGTGCGCTGGATGGGCGGACTATCCGAACGGTGGATGTTGAGTGGAGGTGCGCGTGAGATGAAGGGTTGAGAAGCGGGCGGGCGAATCGCAGAAGGGAAGACTCCGGCGACCAAAGACCAATGATTTGAACAGGGCGCCAAGAAGTACAGTACACAGAGAAACCAGGAAGCAGTTAACGCCCGGAGAGAATAGGATTTCGAGCGAACTGCGGGCGGGCGATGGCAGAGAACGAAAAGAGAGGGGGGGGGGGGGGGGGGGGGGAGGAGAGAGAAAGAGAGAGATAGTCTTAGTAGGAAAGGGGAGAAGCAGCTGGAAAGAATCCAGAACAGCTGATTCGAGGAAAATGGTTGGGAGAGAGAGAACAGTAACTGTGACCGAACGAATTCAAGGAAGGGCGGGTAAGGTAAAGGGTTAAAGAGAAGCACAGGTTCTCGTAGGGGAGGGATGGTCGGAGGAGAGGGAAAAGCGAGAGAGAGAGAGAGGGAAGAGGAGAAGAGAGCGAGAGCAGGTGACGTTGGTCGAGCGACGAAGCCCGAACACGCGAGGGCTGCAGGAACGCGGTAATAAAGCACCGGGAGGGAGAGGGAGAATAGTAAAGTAAGGAATACACGAGCACACGGGACAACTCTCTCTCTCTCTCTCTCTCTCTCTCTCTTCTCTCTTTTCTTCTATTTTTCTCAGATAATGTAGTGGATTCCAAGTACGTACAGCCACGAACTAAGAAGCAATAGCAATTCACTAAACACAGTGGTCAAGAAGGAAGGCAGCAAAGGGGAAACATTATAAGGAAAGACAGACCCACGATTGACTCCCAAAGGAGACAGAAGTGAGTAGCCCAGCTACTATTACTAAGTTCTTTAGCTACAGCTTGCCCCGATATCTGGAATGTCAAGCCCAGAAGAGCAGCGACCAGGCTTAGCCTGGAGGGTACTTTACTTCTCTAGCTTGGGATGGATAAATTGGGAGGGGGGTGGGCGGGCAGCGGGACCTCCCCGGGGAGATGAGGAGGACGAAGGGAAAGATTCTTGTAGTTGTCACCAATTGTAACGGCAGTACTCCGTAATATTACCGATAAACGCATGCAGCAGCAGCTGTGGCAGTGCGAATGGTTGTGGTATGTGTATACACTATAAAACTTACCTTAGTATCTTGAAGGTAAAAATAAGAAGAGCACCTAGGATTGCTCTTCATCAAGTTCCGGCATAATTATCCCCGACAGGACTAGCTCAAAGGCAATCTGGATATACTGTTAATATAAAACCTATACACTATATAGTTCCCTTGAGGTCTTTCTACGACTGGGATAATACACTGTCCACGGACTGATCAATACATACCTCTAGAGATTATGTCTTTAATCTCAAGTATTGTGTATGTATTTATATATGCAGTAAAAGTACAGTATAAATACAGTATAAGTACAGCATGTATGGGTTGGGGGGGGAGGGGGTGCTGTTATAGTACATAAGTTACATACCTTACCCGAAGAATTCTGATCCAAACAATCCCGTGTTAGATGAGATTGGCACATTCCAAGTAGATACTGCATTTCTAAACTCATTAGAATTGATTCTAGATAAGTTGTATGTATTGAATCGAATCGCCTATAACGTTCCTTCCCTTACTGCAGCTGGACGCAAGGTATAGTACAGTACATACACTAAGTTCATACTTAGTATAACCCAGGTGACTATTGGAGAGAACGCCGCCTGAGCCCCATTGTTATGATCAGGCTTCACACCCAAGTGCTAGAATTTATGCATTGTTTTCCAAAAGAGCTGGTCAACATCACCTGAAAAGGTCACTACAGATGGGTGAGGGCAGAGCGAAGCTTGTATCCCGCTTGAATGCGTCCCCTCAATATACCTACCAAGCAACGAGGGTTATGATGACTACTCGCAGGTAACTTAGACTTGGATGGCGGACCTGGCGAGGAACCGCGAGGATTGGGCGAGAACAGCCACTGCTCCATGGGCAGATGACCTTGGGCCTTAAGTGTTTGGGTATAAGATCACATAAGGCGGAAATGATCTTGATGGATTTCGGGTTTCCACCATATTTGAACCTTCTAGAGAGATCTTATAATGCAGGAATAATAGATCCTGAGCCAAAACATACTGTAGCGTCATTCCTGGCAACGGTAACGGCCTCAATGAGAAGAGCTATGACGCATAAATACTACGAGTAAGTACCAGGAAGTTTAGGTAGTTGGTTTAGCACACTTCATCTCCATCTTCAAAGATTAAGATGTTATCTGTCCCTGCAATAGGTAAGAAAGAGAAGAGAAGAAAAACATGAAGGGAGGTGAGTGGGGAAAGGGAAGGGAAGGGGGGTGCGCAGAAGCGGTGGGGCTAAAGAGAGATTTCGGGGGGGGGTTGAATCAGGTGACCGGGCGCTCAGCACTAGGAGCACATGACATAGACTATTTAATGTTAGTTAGTAGTTGTATACGAAGTACCTAGTGCTCACTACAGGTAATTAAATCAGGTAGTGTAATTTAGTAAACTAGAAACTGGTGGTAGTTAGGTACGGAGTAATCTGGGTAGATGTCTAGCTGAGTCCGGACCATCGATGTCATGACCCAAGGAATCTTTTTGTACATACTATGTAAGTACTTCGTACTCAGCAAGTAACCATGGGGCGTAGTGAACTTATGAAGTCCCAGTGACAGGTTGAGCAGACTACTACTACCTTAGTAGGCTTGGTCTACACTATCTTTTACCATCACCTACTGTTATTGGTTTGCTCCATGTCAAGTGACCATCCGTGATTTTCACCCTAGTACTTTGTTGATTGGTGGTTCCAGCGGACTCAGCCTCTTCAATCTCAGTTCATGGAGAGAGATAAATTTCAGGGTACAGGTACAAAGTAATGGCTTACTGTAAGCTGTAATAAATATATATAATTAATGCAGGCTGTGTAAGTATACAATACTGTACATTAACCATGTACTATATGCATGGGTTTTAATCGTACGTGCTTTGCCCCTTCCCCAAATCCCCTTTACCCCCACCAGGCTTTCCCCGCCACAATTCCACAGGCCACAGCACCCTTTCCATGCTCGAGTGCAATCTAGATTATGGCGCTGGCGCTGCCCTTTTGTTATCCACAACCTATGCCACCTTCTCCGACTCTGTCTAGTGGTATAATGATAACATATATAGAGATGTGGATTCTATAGACTGACTCGCCTCTTTTGCCCAAAGCACGTTGCTATTTGGAGCATGGCCGACTTGAATCCTTTCGCCACAAGAACTGAAGGGGAATTGATCCCAGGAGGAGATGGAGCTTATGGCTGCTGTCCCAATTGTGGCAGAGACCAAGAATGCTAGGGATGGTTGTGAGAGTTGGTAGTCATACATTAGTATAGATTGAAGCTAACTCTAGAGTGTTTAATATGATGCCTTGACTTTCCTTAAGAAAGAAAGGTAGTTTATACCAGTGATCCCTTGGCCCTCGCTGATATTGACGTTCGCAAAGACTCTTCGGCGCGCCAAAACCAGCAGTCCGTAGCCTACTCATCATCCTATTCGTTTGCAATGCAGTGGGACATATACATAGTACGATGGAATTGTGAGTTTCTGACCAGTGAGCATGTTTTAGACAGCTAGCTAATCTTGGCATTCTGTAGGCAATATGCGAGACAATGTTACCCAGGACTGATAGGATAACTTTTGAATAGATGACGTGGGTAGGCGGATTCTATGAACAGGTTGTGACTAGTGGTACTTGGTAGTAGCTAGTCGGAATAACAAGCAAATCCATTCCAGCCTGCACTTGCATGGCTGCTCAAATCAAGTATACTCTCAACTACAATACTGTACATGAATTAGAAGATTGCCGATGACACTAGCGATTACTAATCGTTTGAGAACTTGCCAAGATGGGAGCAGCTATGTACGCAGCTGGTGTCTTAAGTTATATCACAAACAGGCTCTTTTCATTGAGTCAGGAAAATACCTGGAATTGTTCCCTCGAACCCAGGCTTCATGATGGTACTGTGCAGTAGCATTACTGAAGTATTATTTGGCTATCCTCTCAAGACATAAAGCTCCATCAGAAGATTTTCTGACGAAAAGATGCAGTACTAGCAATCATGGCACAGCTCTTTGTGGACAGTGGATACTATGTTTCTACTACATAGGGCTAACTGTCCAGCCTATCTTCTCGGAGCATAACCACGTGTACAGTAGGGCATTTTGTCAAGACTTAACCACCAAGCGCAGACTGAGACTAGAACCAAAGCTTTGCCTTTACCTCCGCTGATACAGGTTTCATTCTCATTTGTGTAAATTGAAGTTATGGAATTTGTCTTTCTCCTTTCACCTATTTAATCAGCCCAAAGGATCTCGACTTGAAGATGTTTTCCCAACTCTGCCCGCTGCTAGAGGCAGTAGCCCACCTGGCAGGCAATGCTCTCCCAGACCAATTCTGGGTGATTTCGAGATGTCGGGCGAGCGTCTAGACGCAATACCTACAGTGATCACTGACCAGGACTGGGGGGAGGGGGGGTTGTTGCACCTTCAGGTGACTTCTGCTGATTATCATTGCAGTAGACCCAAATTGCGCCGGTGCTGTCTACGGCCGATCATAGGCAACTGCTTACTGACTACTGCGCATTATTAAGTTAGCCCACAGCATAATGTGCTATAATAGTCCAACACAGTAATTCTTGAGCTTAGGATCTACCATGTCAACATCCTGAATCTTGTGGGAATGGATCCGGAGGGTTTTCTTTCTTGAGATTCTCTCATTCACAAGGGTGGGAGAGAAGCGGGTAAATGGCACGCACACACCTAACTTATGGGTATAAAGAAGCTGTAAGATGATGTCACAGTGGGGAAAAGAGGGGAGGCGCCGTTTTACAAGTGATAACTCACTCGAGTATCACTTTTTTTCAGCCATTTTTTTTTTACCAAATCCAATCTTCTTTCCCGCCCCTCAGTTTAAACGTGGGACCAGGATTCCGCCACACTCAATCTCATGGTAATTAGCTTGGATGTAGCTTTAGATGTCATTGTGGAGCGAGTGTCAATTCTCAGATTCCAAGCAGGACATGATATTGTCACATGGACTCTACAGTACAGCACAAACCGTGACTTGTAGAGTGATAATCGGGTACGTTGTTTGAAATCCAGGGCCCTACACTGGATGATGGGATATGGGCTAATCTTACCCTACCATGGAAGGGCATAGTCCAAGTGGATGTACTATTAGGTGTTACCGTGTTAGATTGAAGCAGTGATCCGCCCCCCCCCCCCCCCCCACCCAAGGGGAGTGAATAACTTCGATACCTTTCCCCGAATTTTCCTTCCAGGCTAGACTAGATGACTGTCAATTGAACTTCGGGTCCATGCACTTGGTCATAACAACATGTCACGATTACTTCTCTTCCCAAACAATAAGTGATGTGTGATTGACATTTAGGAACTTTCTCCAGATGTCACGCTTCTCGGGAGGCTTATTATGGCCCATCACACAATTCCTTTTTTCTTCGGCGAGACGAACTATTGGGGGTGGGGATTATTGGAACTAGTCTACGTAGTAGTAAGTTAGTTTCCTTAGCCTACTTAGTATGGTTGAGTACAAAATACTAATGTATGACTTTGTGTGATCAGATTTTGAGACCGATTACAGAGTACTCGTACTTCTGGCTGGGAATGACTCGGTGGCGCCGCAGAAGAAGTCATGAACCTCGTTGGACTGAGTTGAGGCCTGTAGCAAGTACTTTACCTTACGGTAGTTGGAACTCATGGGTTAACTACTAGGTACCTTGGTTTAAGCTAAAACAATCCTATCAAGTGCTGCTAAACAGAGGTCCTCCACTAGAATAATACGTATCCGGTCTAAATCATTACGAAGACTGTACTGTACGTAAGTCTCAGCGCTGCTTTCTTCAAAAATCTATTCTGAGCTGATACAGATTGCTGATATCCTTCGCAATCATCATATGTACGCAGGACTCCAGTGCTTCAGCTCCGAATGTACAGAATTACTTTTATGTCTTATTCTCCCATCCTCGTTACAACCAATATCAGGGAGTTGACCTTAACCTCACTTGCATGCCAGCCAGAGAAATGGAGTGATACGTACAGGCCATCCCATCCATGTTATAATTTTCTCATTATGCAATATCGATTAGGTGCTGTCGATTGATGTCTTTTTTTGAACTTCCCTGAGGAGATCTTCTGCGGTATATATGTTCCCTTGCCCACCTTATCCTTCTGACCACACGAAATCCACATGAAGGGGACAGTGTGAAGAATTGGCATGACTGCACTTGTTCCTGTGCTGCCGTCAAGGCCAAAGGTTCTGGGTTATGCAAGCGTCCGCATTCATTTAACATTGTCCCATCTATGATGCATCAGGCAACAGCAACCATTCCAACAGGTGATGCTTCCATGGACACCGAGCAGGTCTGTTCGTCTGCCGAGATAGTCACTGAGAAAAGGTAAGAAAACAGAAAGATAAGAAAAACCATGGGACCGAAATCATGAACAGAATAGATATCAGCGGCGGCTGAATCAAGAAAGCATCTATACAAAATTGGTCCCGTACGTCAAAGCGACTGCAGTAAACCGCGTTCAAGGGGATTAACCGTAGATAACACACCACCTTCCGAACATACATATGGAGAGAGAAGAGCTACTAAAACAGAGACTGAAGAATATATGAGCCAGGGGCAGGCCGAAGGCGAGAGCTCCTAGCTCCCACGCCCGAGTGGGAGTCATTAGCCCCAGCTACGTTCTAGGGCGTGCTTAGAAAGGAGGAGGGATCATGCCCTGGGCCTCAACTTTCTCTTGCTGCTCCATCAATTCCTCGCCAGCGATCTCGAGGGAAACAGCAAGACCGAGCTTGGCCGTTTGCTAACAGAGAGACAAGCATTAGTGTGACAACTTCAACGAAAGCTGTATTTTGTTAAGTGCGACTCACCTTGGCCTGATCAATCTCGCCGGCGAAAGTAAGAGCAATAGGCATGGCTATCCGCTTCTCGAGAAGGCAGCTGACCTTTCCGGCACTGTCGACCTGAGCACGGAACGTAGAAGCGCGGAAGTCATACTTAGCACCGATGGCAGTAGTGCCATCACGGCTAGGACCACCCATCAGCGCAGCAGCCGCATTGGGAGCGAACTGCAGGTTCATATCGACACCAGCCTCAACCCGCTCAGAAAGCTTCTTCCAGTAAGAGGCAGTCAGGACACCCTGAGCCTGAAGTTGTGCGCTAGCAATCCAGTCGTTGGCCTTGTAACGGGCACTATACGACAGGGCACTTTCCGGACGAGTGTTCATACCCTGGCGCTGCCAGATTGCTTCAAAACCAAGTGCTAGACTGGGCGTAACGGATTGGAGATAGCTGCCAACGAAGATTCCAGTGAGGCCCCCATCCAAGAGAGATGGGTTGAAAGCCTTGAGAGAAGCGGAGAAATCATCACCGGTGTAGTCCTGGTCGACCTGAATGAGGGCCTGACTGGAACCAGCCATAATCTGAGTGTTGGTCTTGGTGACCAACTTGGGGGTCCAGCGGTAGTTGGCGACAGCAGCGAGTCCACCATCGCTTCCGATGTTACCTTGCATAAAGACCTGTATGAATCAGCAACGAGGACGGTTAGCATACTTCATGAAGTGTAGCGAGGGTATCTTAAATCAGCGAAAGGTTTACCTTCGGACTTCCATACATAGCGGAGAAGTTGTACGGAGGCAGGTTCCCGGACGAGCCCATCGAGAACGCATGCGATACACGGAACAAGGGAGACATCCCGAAGACCTTAGTCAAATCGGCTCGAAGACCGGTGAACATGAAGTTTGACAGCAGAACATCCTTTTGCACCTCCCGGGCGATGTTTTCCACAGTTCCGGGGTTGGATAGACCGAGGGCAGCCCTGCGCTCGGAGAACGAGGAGTATGCATCCTTGAGGGCTGCGGCAACGGAATTGTCCGTCAAAAAAGATGGAGGAGCCAAATAATCGGACATTGTGAAGTATTGCGGAGGAAAAACAAGGTCGGTATACTCGAGTGGAAGAAAGCGGACGTTGGAACGTGACGCGGCCGTCCTTGTGATGGAGAGATGGGGAAGGACAAGGCTAGGAAAGATGAGTTCTTGACACCAGCCCTAAAAAGAAGACCGAAGGAATCCAAGAGCAACCGCGGCAGTTGCAAAGTCAGGTATCGAGGAAAGTACCTGACCTGCTCGGGGAGGTAGGGAGAAGGGGGTGGGAAGAAGAAGAGGAGGAGGGAATGTCAAACACCGAGGTAGAATTGGTGGTGAGGTTTCAGTTGATGGACGATTGAAGCCCAGAGCTTTCGGGACTGAAAAAAGTCGCTCACCTTCGCTTTTCCGCCCGGGCTACGGCTCAGGTATCTGCGGTCCGCCGGAGCCAGACTTACTCAGTGAGAACCAGCATCGGATGCTCGGACTTTCAGTTCCGCCGGAATGACCTAATCAACCTAGTTACTCATGCACCTAACTACGCCGTAGTAACTTAGTTACGTACTCCGAGTAGTACGGCCCGGGTAAGCCTGAGTGCCATCGTTAGCCAAACGACCAACCGACCAACCTCGAACTGGATGGAACCTTGTTCACTTTTACTGCATTGTTGAGTTGACTAACTAGTTAAGGCAGTTGAATTAGTCACCATTTACACATGCATCTCGACATTCTATCTTATCCAGTTCTTGTACAGTATAGTACAGAAGTACCGTTTTATCTTCTATATTGTCTTCAAACTATCATTCACAGCCTTCATCAGCCTGAATCTCCCCTATCCTGTCACGATCATTATGTCCCGATGATAGAATCGCTTCATTGGGTGTGGTTTTTCTGACTATGAGTATCTGGTAATTATCGTGTACTTACTCGAGGTATGTACAGCTGAGTACTGTACCCACGTACTAGAGACACAGTCCGCTGCCTGGTTGGGCCGAGCTCGTGCTGCTCCATCTCCTTCTCTAATCTCGAATGCCGAGTGCTGGAACCTACCTGCCTTCCTTTGACTCCAGCTTTCACCCTCCATAACTTTTCCTTATTTATCCCGCCAGGTCTTCTTCAACATTGACATAGAAATTGTTCGTTGTCGTGCTGTTCATTATCAGTGTCAAAAAAACTCATACTTCTCCCTTAACACCATGGACACATTACTGTAAGCCCCCTTCTCCCCGCCATCTCGTGCCATTCTCCGATCCATTATGATTCTGGCTCCTGCGCACTCGCCTGTGCCTACTCATACCGCTTACACCTTATGCGACGTGGATAGTCCCACAGCAAGCAAAATTGGTTGTCGATGCTACCTGGTTCTCTAACATGGATTAGAACTGCTGACATTATCGCCAATTCCCCGCGTTTCCGACGGAAGTCTTCTACCTTTGTCGATGCGATCCATGACCTACCCGAGAAGGCCGATCTAGCTCCGGCCCAGCTCTACAGTACCGAGTCAGGACGGCTTTTCCACTCCGGCCGAATCGTCATCATCACCGTGGGGTTACCGGCGAGGGGTAAAACGTTCGTCATACCTAAGCCACTCGTATGTTTCCTTTGGCTCGCTGACGCTTGATCAGACATATGTCTGTAGCTCTAGCGCGATATCTACGATGGTAGGTCGATTCTTCCACGGGAGATTCGCTGAGACTAGCGCTTAAGATATCCCAGGTTAGGCGTGAAAACCAGAATATTTCATCTAGGAGATTATAGACGTGCAACCATTCCCTTTGGCCAGGATATTCCAGATGACTACTTCTTCGTGAACGGTAAGCACCAAGTTGCAGTTCTTGCATCTTTCCTCAAAGTACTCATTCCGCACAGCATCCGCTTCATCGGTCCTCTTAAGACAAAAGATTGTGAAACGGTGTCGGGAAGATATTTATCAGTTTCTGAACCATGAAAATGGACAGATAGCCATTTACGACGCCGTCAATCCATTGGCATCCGGTCGGCGATCACTCGCAAAAGAATTCGCTAAGCATGACATTGAGGTGAGTTGTCTGGGATGTATGCTTTGGGTCTCTTCGATTATTTTGACCCCTTCCCCCATTAGACACTATTCATCGAGTCGTGGTGTGACGACGAGCGCATAATCGAAGAAAATGTCCGAAGGGTCAAAATATCCTCACCCGATGTAAGTGCTTCCCGAACTTTTTGCACGAGATACTAATTCTTGTATAGTATGTGGGCTGGAGCTCGGAAGATGCTGTGAAACATTACCTGACTCGGATAGCCGCTCGTATTCCTCAATTTCAGTCAATGGAGGAGACGGATCTGAACTATATCAAGGTACTTTCAGTAGCCCTTCTGAGGCCATCTGCTCTCGCTAATCACAAATAGATGATGAATGCTGGGGAAAGGTTAATTGTGAACAATCGAAGCTTCGGCTATCTTTCCAACAGAATAGTGTTCTATCTCCTCAATCTTCACATAAAATCCAGACACACATACTTTGCACGAGTAAGTCTGGAGGATTGTATCTGTTTTATATATTTCAAAGGCTGAAAATCACCAGGCTGGCGTATCACTGGAAGCGGATTCTTATAAAGCAGATGCCTCGCTGTCTGAGCAGGGCGAAGACTACGCGAAGAAGATGACGGAGTCCTTGCTGAGGCATAGGGAGTCTGAAAGGCAAGCAATGATCGACGAGGGAGAACCGAGTTACGAGTTAAAACCACTTACTGTCTGGACCTCCACACGAAGAAGGACAGTTGAGACGGCTAAGTATCTCCATGAAAAAGGATACAAAGTGCGACAGAGATCTCAGATGAGCCAATTAAACCCGGGAGTTTGCGAGAAGATGTCAGAGGCAAAGATCCGTCAGGAGTATCCGGAAGAGGTTGCAAAACACGAACTTGACCCCTACCATCATCGGTATCCGCGGGCGGAGGTGAATCGCCCTGCTATCTCAAAAGTATTATCATAGTAGCTGACAGCAATGACAGTCATACCATGACCTTGCAGTTCGACTCGAACCTATCATTCTAGAGCTCGAGCGTGAACAAAACGATTTGCTGATTATCGCACATGAAAGCGTGCTGAGAGTCTTATACGGGTACCTGATGGCCTGCAATGCTGCGGATATCCCATTCTTGAATTTCCCTCGTGATGAGATTATTGAAGTAAGCCCAATCAAAAGCCTTTGAGGTTCATTTGAGATGACTGCCCATCTGACCGGTCCTTCTAGATCATACCCGAAAGCTATCAAAACGAAGCACGCAGGATCCATATCTCTGGCCTTCCCAGAGAAATCGTCCCCGGTTCTCCTCAGGACATCAAGATCCCTGTGCCCCCCAGCGGAGTAACAACCCCTTTGGCTGCTGATCTTGGCAGCCCGCGCGAGGGTCTCTCGACTCCACAGAGCGGTCTCCGAACCCCGCGCGAACCGGAAAGAATTTCACAGCAGCATGTTGAAGACGTTGTCTAGTATATACATTGGTTATCATGCACATGGTACCATGGGCGTTGTTGGTGTCGGGCAGATCCTCATATATCAAAGCGTTAGCGAAAGGACTCGGCACTAGCCGCCGTGGAGCGTAGAAACAAAGACAATATTATCGCCTGATTGAAGCTCATAAGTTTCCTCCCCTTCGAGCTCCCAGTCGGCATCGTTGATCAAGACTAGGATTCCGGGGCGCCTAGTGAATATATATATATACGGTCAGTCGGCCTTGCTCTCATGCCGGTCCTCGGACAGACGTACACATTATCTTCTAGTATGAACAATTCTTTTCGTTGATCTTTCATGAGGTTTTCGACTAAGTATGCAAGAAGGTAGGACACATTTGGTCGGTTGCCATCGCTGAGCCGAGAAGGAAGGGTGATGCTGTGCTTGCGCTCGTTGGCGAACAAGATTTCTAGGCCCCCGCTATAAAGCAAAGCGAAGCAGTCAGTGAATCATGCCCGGGTCAGCTCTACAATTATGTAGAGAAAAAGGGGAAACTCAACGTGAACTCAACCGTGAGCAAAAGGGATGTGGAGTCTGAAGAGTTTGCTTCCATGGTTGGAAGGAAAGGATAGATCGGTAGATTTGATGGATAGATAGGATACTCGGAGTGAGTTTGACCGTGATCTTGAAAGAGTTCGCCGAGTAAGAGGCAAGAAGACGAAAAGGACGCTGCTGGTGTCCAGTACTCCGTACTTAGTTGTTAGCCTTATCGATAAGCTTCCCCCCTCCCTCTCCAGCACAAAAAGTCAGTCGATTTGCGACAGACCGCCTGCCCCCGCTTCTCTTACCTGTTCGTCCGTGCATCTGAGATTGATTCAGTTCTGACACCAAGCGGTTGTTCATTACCTCCCTTTCCAGACCCGTTGGGCTCCGATTTCACCAGCTCAATGGTCTCTGTCACCACTGAGTACATTAGCGTTGGGGGCAATAGGCATCCCGCCGCCGCCGATTGGGATGTCCGGACTGGCGTGCTTGCCTTCGGTGCCGATAACAATGTAGCACTGTGGAACCCAAATGTGAGTGCTCATTATAAATAGCTTTCCTTTCGTTCATTGCCTGACCCAAATACAGGATAGTACGCAGCGCGGAGTCTATTCACTCCTTGTCGGCCACACCGACAAGGTCAGCGCCGTTCGATTCTACACCTGCCCTACTACAGACGCTAAATACCTTTTGACCGGGTCAGTCGACCATACAATCCGCCTATGGCGAGCGCACTCAGCCGACTCGCGTCAATACGTGCACGTGAATACCCTGGAAGGCCATACTGGTTCAATCAATACCATCGCCGTGGCTGACGGGCACGACATCGTGGCAACGGGAGCCGCTGATGGAACCGTCAAAGTATGGAAGATTCATGCTCAGGGCGAAGCGAAGGGCGAGCTGCTCAAGTCAATATTCATGAAGCCACGGTTCTTTCCACTGGCCTTGGCATTGAGCCCTCTTCAATCGGAGTCGGATACCAGACCCGTCGCCTTAGCGGTTGCAGGCACCACCAATGCCGTGCAAATTTACGTGGCGGAGAATACCCATACAGCTCTTGAATTCAAGCTCTCGGCTGTGTTGTCTGGACATGAGGCTTGGGTACGGTCCTTGAATTTCACGTTAGACAAGCAGAGCGCAGCCGGTGACATTCTGCTGGCCTCGGCGAGTCAAGACAAATATGTCCGACTTTGGAGACTGCAGCGTGGGGAGGCTACTTCTACTGCTCCGGCCGATTACGGTGACCCCATGATAGGTGGCGTTGAGACAACTCTTTCGAACAAAGCCCACCAATTCGAGGTAACCGGGCTGAAATTCTCTGTCACCTTTGAAGCGCTACTTTTCGGAAACGAGGACTGGATCTACACCGCCAACTGGAATCCCAATCCAGAGCGCCAGCAGCTCCTCACTTCCTCGGCTGATAATACATTAACCATTTGGGAGCAAGATCCTGCTTCCGGGGTGTGGCTCTCCGCCGAGAGGATGGGAGAGATTAGCGTCCAGAAAGGCTCAACAACCGCTACTGGCAGTACGGGTGGGTTTTGGATTGGCCTCTGGTCTCCAGATGGCACACAGGTTGTCAGCCTCGGTCGTACCGGTAGTTGGCGAGCATGGAAATATGATGCAGCATCTGACTTGTGGGTGCAATCTCTTGGGATTTCTGGACATGTACGGTCGGTCAATGGCGTGCAATGGGAGCCTTCTGGCGGATACCTCCTGTCGACTAGCGCCGACCAAACCACGCGCCTTCATGCCAAATGGGAGCGCGAAGGACTTCAGTCTTGGCATGAGTTCTCCCGTCCTCAAATACATGGGTACGACCTGAATTGTATCGATACTCTAGGACCGGCTAGATTTGTGTCTGGCGCAGACGAGAAGCTGTTGCGGGTTTTCAATGAGCCTCGACCAATTGCGCAACTACTGGAGAGGCTCTCCGGTTTCAAGCAATCCGAGGAGGTTCAACTGCCTGACGCAGCCGAGATCCCTGTGCTGGGTTTGTCAAACCAAGCTCCGGCTGACGATGCCCCCGGAGGAGAGGAGGAAACAGATAAAGCATATATGGAAAAGACACAGGCTATCTCAACGGCACTGCTAGAGTCGAATCAACCGCCATTGGAGGATCAACTGGCTCGTCACACCCTATGGCCCGAGCATGAGAAGTTATATGGCCACGGCTATGAAATTTCTGCCGTAGCCGTTAGCCACGACCGCACGCTTATCGCCACGGCCTGCAAAGCGAGCTCGATTGACCATGCGGTGGTTCGTTTATATGACACTTCCGACTGGCATGAGATTCGGCCCTCCCTTGCCGCTCATACATTGACCATCACAAGTCTCTGTTTCTCTAGTGATGACCAGCATCTTCTCAGCGTTGGTCGTGACAGACAATGGGCTGTGTACAAGCGCAGCGAGCAAGACCCCTCAACCTTCTCAATACTGACGAACAATCCCAAGGGTCATTCGCGTATGATTCTCGACGCCGCATGGGCTCCGATATCACAGACTCCTATCTTCGCGACTGCTGGCCGCGACAAGTCAGTGAAGGTCTGGCAAATGCATGACGGTGCATGCGAATGCAAGGCGACAATCCCCTTGAATACCCCCGTAACTGCCATCTCATTCCTTTCGAGTATACAGAAGAATTCGTTCATTCTCGCCGCGGGCGAAGAGAGCGGGGAGCTGTCTATCCACCGTATTGCCATCGGCAGTCTGCAAATTAGTCACCTGGCAAGCGTTGACAAGTTCAAATCGCCGTCCAAGGCCATTACCCAACTTTCCTGGCGGCCGGGCCAGAAGGAAGCGGCGCCACATTTCGTGCTTGCCGTGGCCAGTGAAGATACCTCGCTGCGCATATATAATTTCTCGGATTTGGTTTCATGAACGGAAGATTGGTATATCCAGGTACACGTAGTATATCCGCAGTAGGGGACAATGATGAAAGCCAACAAAGAAAAAATGAAGTAAATACCATTCATTAGATCGTCTGCATGTTGAAAAACGCCCGGAGGAGTGGCTTGAATGTATCCGCTTGTTCTAGATATCTTGAAATTGAAAGTTACCGTGTATCGGCCATGATGGTTGAATTGTGCGCGCCCATGGAAATAGGGCAGGGCCAAGGTAGAGAGTGCAAACACTAGAAAAGAAAGAGAAGATGAGAAGTGGCATACATCACGGCCGCCTTTCAAGCCCATAACCACCCAGGCCATCTAGTGACGGGTAGGTTTTGGCCTGGCCCTGATATCCATTTCGGGGACCTCTGTGCCGAAGATCCTCCGTGAGCCATTTGAGCACCAGCTCGCCCAGCTGAGTATTCTGGGACGACTCTTTGACCTCATCATGGAACTTCTCGATAGGACCCCATTGGCGAACGGTGCCTAGATGCATGTGGACCAGATGCGTGGGCCACAGGGACAAATTGTCCAGAATGTGAGTGGCATAAACGATGGAGCAGGGTCTGGATTCTGTTTCGCGCTTCAAAAACCCCAGGAAATTGGCACGGGAGAGCAGGTCCAGATCGACGGTGATTTCGTCAAGCAGGAGAACCCGCCAGGGACGGAGCAAGCCCATCGCAAGCTGCACGCGGCGACGCTCTCCATCCGACACGGCGTGCATGCGCCACCGGAGATCGATGTCGAGTATCTCGACCAGCTCGTCCCGGCGTTCTGGGTAGGCGTTACCGCCGACGGATGCAAGTAGAGTGGGCACGTCGATGTCGGTCCGGACAATGTTGTTCAGGACCCATTCCATGCCGAGATAAGTGACGCCTTCCAAACCATCTTTGAATGGGTCTTTGCCGGCCACGGTAATGGTGTCCGTTGGGGCCAGACGCTTTCCGGACAGGAGGCGTAGGAGTGTGGTCTTGCCGGCACCGTTGGCTAGGAAGATGTTAATCTCCCAGAAGATGAATATGGTCACTTTACCCCGCAGCGAGCTTACCTCCAATGAGTAGAGTACGACTGCCGGACGGTACGTTCAGATTGATATCCGTCAAGCCTGATGATCCATCGGGAAACTTGAAAGATAGGTTTCTCACCTCGATTGAGGGGAGATGGAGATCGGAGTCAGCCATGGAAGAAGAAGAAAGTGATATTGGTCGGTATATATGGATAGCCCTTTGGTCCTTTCCCACAGAGTCAAGCAAGTTATTTAACGAATTGAAGTCAATTGATTGAAAGCTGGGAGATCGACGGGACAAGCAGATCAGGCAAGGCCGCAAGAGGGGGGGAGGGAACGAGCGATAAAAGATAAGATCTTGATCCTTGATGAGGTAAGAAACCCGTGGGTGCGATTTTCTCGTTCGCCGATTCTTTCCCCGCAATATTTTGTGTTTCTGGGAGACGGCACCGAGCACCCACAGCCTTGTCTTCTCTGAGGTCGGGTATATTATTCCAGGCCAAAATGCTAAGTGTGGTCTGGTTCTGTACCTCATGCGACATCTTCTCCGGCAACTGTTCTCTAGTTTTCACTCGTCTCCACCAGTCATGAAACCTCTCATCGCTGTCGTCGGAGCGACAGGTACTGGCAAGTCGAAGGTAAGCAAGAATCAAGAATCAGTAGAAGAGAACTAAACAGCAAGAAGGCTATGCTTATGCATTTAGTCAGAACTCATTTACTAACGGCTACAGATAGCTTGCAGTTGACCTGGCCTCGCGCTTTAATGGCGAAATCATCAATGGTGATGCAATGCAAATGTACCGCGGCCTCCCGATCATCACCAATCAAATCCCTCCCGAGGAACGTAACGGTATTCCGCATCATTTACTGAGCTGTGTCGAAATAGAGGAAGAGCCATGGTGGATCGGTCGATTCAAACAGGACAGTCTTCGGCTAATTGACGAGATCCACGCCAAGGGGAAACTTCCGATTCTAGTCGGAGGCACACATTACTACACACAAGCCGTGCTCTTCAACGACCAACTGGTTGATGCAGATCAAGATTCCAGTGATGATGATCCAGTTCTCCGGGATGACAACAGTGACCGGGACTCACCGACCAAATGGCCGATTCTCGACGCTACTCCAGGAGTGATGTTGCAGAAACTCAAAGAAGTCGACCCGGTCATGGCGGCCAGATGGCACCCAAATGATGCCCGCAAAATCCGGCGCTCTTTGGAGATCTACTTACAAACTGGGCGCCCCGCCTCTGAAGTCTACGCAGAACAACAGCGGCTGAAACAGGCTGACATGGCGCGCAACTGCCTTTCTCTTGGCGTGGGCCGTTTGCGATACCCGACAATGATTTTCTGGGTGCACTCGGAGAAGGAAATGCTCAATTCTCGATTGGAAAAGCGCGTGGACTCGATGGTAGACCAAGGGCTCATGGAGGAAGCTAGACGCATGTTTGATTTTTCTCTGGAGAAGAAAAAGCAGGGCGATCCGGTCGATCACACGCGAGGCGTATGGGTTTCCATTGGCTACAAGGAGCTGGCGCCGTACTTCGATGCCCTCTATAAGGGTTTCATGAGCGAGTTGGACTTGGAGGCCTTGAAAAGAGCCTGCGTCGGGTCCATCAAGTCTGCAACGCGACAATACGCCGTGTCACAAATTAAATGGATACGAAATAAGCTATGGAAAGCTATTGCCGATGCAGGCGCGACTGATCATCTCTACCTCCTGGATAGCACGAACGTCGAGGCATGGAAGGAGACTATCACACAGCCGTCAGAGGAATTGGTACGAGCTCTGCTGAATGGTGAATCCACTCCCGATCCCAAGTCACTATCAGAGCTTGCTAGAACCGTCCTGAGTGCAAAAGAGGCGCAGCCGCAGAGAGATTCCACCGCCTATATGAAATGTATAACGTGCAATGTCTGCAAGAAGACAATGCAAGGCAGCGAGCAATGGGATATTCACATCAATGGGAATGTACATAAGAGAGCTCTCAAAAGTGCTGCCAAGAAGGCTGCACGTGATGCGTACCTCCGGAAACGGCAGGATAGCCTCACCTCAGATGTTCGGCCAGACATTAGCAGTGAAGCCGCGATCAAAGAAGACGCAGGGTAAATGCCACTATCATTGGTTGCTGTACGATTTCTACTCTTGCGCGCTGAGGGTACATAAGATACTCTCGGTGTTCAGCTGTGATACAGACTCGTTGCTGTGCTGTATATCAGTGAACGAGATTACAGACCGTAAATCAGAGGACATTTTCAATATGTAACCACCAGACTAGATATTCTAAGGACAGACACTTCTCATCCCGAGGATTCAGAGTGAAAGAAGGTTAGCCACAGGAGACATACACGCTTTCCGATGCTTGACATTCGATCAGATCTAGCTGGGACATATGTGGGTCTTCGAATGTAGGACATCGGGTAAGCCGCGGCGGACTACAATTCACCACGGAATTGATCCCGTCAGCCCTCTGACCAAGAACATAAGTGCGCAGGCGCCTTCTTGTGCCAAAGACATTTGTCACTGGGGGATGCACATATCTCGCAATGCGAATTTTTGGACCAAGAATCGACATCAGATGAGAGCCAATGGCGACCGTTCATAATTCCGGCTTCTCGTTCATCAAGCCTCTGAACAATTCGCTATAAATAACCAGGCTTTAACGAGCCTGAGTTTCTCATATTGTGGTCCTCCAAGCTGAAAAGGCCGGAGAGATGATGTCGCCAGTCCCACTATCCTCCACTTTGAAGACCTCGATGACTGAGGATCTCTCACGTTTGACTATCCTCCACGTCCCTTCCTCCTGAATGGTGGATTTAAGCCCTGGTTTCGTTAGTTCTAAATCTTGAGGTAACAGTGTTTAAAGACCGCATGAGGATTGGGTGGGCCTTTTCCTACATTGCAGAAATTCAGCAGTGAAATTGATGCATATATTTCCGTCCCAGGTCGCTCGTCCCACCTTCTTGACCTTGCCTGGTATGCTGGCGGTGTCCAATTCCTCAAGACGGTGGACAATTCCTTGCTGGTCTCGAAACCCGACGATAATTCGAGGCACGCCAAGAAGGAATGATTGAGCCCAGAACTTGAGAAGCTTCCTCTCGTATTTGACCATGTCCCGGTCATTCCTGATCTCGGCCGAGGTTTTCAGTTCTACCCAGTTGATCGGGTCCTCCTTCCGGTCCGGTTTGCGGTCCCATACTTAACACACGTGGTTATTTCATGTCAGGTATCAGTTATCTGATAGACCCATTGCAATCACTTACTAGCATCCACTTCGCCCCCAATGACAAGTTTGGTGCGACCTATCGCAGTCCGCACCATGGAGCAATACTGGGCCTTGTTGTTCACAACAAGCTCTTCTCGACCTTCAATCTCCTGACGAGGAGTTGGATCCCATGGTTGGTTGAGTAACGATATTGTTTCAAATTTGTAGCCTACATCAATCAGTGTCAATTTGGCGAATGATCACCCGAAAAGCCCCGACAGCATTCGGACTCGGCCGTGGAAGACAACTGTACCCCAGTATGCCATTAGCTCTTGAGAAGCCATACCAGGGGGCATTCTCTGATTCTTCTGGATCCGCTTCTGCTCATTTTTGTAGCTGTTGTTCTCTTCAATGAAGCTAGAAAGCATCAGGACCCGCACATAGCCGACTGGAGCATACGCACATAGTTCCCTAACAAGGTTGTCAACGACTTAGCATAGTTAAAGCTGGGGATCAATGATAGCTTACTTGGTACAAGGTCGCGTTCATCTCAAACCTGTAACGGGGTTAACTCAATGATGTTAGAGCTCCACCGAACGGCCGAGACACACCCGTTCATATTGTCAAAGGGAGCCGTCAGTATCTATGCCTCCAGTGGTACATTAGCACCGAGCCTTTGGCAAAGCAGTATCGCCCACATTCGTTAGATATCATACCGACCTTGGTCATCATTCCTCTCCAAGTGATGATATCAGCTTCGCATTTGTTTCCCGTATCCTGTTCTAGAGCTATGATGGTATCGAGCAACGCATCGAGATGCTCGTCGGCGGAATCATCTAGCTTCTGGAAGGATTCGAACCCCCGGTTCAGATCTGCAGGGAGATGCGGTGTGTAGTAGTATTTCAAGGAGGACTCTCCCAGATGGAACTCATGATTATCGTCATAGGAAAAACATGCGATTTCCTGGCCATGTTCAATACCAATCTCAACTATCCAAGTCTAGGAAGGGATTGTGGAAGAGGCGTAGGTAGGGGCAGGCAGGTAATAAGTGTAATGTTAGTTAGTACTTACCTTAGGACGTCGAATTGCGGCACTGGCTCCGTAGAAGCGGCCAATGGGTTGAATATCAAACACTTTCCGATCCATTAGGAGGTTAACTTAATTCTCAAGACGCAATAGCATCCAAGATCATAATCGATATAGTGATAGATGGGCGTATAGTACAGGCCTAAGTAAAAAACCACGTACAGTACAATATGTGTACTGACTGTACGGAGACTCAGTCTGAGTTCGCTCCGCCCGCCCTTCTGGAAGAAGCCAAGCGCGCATTGCTATTCTTGCCTTCCCCCACCCCCCCACCACCAAATGTCGCCTGCTATCCGACTCCTTCTTCCTTCCTTTTCTTTTTGCTGAGCAAGCTTGACGTCCGAAGTTACCTTCTCAAACTCGCGACTACACTTTCCGATTATATCGTGTCCTGTTCATCGAGACACTCGGTCCAGCTTGTTCCCAGGCATTCATCAAGGTCGTCACCGCAGAGCCTCCTTGAGGTAGTCTCCACTACAACATGACCTCACGCATTGAGAAGACCATCGCTCGACAGCAAGAGAAGTGAGTCAACCCACCTCGCGCATCCAATAACAACTTGCACAAGCCAAGACGAAATGTTAACAGCTAACCATGTTTTGCCGTCGTCTTCCAGAATCGCTTCTGGTGCATATTACGAAGCTCATCAACAACTACGAGTCATCGCCGCGCGTTATATTAAACAAGCCAACTACGATGTGGCGGCAGAACTATTAGCTAGTGGCGCTGCAGCCCTCTTGAAAGCCGGCTCCCAGCAGGGTGCTTCCGCTAGTGGCGGAGACCTTGCTATCATGCTGGTCGTCGAGGTGTACATCAAGGCGGGTTGGGAGATCACCCCCGGCGATGATGATACTGAAGGACGAAGTCGCAAGAGTAAGTGTTGCCTACAGTGTCAACCTCGAATAGGCTGCCATTTGTCACCATCTATACCACGACTTCACTCGGAACAAAGCTGACGTGCAATGTCAATAATAGAGCGATTGATCGAGCTTCTGCACGCCTTCCCACCCGAGGAACCTACACGGAAAAGGTTTATCCAAGAGATGATCGGATGGAGTGGTCGTTTTGGCCCCCTGGAGAGAGGAGACCCCGAATTGCATCATGCTGCTGGATCAGTATACGCCGAGAGTATGTGAATCACATTACATATGGAAGACCAGACAGTTCTCTAATCTGAAGCTTATAGACCATGAACCATATGACGCTGAGAAGCATCTTATTTTCGGTACCTCAGAATCGGCCGAGACTCTGGCGAAACTTGAATACGAGTGGTACACTCATGACGATCCGCATACGGCAGCTATCTACGCATCTCGTGCCGTATTCCCATACCTTCTCATCGGAAACCTTCGCAACGCCAACAAAGCCTTTCTTATCTTCACGTCAAAGCTTTCCTCCTCGAATCCATCACTCGGCGTACAAGACGTCAGCAGCGCTAGCTCTGACGTGCGGGTCTATCCCGCGCTCCCTTTGCTGAACTTCATAAGCATGCTCCTCCTCACGATACAGCGTGGCAGTTCGGATCTTTTCAAGCAGCTGACCGCTCATTATGCATCCCACATTCGAGAGGTGGGCATCTGGGACGAAGCCCTGGCTCAGCTGGGTGAGCAGTATTTCGGAATCAAAATTCCGAGGCAAAGTAACCCCCTGCTAGACATGATGGGCAGCATGCTTTTCGGAGGTGGTCAGGATACTGCCGGTGCCCGGACGGCACCTCAAGGACGAGCGGGTTCGAAAAGGGTCGAGGCGCCCCCTGCGAATATGGAGCTTGACTAGTTTGAGGCTGACGGGAACTTCCGCAATGTAAATCAATGCAGTTCACATACATCATCCACCAAGCGTCATGATAGGCGTAATGATAGGCGTAATGATAGGCATAAGGCATGTAACCACCGTGAAGATTCTAGATACTGGAGTCGACCTCGGGTTCGTACATCCAATTATCTTTCTCCAAAGCGGCAACTTTGTTACGAAGGCTCTGCTGGATAAGCGTCAAGATTTCTATCTCCAGTTAGCTTCGGCCTCTCTAACGGCTGTCGAAAAGACTTGCCAGCTGGCTCACTACTCATACGCCTGCTCTTGTTTCGATACATTTCAGACAAACTGGCTTCGATCTCTATGGTGAATTAGCATGGTCTTGTATGCAGGGCATGGCAATGAGGCTTCAGCACGAATGCTTACTCTCTTTCTCTCGTCTTGAGATATCGGTCTGGTTTGTAGCATCGATTGTTGCGGCCCCGGAACCGCCCTGGGCACCTACGTCTTCTATACCCTCCATTTCATCACCCCCATTGTCAATCAAAGCGGGGAGAACCGGAATGTCGAGCTTGTAGCCACCGTTCTTGTCTCGGGCCACAATTTCCCCCCCATCGACGGGGCCGGAACTCAAGGACGAGGCTGAGTCCGAGGACATCGAGGGTGCCATCTGCGCGGATAGAACCGGAACCCCGTGAGTAGCACTGCTCTGCGCAGAGGAGCTAGAAGGAGCCACCGAGCCAGGGCGTCTGCTGAGATGATGGTGAAAGAGATTGCGGCGGACAGAAGTCGTTCCCATGGTGAAGATTACAGGAAAGAGCATTCACTGGTTGAGGTGAAAGCTGTTGTAGTAATGGTGAGGTAAAGTAAGCGTTGTCCCGGAAGTTGGTAGAGCACCTAGTGGTCATAAAAGTAACAAACAAGGTCTTGTAACGTAATACAGACGCGATAAATATAAATTGCAGAAGTTGCAGTAGTAATAAAGGTTCTTGGAGTAGCAGGTTACTCTTGAAACATCAGCAGTCCCAGAGACTTATGATGTGGTGGGTGCATACTCCGTGCCATGCATGCAGCAGTGATCGAAAATGGAAGAAATATGGAAAGCGGAGGCGGGAATACAATCGGTCTGTTTGCCAACTGGCCAACCGGACCCCATGTGATCCTGAAACGACAGAAAAAGATAGATCGATAGATTCCTGCATCGTCGACAGGTACTAACTTGCACAAGAAGAGTGCACTGTGGAACTACTTAGTCGCTTGTGGGAGCGAAAGAAAACAAGAGAGAAGCCTTTACAATCACAGCGTCTGGTCACTGCACCGGCAACAATCAATTACAACTCCTTTGGGCAAACCCCCGCATGTCCGATCCGACGCGTCTCCGCCTTGACCTGCGCGCGTTTTCCTTTTGCCGAGCCATACCCAGTCTTTATTGATAAACCATCTGCCTTATTCGCATACCACACAGACTAGCCTGTTAACCGTGATAGCTCAATTCATCTTCCTTCTCACCCATTTTCTCCATGGCTCAGGCAGAATCTTCAGCCAGCGCTGCCCGCAATGGACTCAAACCCCATACGGCCGGCGCTCCTCCCGACTACGAGCTCCCTTGGTATGACGCCGCCACGATGACCAAGGGACCAAGGAACTAACATTGTGTCGCAGGGTTGAGAAGTACCGCCCGATCTTCCTAGATGATATTGTGGGCAACACCGAAACGGTTGAACGATTGAAGATTATCGCCAAAGATGGGAATATGCCACACGTTATAATTTCTGGCATGCCTGGTATCGGAAAGACAACCTCGATTCTGTGCTTGGCAAGGCAATTGCTGGGAGATGCATACAAGGAGGCTGTGCTTGAGCTGAACGCCAGTGATGAAAGAGGTATGCCCACCTCTGAGCGGCGGCCTGCACAATTTTTGACATTTCTCATTAGGTATTGATGTTGTGCGCAACCGGATCAAGGGCTTCGCCCAGAAGAAAGTCACCCTGCCTCCTGGCCGTCACAAGATAGTGATCTTGGACGAGGCAGATAGGTACGAGCCCGTGATTCACCTCAAACGCAGCTCCTCTCCATTAACGGACAGTATATAGTATGACATCTGGTGCCCAACAAGCGCTACGACGTACCATGGAGATCTACTCGTCTACAACTCGATTCGCCTTTGCATGCAATCAATCGAACAAGATCATCGAGCCCATTCAATCCCGATGTGCCATCCTTCGTTATGCCCGGTTGACAGACGGCCAGGTCGTGAAGCGGTTGAAACAGGTGTGTGACGCCGAGCAGGTGGAACATAACGAGGAAGGAATTGCTGCATTGGTATTCAGCGCAGAGGGAGACATGCGGCAAGCCATTAACAACCTCCAAAGTACATGGTCAGGGTTTGGCTTTGTCAGCGGGGACAATGTCTTCAGGGTGGTCGATAGCCCACACCCCATCAAGGTTCAAGCCATGATCAAAGCCTGCTGGGAAGGGAAGGTGGACGTTGCTCTCGACACACTCAACGAGCTGTGGTATGTCTCTTCCTAGGCCTATCACCGACATCGCGCTGTGATACTAACGAGTATGTCAGGGACCTGGGATATTCTTCACATGATATCATCAGCACTATGTTCCGAGTAACCAAGACCATTCCCTCTCTGTCAGAACATTCCAAGCTCGAATTCATTCGTGAGATTGGTTTTACACACATGCGCATCCTGGACGGTGTACAATCCGTGCTGCAGCTAAGCGGTTGCGTCTCTAAGCTTTGCAAGATCAACATGAAACCCCAGCTTTTTGAGCCACCGAGGAGCTGAAAGCTCGGGGTTTACTGCCGAAGAATTGCATTTAAGTGGCGTTAGTGGCATCAGTGTAGGATATTGTGGCAGGTTCATTCATCAGTTATCTAGCATTTCACTTCAAAAGAGCTCCGGATTATATACAATGTCAGGGTACTAGCTGAAGGAACTACTCTTTGGCTGCAGTTGATTCAATACTTCCTGGGAGAGCGCAGTGGTCTCATGCAGTCAGGTTTTCGTCAAGCCGGCTTTAGAGGCATGGGAGCTTCAGGCATTCTTGCCCCCTCGGGTGGCTTGTTCTTGCTCTTGAACTCGTCGCACATTTGCTCGAATGTCACCCATTCTACGCCTTCGTGCTTGTCGATATGCTCAATGATTCTGTCATTGTTAGCGCCCAGCTGCAAAGCTACGACTGAGACATAGAACCGCGCCAACTCACCTCTCATGCATTAGGAGCACATGCGGACGTCCAGACACATCGGGATGTATGGTCATCGGGAAAACAAACTCGTCGTACTCGCGGTAGAAGTAGTCAAAGTGATCCTAGATCGCCACGGGTCATCAGCTCAGCTCATGTCAAAGACAAGGAACTTTAGCACACCAACCTTCCAGATGTCCTCAATGTCTCTTGGATTCACCCATCCATGGCTGTTCGGTGCCGATTTGATGAACATCATCGGCGGCAAGTCATCGATGTACCAATTTCCGGGGATCTCGACAAGTCCTGTATCCTGGCCCCGGACGAGGGGCTTCATCCACGTCTCAGCCTTCTGCTTATAGTCGATCTTAGTCCACGAGTCGCCTGTTCGCAGCCAGTACATCTGGCAATCATGATGAGACATGGAATGATCGTACTCGATTCCATAGGAAAGCAGCAGATCAGCCATTTCTTTGCTCGTTTCCCACCATGGAGCAACGATGCCTCGTGGCGGCTTGCCGCAGAAATTATATATCATATGGTAGGTCTTGTCCAGGATGTCACGCTGTTGCTCGATAGTCATGTCGGTTGGGTTCTCGTGGCTATATCCGTGGAGACCGATCTCGTGGCCCTGATCGCGGACCATGGCGCACTCTTCCGGAAAGGTCTCAAGCGAATGACCGGGGATGAACCATGTCGCTTTGATGCCATACTTCTCGAATAGCTTCAGCAGTCGCGTTGTGCCGATATGGCCGGCAAAGAGGCCTGGGAAACCGTCCTGATCAGCAGAGCTTTGGTGGGAAGAAGATAGAACAGAGGGTCAAGTGGCCACTACCACTGTTCTTGCTGAAGAGACTGATAATGTCGGTTTCCTACCTCGACTGATGTCATTGGAACTGTCCTCTCCGCCATATGACCCCAGCCATCCGGCTACAGCGTCGATATCTACTCCGTAGCTGACCAAAACACGCTTCTTGCCCATTGCGCTATGTTGCTGGATGATGGTCTGAAATGATGGGAGGTATGTTTGGGGATAAGGAAAGAACGAGCTGCGAACTTAAATCATTCGCGCTTCATTCTTATCGTTTGCTGCGCATGACGAACGGACCTGCCGCTAAGAGTGGGGAGGAAGAGGGGAAGCTTCGAAGACACGGAGATAGGATGATGATAAGTGCCTCTGATAAAGCCCGGGAGATAAGCCCAGCAAACGCTCTTTCGGTAAACGGGGCCAGGTTCGAGTCGGATCTGGTCAGATCACTTATATTCGAGTCACTTACTTCCTAATTAACCTCTCGACCAAGTTCAACTCACATCATTGAGCCAACTTGTCAAGGGTCAGGACCTCATGAACGTTACCTAGACACGATGTATGCTCCGACGTCCTTGATCATTAGTTACGAGTTACTCTAACTTCCTGGATTTCTACCCCAAATCCCCTTCCCAGGCCGCCTCCAACTCGTGCCGAACCTGACCCCAACTGCCCCAATAGCTACGACGCTAAATTGGAGGCGGGTGCAGATAAAAGGTGGGGGTTGACATGATCTGACCGGCAAAGAAATATTAACTACCTACTCCGGAGTTAATTAGACTATTTAGCAATCACAATGAGTGTCCGTATGCAGAATACCATGTCATGGTATGGATCATGCTCCTTCAGCGATAGCACATGCTTTTTTCCAAAGGGTTTCAATGGCACTCGCTGCGCCTAGTACCACCTCCTCTTCCAGTTTCCTGCCAATCACCTGGAGACTAACTGGATGACCATCCATGGCCCTAGCATCGTACAATTGCCAGTTCCATGCATCAAGCTCGTTCCTTGGCTGATAGTCGGCCGGTAGCTCATCCCGGTCCGCCCTGACTCGATCTACAGGGAATGTGACGGCAGGATAGTCGAGAAAGTTCCAGATCTTTGTGTGACCAACCCACCGTATACTCCGGTGGGGAATGGCTGGATGAGGTGTCGTTGGAGCCAGAAGTATGTCAACGTGCTTACCCGAGGGAGAGAGGGTCGCGTTCCACTTGTTGAGATATCGCTCTTGTAGAGCAACCTTTCTCTTGTTGAGCTGCCAATACTCATAGACAGAGACAGCCTTGCCGCGGTTGACGAGCGCTTCAACGTGGGGAATATAAGGCTCCCCCGCCGCATCGACATCGCGACGGACGTCTTCACCTCCATCAACAGTGTAGAATAAGTCCATGAGGCGGATACACTCCAGATGGTCCGACGCGTCCCATGTCACTATGTCGTGACCGTGCGCCTTTAACACAGTAGAAAGCTCACGGAGAGCTCGTGCGATGGGCGTATGGACCCTCACGACTCCATCATCCACGACCAGGCCAATAGTCATAGGTCGACTTTGGATTTCTCGGAAAGCGTTCTCGTTCCAAGGAAGTGGTGGGCATTTCGGATCAAGCAACCATGGCTTAGCCTCGATTAAGGCTCGACTTACATAGCAGAGTGACGATAGGTCCCTCCCCATGGGACCAATAGATGAAGGAATGTGCTCCTGTCCTTCAGTTGAAACGGGAACTCCGTGGTAAGGAAGCCTGCTACTCTGGTGCGGAGTTAGTCTTCAACTTTGCTATGGCTTCCGGATCCGGCCTTACACTGGGTTTCAAGCCATACAGTCCCATGAGACTCTGCGGGATTCTGATGCTCCCACCGATGTCTGTTCCAAACCCTAAGAGAGAACCGCGCAGTGCCAAAAGCGCAGCTTCTCCTCCAGTCGAGCCGCCCGGCGTAAGTGCAGGGTCCCGCGGATTGGTTGTTAGGCCCCAGAGGGGATTTTCCGTCTCAGCCCACTATTGAATCCGTTAGTCTCCGGAGCGTTTGAACTGGATAGGGGTTGCACCATAATGCTCTGTGGTAAGTTCGTCTTGGCCAACACAACAGCACCCATGTCTTTCAGTAACCGAACCAAGATTGCATCTTGCGCAGCGGGCGCAAACGAGCGGCCCACGTAGCCCAGTGTGCTATCGACCCCTTTGATGTTGAACTGGTCCTTCAGCGTGACCGGAATACCATGCAGGGGACCTTTGACTTTGCCAGTCCGTTGAAACTCGCGATCCAAGTCCCTGGCTTGTACCAAGGCTTCCTCGAAGGTAACCTCTGTAAAGCAGTTTGTCTAGTGGGTTGCTCCTGTCAGTACCCCGTGATCGAGTTCGCCGTTATCCATCATATGGTCCAATCCCATGCTCACCAATTGATGCGCCACCACAGCTCTGAGTAGACGTACTATAGTATCAGCATGTGGTCGGAATATTTTCGCGCTCGCGGCGTGAACAGGTGTACCTTTTGATGTAGGCTAGGATGGTCTGCTCCGCAGTGATTCTTCCGGTCTTCAATTGTTCGAAAATCTGAAGAACACTGTCAATGTCGGTAATCTCCTCAAAGCCGGATGCATCATGCAGGCAGGTGCGCTCATGAACATTGTACACGCGAGGAAAACGTTGATCAGTATCGGCGACAATGTAGGGTTTTATCTTTTGATCTCGCAGAGAACGCTTTTTAGCGACGACCTGTTCCCACGGCTGTAAATTTCTCATAGTTGACGATATAAGAAGACTTGATGATTGGGCTGCTTAGTCAAGCTCAGGTCAATTGTCGATTTTAGAAAGGAGGGAGACAGAGAGGGAAAGAGGGAGAGGGTGAGAGAAACTGGTGCTTTCACACCTGATTTATATGCCGGTCATGAAGGGCAATCCAGTGTCAATTCCACCAGTTGGGACTCGAATGATAACCAACTACTACTCAGTAGCGATAAGCAGTACATGAAACAGTTGCAATTGATTGGACCCAGGCCCGATTTCAGGACCTGAGAAGTGTACTTCAAGGTTACGTACGTAGGTATACCTACTTGGTAGTAGTTATATCTACGATAATCACACAGGGAGCTGAATTACAGTACCAGTACTAGGTCTACGAAGTGGAGTGTGTATGAGCGGGTACTGTACTGTGCTCTGTACTGTAAAGTACCAGAGAATGATACTGATTATCTTCGGTGGGGAATGAATGGCGGGCGGAGTTTTTTGCCTTTTCCCCGCGCGGTTGCAGTGACGCTCAACTTTTTTCTCTCGTTATTTTCCCCGGCTTCCTGCCTACTCCCTGGCACCTGCAGTCCCGCCCGCCGCCGACCGATCGGATTGAACATCCAGCCTCCAACCCACTCCTCCCATCCCATCCCACTCCTGCTGGCTTGCTTACTTGCTCATACGCAACTTACTACTTACTTGCTTGGCCATGATGGTCTGACCGTCTGAGAGACCTTGCATTCTGCTGTGCAACAATTGTGTTCTCCATTGGGAATATGCCACAATCATGAACCAGCCACGCTCGGATGTTGCCGCAACATCGTCATCATCATCATCAACAACAAACACAACAACATCATCTTCGTCAGTGACTGGTGCCATCCGCACAGAATCCCGAAGGAAGGCATTAGGAGCTGTTGCGAAGCGCGCGTGTGATCAGTGCAAATTTCGGAAAATCAAGGCGTGTGATCTCTTCCTTATTTCCCCCCATTCTTGTTCCTTTCACTTCTTCGCTCACCGCCCCCCTCCTTCCCCTCTCTCCTCCCCCTCTCCCGCAGCAAATGTGGAGACTTGCAACTAACCTACCTGTCTTTGTGACGACAGTGCAGCTTGTCACAACCATGTCGAGCTTGTGTATCTATGGGCTTTGAGTGCACGTTTTTCCAGCCTCAGAAGAAAAGAGGCCCCACTGGCCAGTGAGTGCATCCATCCTCTCTTAGTCATCTTCATCGGAATATTCTCATCTTACCTATCGTGTTTCGGAACTCATAGCCGAGTATCCCAGATTCGGCAACAACAAAATAACCTCTCATTGAACCACCCCCCAGCTCAGGAAGCATCGAATTCGTTCCCAAATGCTTTCCCTTACCATCCAAATTCCTCGCCTCGAGGTGATCAGGTTCCCCAGGCCCTTCGAACTCAATCCTGGCCCATTCCAAGCGAAAACCCAGTATCCATAGAGCTCGCTCCTTCAAGTGCGACTCCATCCATACAGCCAGGCTGGAGCACAGACGCTTCTGAGTCACAAAGCAATGGTGGGATTTGCTGGAACGAGCGCAATGATGTAGAATACTGGCTTCCAGATACCCTGGACGCTCAATTGCCCGTGTTTGACTTCCCGGGGAACAACATCCTCTTGAAAACGTCGCTTCCCTCCATTATCGAGACCCATCCAACCTCCGCAAGCCTACAGGCGCCGACTATACCTTCGACGGGTGCTACAGCACCGAAAACAGACATTGTACCGCCAGACTCTCATCATTTGCAAATGGTGTGGCCTGCGTCAATTGTTGAAGCTAATATGATCCCGTGGATTGATATTTACTTTGATCGTCTGCACCCTACTCTGCCAGTCCTGAACCGCGCGGCTCTATTCATCCGCATGTTGGCTCACGAACACCGGAGAAACCCTCAATTCGGCGCAATGTTGTTAGCGCTGTGTGCCTTTGCTCTCACGCAACCGATCGAGATACAGGAGCGTCCGACGTCCTCCTCCCGAGCGAGCCAAGCGAGATCCATGATGCATGAAGCGACAAAGATGCGGAGCTGTTCTGATTTCGGTGAGCATCCCACCATCGAGGCTGTCCTAACCAGCTTCTACCTATTCGGTTGTCTTTTTGGTAGCAATCAGCATAATGCGGCTTGGCTTCGCCTGCGGGAAGCCCTAGATCTCGCGGCTACAATGGGTCTCAACAATCCAGATTCATACCAAGATTTACCTAGCGAGGAAAAAGGCCAGCGACTACGGACTTACCTAGTCTTATCAATCACCGAAAGGTAGGCTGTCTAATAGCGCTATGGACTTGATCCTTATGCTAATTGGTATCCATTTGTGAAGAGCGTATGCGTTACAACGCAGGCATCCGATTACCTTCTGGGGCAGGCCGGGCTTTAGTATGCGGCCTGTTCATGACTTCATTCACACTGCCACCCACAGTTTGGTGTCTGGTATCATCGTCCACAATGAAAAGGACGCGGAGGGGATGATGGGGTTGGCCCGCTTGATGGAGTTGTTCGATGCCATTGATGAGGATGTCGTTGACTGCTGGAACCAACAGTGTAGTATCCAAGCTGGTTATTGCGAACAGCTCACAGCGGCAAAGGCATTGGTGATTCACCAGAACCTCAACCGTGTCAGCGAATCCGAGCTATACAAAGGTTACAATTGGTTTGAAAGCTCCAAGTTAGCTCACGGTGGTGATCAAAACCGCCCTACAATCGGTTTAAGAGAGACACAAAGTGCAGATGTTTTCATCACCAAGAAGTGGCTCCAGAACCGGATATGGGTCCTTTGCTCCACTCATGGTTTCTTACGGCCCGTATCCGAGCACCGTGAACTCTGTCTTGATTTCGCTGTAACGCTTGCACAAGAGACGTTAGATATATGTCGAGCCCTACCTTTGAGCTCCATGGAGGCCCACGGAATAGGCTTGGTATGTGGTAACCTCGTGTTTAATCTTCCCTTTTGTCTCTCTTTTTGGTTATTTGTCTTTTCCTGTCGTGTTATTAACCAAATCAGGTGGAAAAACTCTATGACATCGTAGTTGGGGCCATCAGCGTACTATACAATATCCAGATGCCCCTCGCCAAGGGCATTACCGTGCCACCTCCCGCGGGAATAATACCGAACATGCAGCTCCCCATCTCTCATATGTCCGATGGTGGAACGTCTCCCAAATCATTGGCAGGAGATTATTTGCTTCTGCTTAACACACTCCGTGGGGGCAACCATCCTTTCATGGACAAGTATAAGGCACTCTTGAGCTCCGTTCATACGACTAACGATACCTGGGCAGCGCAATAGCTTATTACTACGCCGAATGTGGAAAAAAGCCTACAAACTGTTGCCATCACTCTAGTTGGTTACCCGTGCTGCAGAGTCATGGCTCGCAGACAGAAAACATCGAGGTTGAGAATCATTCACGTTCCATGCGACTGGAAGGATGACGGCGCAGTGAAGCCCATAGTTATATGGACGGGCTAGAAATGGGTACCTTTTTCGGCCATTGACACCATACATTATCCCCAGGCGATGATGATGATGTTGATGATGATGGTGGCACCGCCAGTCTGTAGGGCGAGTGCTTGTGCTGTGCCTGAGGTGTACGGGATAGCGTTTTGTCGCTCGCATTACGCCCGCATTAAATATCCTAGATTTGTATCAATAAATAAGTCGAGTAGGCTCCAGCATGCTGATGTCACTCCAAAAAAAATGGACTCAAGGATGGACAAACCATGTGAGAAGAATCGAAAACCCTGTGATGTGGTTACATATCTCGAGAGAGGGCAATAGATAATTGACAACTTGAGCTCGAGCTAGCTGGCGGATGACGAAGACGAGTTTTGCCGAGGATCCGCCGGGAGGCCTTCGTCCAGCTTCAAGCTATGTGTTTAGAAACGTAGCCCTGTTGCACATTGCAGCGATACAAGCATTTTCAATCCCATATCGCCGCCATGCACTGCCCCCCGTCCTTGTCAGATCATACGAGCCTCCTCCATCAAGAGACATTTTCTGAACAGACCGAACAGTGGCGCCCATCGTTCCACATCACTGCGCCCAATGGATGGCTGAATGACCCGTGTGGATTGACATACGATCCCACCACTGGTCTCTATCACCTGTCGTTTCAATGGAACCCCAAGGGAAATGATTGGGGGAATATATCGTGGGCACACTGTACATCATCTGATCTGCTCACCTGGAAACAAGCCCAGGAGCCGTGTTTAACTCCCTCGGCCGAGTATGACAAGTGCGGTGTGTTTACCGGTTGCCGGAGACCTGGTACGATCTATGGGGAGTCTGGGGCCCTCACTGCGATATATACCTCAGTGAAATGCTTACCCATTCATTATGCACGACCCTATGTGGCCGGCTCCGAATCGATCAGTCTTGCAACTTCCACCAACGGAGGGACAACATGGCAGCGTCTTGAATGCAACCCAATCGTGTCAGGGCCCCCTGATCATCTTTCCGTCACAGGCTGGAGGGACCCTTTTATCGCTCAATGGCCATTTATCCTACAACAGCCCGGAGCCCTAGCATCTTCGGATCTGTGTGGGTTCGTTTCCGGGGGCATTGTCGGAGAGACCCCGACTGTCTTTGTCTACTCAGTAAACCCACAGGATCTGCGAGAGTGGAGCTATGTAGGATGCTTGGCTCATATTGGAATTCACTCTCGACCATCCCGCTGGTCGGGCGACTTAGGGGTCAACTGGGAGGTTGCGAATTTCGTCTCGCTGACGGACGACCAGAACCGACCCCGGAACTTCATCATCATGGGGGCCGAGGGCGTGTCAACACGAGGCAAGCCTCGGAGAAGAGCGGCCAGAGCACAGCTTTGGATGTCCATCGAGCCCTCTCCCGGGATCAGGACGCAACAGCAGCCCCTTGCAACTTTTGCCTATTCGGGCCATTTTGACCACGGCTGCGGATACGCGGCCAATTCGTTCTGGGATCCCGTCACCTCACAACACGTTGTCTACTGCTGGATCGCAGAAGACAGTCTCTCCGATCAAATTCGACATCAGCAGGGATGGAGTGGGACACTTTCCATCCCTAGGGTCGTGAACATAATGACACTGCACCGCGTGATGCGCGCGCGCTGCGCGGAGCTCACCGCTATCACATCTATAGAGTCCGAAGCTGATTTCAGAGGAACGTGCACCGTTCGCACCCTGGGTATTAGACCAGATGCTAGAATCGAGAAGCTTCGAAGCAATGCGCACAGAAGCCACCTAGCTAATATGTCTCTACAAAACCCCGCCAAGCTAGCTGCATCACCAGGCACCAGCGTCTCTATAACGACGAGCAAGTGGGAACTTCAAGCCGAGATATCCGTCAGAAAGAACTGCAGCCAAGTGGGACTGTTCATAGATCATGGCATAGGTATGGATGGCACTTGTGATATCGACCATTGGAAGTAAGTTTCTTTGAGGCCTCTTGCTGACTGTCTAGCAAAGATGCTCAACGTCGTACTACTTTGTCGTGGAACGTACATCAAGAGACGTTCATCATCACCCGCCCTTCACCTCCCGATCCTGAGATAGACCATGACCCGGAGAGTGCGCCGCATACTCTCTTCACTTATGAGACCGAGCAAGGCGAGCTACGGGAGGAGACGCTCCGGATCCATGCATTCTGGGATACTAGTGTGCTGGAAGTCTTCGTCAACGAGAGAACGGTCATCTCGACCCGAATCTACCTCATGCCGGCCGACCAAAAGCGATCCATATTGCAGTTCTTCGCAATGGGGAGAGATGTTCAGACACAGCCTTCGGTGGAGGATAGTCCTGCCCTTCTTTTAGAAGCAAATATATGGGACGGACTGGTTGCGACATGATCACTGCAAGCTAAGGTGTTGAGGCACCGAAGATATTATCTAAGTATTATTCAATATTATATATTCTCTATCATACATGTGTTTGAGTAATGCTTGATCAACATAACAAAATGCAATCGTGTCAACCCATGCTCCGAATCTCTATATCAATGTCAACAACTCATGCAGATTCAAAGAAAAAAAGCCCTCGGGACCCGCCTCGCCCGTTGTTCGAGTGGTATCCATTTGTGGCCCAAAGTAAGCAATTAAGACGCAACCTTATAGAAAAAAGAAAGCAACGAGGTCCCCCGCTCTCCTTCACAACAAGTATCCGAAGAATGCGAATGGGTATCATCAAGTCATAGTGGCCTTACAGCACAATCCGTCTTCTCGTCCGATGCAGATTTTCCTTGAATATAATGCACAACAAAAATGAGGTGAACGGCAGAGCTACAGCGAGGAAGATGGATAAAATTATGTAGTTGAGGAGGTCGGGCATTAGAGGAGTCTGTCATTCATAAGTAGAGGAAAGTCACCGGAAAGTTCGCTGCCAGAATTTCCAGCTGGGCAGCGCCTTGTGTCCGTCACGCTTATAAATACGCCAGTAGTAGACGGGAACACCGGCGATAATAAAAGCGACCACGATCAAGGTCTGCAGCGGTTCTGCAATGACGGCGCGGCTGAGCAGAAACAGACTCACACAGCAGAAGATGATCGGAGTCGATATCCAGGTCTTGTAAGGTCGTTGCAAGTACGGCTCGCGCACCCGGAGCACGATCAAGCCTAACACGGTCAGAAAATAGAATGTGTAGCCGGCGACTCCGTAAAACGTGACGAGCGTCTTGAACTCGCCAACAACGATATAGACCACCGTAAGAGCGCTGTTGAGGGCCATCGCATTGATGGGGGTGAACCCGATCTGCGTGCCGGCGCCGCACAGCCGGGAAAGTGACTTGCTCAACCAAGACCGGTGTTGAAGGCGGTTAGAGGAGGAAATGCCGCGTGTCCACAAAGTACCAAAGACTTCAGGTAGATAACCTTCTTTTCCGGCCGCGTAGACCAATCGACCACTGGTGAAGGTCGTGGCGTTTAGGGCACCAAAACAACTTGCGGACACAATCAGTGCAAAGATGAGAGCACCCACATGACCGAAGACTTTGTCGCCGAACTGTACCGCAATGGTATTGCTCGCTTCAATGGTCGCTTGGGGCAGGACGAGGATGTAGGCGACGTTGGCAAGGATGTAAGATAGGATGACTAACGGCATGGCTGTGTGAATCACCCGTGGCAGGTCCCGGTTAGGGTTTTTGAATTCCCCGGTAACATAGTTGGTCTAGATGAGTTCGTGTTAGAGATCGCAACGGCATGAGGGGTATGAGAGAAAAGGCATACATTGTCCCAGCCATCGAATGCCCAAAGCCCCGCGTACAGAGCCAGCGCCCATGCGGAAACGTCGATATTTGTACCCTCGAACCAGCCAGTCTTCCATTCCTTGTTGGCACTTCCAGTTGAGGAGAGGCCTGTGATAGCTACCACTATGCCGATAATTGTGACAGCCAGCAATGCAACAAACTTGAAGAACATAAACAAGTCTCCAATGCGTGCGGCCACCCGTGTAGAGATGCAATTCAGCAGAGTCACAACAAAGAGTCCACCAAAGGCAACGGCCTTGTTTATCCATGGGTTGATGGTTTCAACCTCGGCTCCCACTACTGCGCGCACGACATACTCTCCGAAGATGATGGCGATGATGGCAGCGCTGCCGGGCTTCAACACGAGGACAGCACACCAGGTGAACAGAAAACCCGCCAATTCTCCGAATATCTTTGCGAGATACACCTGAGATCCTCCATTCAGCGGGATAGCTCCGCCCAGCTCTGCATAACTGGCTGCTCCGGTCCATGCCAGCAACCCAGCAACTACCCACGCAATGAGCGACGCCCCTGGCGAACCCGCATTGACATTGACCTGGCTAGGAGAGGAGAAGATTCCAGAGCCAATGACCAGGCCAACAACGAGGGACAGACCGTTCAAGTAGGTCAAGGTCTTGTTCCGCTCCAGCGATCCGTCAGCTAGGCCAGCCTCTCCGTCCAAGGCGGACGGGGCTCCCAAAGGGGCATACCCGCCCGTAGTCTGCGATAAGGGAAAGAGCGTCGCCCCGAAATCGAAAGCGGAGGAGACTGAGTATGAGCGCGCGGATCGAGGTCGACTAGAAGAAGATTGTGCGGGGAGCTGAGTACTGGTTAAAGGGTCTTCTTCGTCTAAGGAGAGCTTGCGCGAAGAGGAAACGCCCGAGGGAGAGGAGGAGCAGGAAGATCGAGGACCAGAATCTGGCGATGAGGCTAGCGAGGCAAGCTCTAGAGAATCCCGGGGTGGTGCATGGTAACTGTCCGACCTCGAACCGGGGTTGGAAAAGGCTATCTGGGACATGCCTTTCACCAGAGGTCAGGGGTGGTTAGTATTTTGGAGTGAAGCGGAGGTGAATGGCGAGCAGTGTCAGAGCACGGGCTGTGTCCATGCCAATGTTGAGGTCGTGCGATGAGTGACGTTGTTTTCGTAAACCAGACAAGAAATAATACACAACACTTAACACAGAAAAAGTAAAGGAGAAAGGAGAAGAATTAGAGAAGAAGCAAGTGTAATTGAGAGCAAGGGTAAGGTGGAGGAGAGAATAGGACTGAATAGATGATTGAATGAATAAACGAAACCATGAGAGTCTCTGTAACATGAATTGAGCACAGACGGTCGGGGTGCGTGGTTAGCTCGATCAGGCTTAGTGCCGAGGGATCCATCTCCAGTCCCTGATTTTAATCAACTTTTAATCCAACTTTTGATAGCTTCTTCCCTATGTTCTCGAATCTCGTTCCTCTCTCTTCACCCATGAAGCCCCGGATTTTTAGTCAGGGCTTTTCTCGGTATGATCGGTACAATGTGTCCTCCATCGGTGGAAGGCTGCTGACGAGAAGCCCCCAATTTTATACCTCGTCCTCCGCCTCCGCCTCCGCCTTTGCATCCTCCTCCGCATCCTCCTCCTCCTCTTCTTCTTCTTCTCCTCCGCCGCCACCTAGATCACGTCGATGGGTGCAAGTGGCCCTTGTTACAACGGCTGCCGCCGGTATTGGCGCATATATCCGATCCGAACACGGTTCTCGGTCATCAACCTTGTCTCCCGCTCAATTCACTCTATACTATTTGGTATCGCGGGAACCCGTGTCGTCGTCGGGGAGCATTTTCACTCTACAGCCACCCAAGGTAGATGGGAGCAATCGCGCCGTTTACGAGGAAGCATGGACAACGGGAATATGGAGTGTGATGTTTAAGCAGCCCCAACTGCAGATCGGAAGAGACTATACTCCCCTTCCCTCAACCTCGCCAGATGAAGAGGAGGATGAATGCTTGCGGTTCTTCATCCGGCGAGACCCTCATGGCGAAGTTTCTCGCTATCTCCACAGCCTCGATATGGGCTCACCCATAGAAGTGCGTGGCCCTAGGGTCGAATGCGGGATCCCACCGAGCACGCAACATATTCTCTTCATTGCTGGTGGGACCGGAATTGCCCCGGCGTTGCAAGCCGCACACACTCTTCTTCGTCGCACAGATCAGACTTGTAAACCTAGAATTCATATTCTCTGGGCTAATCGAAACCGAGACGACTGTTTGGGGGGAATCAATGACACAATAGTGACTCCAGCTCCGCGGAGGTCGTGGTTCTTTGGTCGTTCAACTCCACCAGCAGCCAGCCCAGCCCCGGCCGCATCGCCTCTCAACCAGACTCGGTCCCTCATTGTCCGAGAGCTGGAGGCTCTCCGGGCGCAATATCCTGGCCAGATGACCGTGGACTATTTTGTCGACGAAGAAGGTAGTGCCATTGGCAAGCAGGCGATCCTGGATTTCACTAATTCGGTCGGCTTGCTGTCTCCCAAACCCAGGCAAGACAATCTGATCCTTGTGTCTGGACCAGAAGGCTTCATCAGTTATATGGCAGGACCTAAGCTGTGGGCCGAGGGAATGGAATTACAAGGACCACTTCGAGGGATCATCAAAGAGCTTGATCTGAAGGACTGGGTTGTATGGAAGCTGTGAGGCCATTCTATGTACGCTATAAATATAAGGATAGAGGACAGTAGGTGAACAAGGATGATTTCAAGCCCCGCGTAGATATGTATAACCTCACGTTATTCGTAGGTACAGTAACGGTGGGTAAATAGTCAGTATGAGTCCAGCTATTGACGGTGCGGAAAGACAAGGATTGAGGGCTGTTCTCTGATTGGGGTCCGACCAGAACAAGGTTGTGGAGTCGGGCTGTTTATTCCATAACTACTCCGTAGACTACGTACTATAATATTGTTGTTCATTGAAATAAGCCCAGACACCATACGTCGTACTACCCCGTAAAGACCTCTTTCTCTTCTTTTCCTCTCTCCCCCCAACCCTACCAAGCCATTGTTCGGGGAACTCCTCAACTCGACCCCTCCAACTCATATATCTCGTAAAGGCGCCGTCAGCGCGCTATCAACGCGCTATCAATGCGCGCAGGCGCGCCTGGGCGCCAGCCTTGAGGGGAGAAGACCATCGACCAGTTTCCGAGGGGAAGGCCGAGGATAACGCAGGTCTGACCGAACTGTATCCCAGCTTCCTCGAGCACAGCTCTGTGGAGATCGTGTCCTGTGAGGCGACCAACCGATTAGTACCACTGTACAGGACCTCGTACGTGGATAAAGTTCCGGGGGGAGATCGATGCCATGCTCCCATGAACAGGCGGCCACCGCCATTTGACTCAACACCCTCTTGATATTTATTATCTTCTCGCGTAGCGGCATGAATTAGGCCCTCCGTCCCTTAGAAGCGTTGTGCTCCATCGAATCAGCCATCATCGCGAAGTTTATTACAGGGGTGCTGACCATAAGCCGTTCAGCTGGCGTGCGGGCTGGATTCTGGCATGCGATGTTTGGAGGAAAGCCAATTCAGACATCAGGACAGGCCCAAGCAGACGACCAAGTGAATACACACAAGGTTGGCAGCTGCCTCCGAACATGCAGGAGCTTATTGTAAAGATGACCGGTAACTTATGGCCGTCGGGAGTAGCGGAGTGGAGTTAATGGTGTGATCAGTGCTCTTTGAAGGAAGGCAGGAGAATAAAATCAGAAGAACACGAGCGAAGAGAGCAAAAGCAAAAGAAAAGTGAAAAATAGAATGTCCAGTCATGTCATATCCTCTCTTCAGCTTTTGGTGAGACGAATTGTCTTGGAAGGTAAGTACTAGTAGAAAGATCGGTGGAGGAAGAGCTGAGGAATTTCTGCATGCATGCGGGAGGTACGTATGTATTACCTAGGTAAGGATATGTAGACAGATACAGACCATCGAGAAAATACGAGTGGAAGGAGTACGCCAGGCTCAGTAGATAGACTACTAGATTGGGTAGTATGTGGTGGTAACTTGGAATTTGGAACAGTACTCCGTACCTTACCGGCCTCGATCTTCTTCGTCTTCTCAGCTTCTTCCTCCTCTTCCTCCTCTTTCTGCAGATCTGACCCGCTGTATTTCCCCGACCGACGCGTTTACAATTGCTTCAGCGAGAAGCTGACATCACACCGCTGCATGATTGGGCCACGTACAAGTCAATGCTCCATATCGAGCTGAGCAGTAGCCCTGCAGTCAAGGAAGCTCTTCCGGACAATTCAATCCAAACTGCGCTGACACTTGGCACATCGGGCCATGACGCTGCACAGATTGGGTTCCGAGCATGCGCAAGGTAGATAACCAATGTTGAGACCATGGATGAGATTCGGCTAAGAAAAGAACAGCCATTTCATTCTCTCTTTCTCTGCTCTGCTGCAGAAAAGTATCAATGACCAATGACTCGGTTAATGCGAAACCAGCCCAGCCAGACCTCTTCTGAGCAGGTCTACCATCCATTACGACGAACAGACAATCGCAGAACAATCCACAGGCTTTACCAGAACGGTACAACCCGGCGGACATTTAGTGACTACGCATCCTCTCGCACAGCGCCTGGTAGCATGAATCGTCGCTCATCCGCTCCAGTGAGCACTCGATCGGAATTCGAAAAGGCCTGGAGGAATGACCTCCCCGATACGCAGCCTTCGCAGCCACTAGAGGCTCTCGCGACCACGACAGATATTCCTCTTTCTCGCCGTGATCGTAGGAACAGCAGTATTCCGTACGAAAGACAATCTAGCGAAGCTGCGTCGGGCTTACACACGTTAGAAACAAATTGCCTGGTGCTTCCACTCCGCCTGTATCCTACGACAACTGGCCCCTCTGAAGGTCACAAGCGGAGCGTATCTCATACTCCGCAACCCGTTCATTCGAGTCCAACCCCGACACGCCGGTGGCAATCGGACGTGACTGGCTCGTCGCGGGTGTCTCGTACATCGGGCTCACGACGTGAGAGAATTCGGTCCATCATTCGACAGTTCAGACGACCTAGCTGGTCCGCAACAACCCCATCTTGCCCCGCTCGTAGTCGCACGGAGCGACGGGTCTATGCGAGGAACATAGGGACGAGTAACGACTTGACCTCAGCCGATAATTCAACTGCACCGTTATTGGTTGAATTGTCTCAGACCGGATCTCGAGCTGACATTGCGCAACTTCTTGAGAATGGTCATGATATTGAAGCTCGTCACATGTCCACTCGCCGAACGGCATTACTTGTCGCATCTCAGAACGCAAACGAAGAAGTCGTAGAGTTGTTGCTTCAAAGGAACGCGCGAGTGGATGCCACCGATAAATCCGGATCGACGGCTTTGCATCTAGCAGCTTCCCGCGGCCACTGTAACGTTTTGGAGCTGCTTCTACCCGAATTTCTAGATATCGACGTGCGGAACTCTAATGGCCAAACAGCCCTCTGGCTGGCAGCGTATTATGGCCACGTTGATGCGGCGCGCCTGCTGATCGCATGCCATGCTAAGCTCAATGCGCGAGCAGACAGCCAGACTACTGCGCTGCATGCTGCCGCAAAACAAGGTGATGCAGCGATCATTCACCTTCTGGTTTCAGCAGGTGCAGACGTGGAAGCGAAGGACGGGATGATGATGACGGCACTGCATTATGCTTGCGAGGCTGGTCATCTCAGGGCTATTGAATTACTCCTTGATAGCAAAGCGAATATCGATGCGGCTGGAAACGATCGCAGAACACCTCTCATCTGCGCAGCCGCTACGGGCCAACTGTTTGCAGTCCGATTGCTGTTGAAGCGGAAGGCCTCGGTTCGGTGCCTCGATGATGCTTCAATGACGGCCTTGCACTGGGCCGCTTTTAACGGGCATACCGAGGTTGTGAATGCATTGAGCCTAAAGAAGACTGTGTTGGCTAAAACAAACATCGCTGGTCGAACGGTTCTCCATCTAGCAGCGATGAACGGACAATTCGCAGTTGTTGAGCATCTCATTCGCAAAAACTTGCCTCTAGAAGCTCGCTGCCACACCGGCTTCACGCCACTTCACTACGCATGTATAGCAAACAGCTTGGAAGTCGCCAGATTGCTGCTCATATCGGGCGCCGATATAGAAGCTTGCGTTAGCCCCGACCTACGTAGATCTGTCCACATAGCGGCTGCTGATGGATCCATGGGTCTACTCAATTTGCTTTGTGACAAGGGAGCTTCTCTGAAAGCTCGCGACTCTGTGGGAGATCGCGCGCTCTGCGTGGCATGTCGGTACGGTCATGCTGCTGCCGTGCAGAACTTCCTAAATCGAGGGTCACCCATCTACCTACCATATGAAGAGATGTCCGAGGAGGATTCCCCATTGTGTTTAGCAGCGATGGGAGGGCATCTTCCTGTGGTCACTCTATTGCTTCAACGGGGTGCATTGGCCGCCAAGCGCGATGAAAGGGGCTGGCCGCCCTACCGACATGCCGCTTACTACGGACACCCTGACGTGTTGCGGTTACTCCTCTCCTGCGATCTCACATCAGCAAAGGAGGATGCTGATTTAGGACTTACGGTGGACCGCATTGGCTTTGCCCCTTCGGCAAGCATCTCCGACGAGCGAAAGCTGGAGGTGCAGAACCTGTTGTATCGGATACACCAGTCAACTCCGTCGAGATTTGACGTCGTACCTTCTTGGACTTTTTCTTTTCCAGCGGAAAAACACGATCAAGCTTTGCATCGACCAGCGCCGGTCTTCTGGTCCGATTCTCCAATGGAGACCCATACCGCCCCAAAAACAACCATAATCCCCCAGGAACTACCCGGGACTTTAGAACAAGGGCTACCCACAAGCCGATCCCACACCCCGGAGCATATGCGTCGAGAAGCCAGCCCTAACCATGGACCCTTGAGACTCAGTGGCATGCCAGGGGCGTTCATCGTAGAAGAACAGGCGTTTGTTCCCGCGAACGAACATCCAATGCTTAGGTCTAGCGCGCGACCCCACCTTGACTCATCTAGGAAACCCGGAGGGATCAGTCTTCCCTTGGAGACAACATTCGCTCGGACGAAAGGACCGACTTTCTTGCCGGAATCGCCAAGCTCAGTCATCGACCCGCGTTGTGCCAGATACTCCTTGTCTTCCATCTGGATGTCAAGCCCAGTGTATCAGAGGGAATCCGAGGAGGACGAACACTGGGACTCAGAATCGTCTCTCTCATCAGTATACACGGCGTTGGAGTGTGAAGCATTTGAGCTTGCCGTGTGAGAGGTCTCTCTGCCTCTCCTTCTTGTCTCTCTTTTGCAATTCATCTTGCTCAAGGATGAGGAGCCATATGTTTGAACGAGACCACAATGCAGAAAGGCCTGTGATCAGGCCCAGGCTTTGTGTTAGTTCTGTTGTGCCATTTCTTTATTTAGTTAAGACATCCACCTCATGCAAGTCTCGCTTCTACTGGGTCCCTGGTATACAAATATTAGCCACGGCCTATTTACACATCGAATTGGGTCCCCGACCCAGCGCTTTGCAGCACAATCCTGCCTACACCGCATCAATAACATCATCGTGACTATGGCTTGGAGCTTGTCTTAAATGTTCCCAAACAAAGCCACTCATGCAGCGACAGAGCGAAGAACAACACGGAGATCGTTCCCGGGGAAATGGTCCGTGGCAAACGAACGCCTGGTAAGGCCAATGGCCTTGGAGGTGGAGAGACAATTAAGTATTATTAGGGAACACCGTGCATACCTAACTTGTTGTTCCAATGATCTGGCTCCTAAGCCCTACTTGTCCACGGCCAGTTGGGCGTGCGTAGCTCTCTTTGTATTTAAGAGATCTCAAAGTCAAATGAACGAAGTCTCTATAAAAGCATGGATGGGATCGAGAGACCATGATGCCTATCTTCCTCTCATCATACGTCTATCAAATACATCCCGTGTTGTCGCTGGCTTGGATCCGGTCCAAGCTGATTTCATCACTTTCCTGTTCCAGCCTATCTTCGAGACGTTTCCTAGGGCCAGGTCGGTCGGTGTCCAATATACTTTTCCCCCTTACCAACTTGCGAATTGCGCCTCCCATTCACACACCAAGACACAGTCCTCATCGCGGCTCATCCCCCTCAACTGACCTTTCATGTGTACTGTCACATTGTCAGCATTCCCGCCCATCCATCTCAACTGTACCTCCCATCGCTGTTATACCTCAGAAAATGGGACCATCCAGAGAGCCCCCTTTGACCATGGAGTCCATGGGTCGAGGCGGATATAACGCCCCCACGTCGTCAACCTCCTCCTCGACCTCGACCGCAGCCGAACCGATGGATATGCAAGGCCGGGGCGGGTATAACGATGTGAATGATAAAGCAGGGACCAACCAGTAGAATGCTCGCGAGGTCCCCGGCTGCGGAACAGCATCACCGAATGGAAGGGAGAGTCTAGGCTGCGGTTGGTAGTGCCAGAGGATAAAAAAAAAGAATTTCTCAGGGCTAGCAGCAGTCGTGTTTATTTCCCAACGCAGAATCTGTTACCGCACGCCACCCCCTCCCCAGTGATTAGCCATGTCATTTGTTTGGAAGCGCAGAAATGTGTTGTTTGTTTGTTGAACATATTAGAACGAAGAAAAAGGGATAGACCTTAAAAGAAAGAATGGTGGGAGACAACGTACTTTTCGAACACCACTCCTAGGACATCCTCCACGTCGCCACTCTCATCTTTACCCGTGATCTTGGCTAGGGCATCGGCCGCGGAACGGAGGTGCTCGGCCGCGGTGACGATGTCGACTTCTTCCTCGGACTCGTGTGTAAGATGGTGATGGGTTGATGGTTGAGTCTGGTTCATGAACGCGTCTAGATCCTCCAGGCAGCGTTGTAGGTTCGAGCTCTGTCGGTGGGTGACGCCCAGAGAATCCTCCCAGTAGGACCGGTCGTACTGGCCGTTGGCATCCTCCTCGATCCCCGTCGGGGAAGCCAGTTCCTCAAACGTAGCGATCAACCCCTGTAGAAAGTGCTGGATATGGCCCGGATCGTGCTCCGCCACCGGGCCAGAGACGGAGCCCGTCTCCCGGCGGGCATCCAGGCAGGAGATCCCGAACACGCGCCGGTCGGGCACAGCAGGGAACAGAGTGCGGACGGTGGCAAGCAGCTGATCCGGGAGGCGATCCAGGCCGGGCAACCGGTCACACTTGTTGATCGCAACGACGACGCAGCGGCCGGCGCGCGCGCACTCATTAGCCGCATCAATGACTTCTGGTTCAACCGCCAACCGCGAAGAAGCACTCGCACTCCCCTCCTCCTCCTCCTCCTCCTCCTTCTCCTCCTTCTCCAACGAGACGACCACAACGACAACATCCGACTCCAACGCCCTAGCCTTAGCCCTCCGGATGCCCTCTTTCTCAACCGCCCCGATCACCACATTCCGAGCCGCCGCGGAGCTCCTCCCATCATCATCGTCCCCCAAAACATCCTCCGACCGGATCCCCGCCATATCACCCAGCCGCACGAACCAACCCCCAACATCCACCCCAACATCGACGATATCCCTCGTAGTCCCTTCCTCGGTACTGACGATGGCGGCCTCGCGGCCCACCACCCGGTTCAGCAACGAGCTCTTGCCCGCATTGGGGGCCCCCAGCAACGCCACGCGGATCCCGCTCCGCAGCAACTCGCCCTTGGCGGCATTGCCGATATGCAGCTGGATCTGCGCCTGGAGGGCGCGCACCTGCCGGCCCACGGACCCAACCAGCTCGCGCGGCGATTCGTCGAAATGCTGGTCCTCGGCGAAGTCGATCAGCGCCTCCAGCTCGCCGCGCGCGTACAGCAGCTGATGCCGCCACTGCTCGTAGCGTTGCGACAGCGCGCCGCCTTGCTCACCACTGCCGCTGCTGCTCGCCGCACGCACGGCGATCCGTCGCTGCTGCTCCGTCTCCGCGTGCAGGATATCCCCCAGTGCTTCGATCTGGGGGAGGTCCAGCCGGTTGTTGAGGAAGGCCCGGCGCGTGAATTCGCCTGCCTCGGCGTAGCGGATCGTTCCTCCCCCTCCTCCTCTTCTGGAGGGGGGTTCCAGGGGGACTTGGGGATCCTTCGGGTTTGTTGTTGTGGTTGTTGTAGACATTGAGGACGGTGACGAGGATGGCCGGTTGATGTTCGCGATCGCGGTCAATACGGATTTCACGATCGCCGGACCCCCGTGCAAGTGAAGCTCGAGCACGTCTTCCCCTGTCACGGTTCGGGGGCCGGGGAAGTATAGCACCAACGCTGCGGCGTCGAGGATGGTGTTCGAGGATGGAGGGTGGAGAGGGTCGTATAGCGTGCGGACGGCGGCGTGACGGGCACGGGGAAGGGGCGCAAAGGGAGAGAGAGCATTGTAAATCTACAAGATGTAAGGTTAGTTAGTGGTTGACAGGACAGGTCTCGATGAGCGCTGAAACTGAAAGCGAAATGAATGCGGGTCAAGATGTATACCTGCACGCATGCTGGACCAGATACTCGCACGACGGCGATAGCGGCTCGCCCGGGAGCGGTGGAGAGGGCATAAATTGTGGAGTCGGCATCAAAGAGTGAGAAATCCGGGCGAGAGGCTGAGAAGCAGCGGCGTAGTGATGGATTTAATAGTAGTAGTGGTGCCGGAGAGCGTCTCGACAAAACAGCTCGATTCGGGGGCGGCAACGATGGGCGGGCGGCAGCAGCCCACCGCAGGGTTCGAAGATTGAAGCCTCGCATGCGCAAAAGGGTATCAGTCGCTGAGAACCAATAATTGCCTCATAAAGCTGGACAGTCGGGGTAAAGGATGGCTCGAATGTTGGCGCAAAATGCCGCGGAGGTAGGGATCACGTGCAGTCGGTCCCACCCTCGTCGATATCATTACACTCAGACACTCAGACACTCATACAAGCATGATAAGTACAGTACACTTTATTCGCATTAGATGTTACGGGTCCCATATTCTGGGAATGGTAAACCAGTAGATGTAGTAGTAAAAGGTCATATCACAGGGACCCTGCGCCCCTTCGTCACGCCTGCGCACCGAAAGACACACGGCCATACGCCTCACAATCCTCCTCCGCCAGAGATATGCAAATGTCGCCGGAACGACATCCAGATATAATAAACAAGAAGAAACCAATGAAAAGCCGAGTATGTACACAGACAGAAAATGAAGACCGAAGTTGATAATAAAAAAAAAGAAAGGGGGAGATGTCAGAGGCTATGAATCGCTGGGAGATCAAGGAGATGGAAAGCATGATGTATGCAGGGTCAAGGAGAAACGAAAATAGGAAAGTGAAAATGTACTCGGGAAACGAATGCAACAGCTTGGTGCAAGGAGGAACGAATCAAAGCAGTAGCCACGAAGGAAAGAATATCAAACCTCCAATCCCACTTGGCATCGCCGCTTGACAGCCCTCGAAGAAGATCAGAAGAAACGAAGACAGACGTGTCTGAAACACGCAGCCAGGGGAACATCATACACATAGTGACATCTTCCGAGACGGCATGGGTTGGTCTATCAAACATTAGATTAGGAAAGAAGGAATACGATTAGTTCATGCAACAAATGCACGGAAGGGCGAAACGTGCGTTGCGAAGTTGGAAATGAGATGGCGGGAAAGAGGGACATGGAGTGGAGAAATATGAGGCAATGGTCAATTTACTCCACGGATTTTGTTTAGGGAGAACCTTCACTGGGCTTGTCATCGCCAGGTAACTGTAGCTTTTGGTCGGCGGTTGGCGATACCACAATAGATGGTGTCAAGGGTGTTCGAGGAGTTGTGTCATCTCCGTCTCGAGGACTGGCGATACTCACATCATCCGGTTCAATCGGATCTGTCTGGGGAGGGGAAAGTGGTTCGGACGCAGAGGCTACCACCGAGCCATCGACGCTGTCTTTGCTGGTACCAGAGGCACCGTTGCGTCTCCGCAGCCTGCGTTTACGCCGCTCTTCCTCGGCTGTCTCACGTCTTCTTCTTTGACGCTCACCGTCAACATTGTCCCGTAGACCCTGCAGCATGCTTGCAGCCCGGTCCGCAACGTCTTCGCTTTCTGACACATGCTGAGCATCTTGGCTCGATGTCTCAGGAGCTTCGGACTCCAAAACCGGAGGACTCAGAAGATCCGTGTTGGCCGAGTTGGCATCGACTGCACCCGCGTTGCTCGTTTCATTGCTGCCAGTCTCTTCAATCTGTCCGGCTTCTGCGCCTTCAGACCCAGCGGGATCTGGCATTTTCTGTCCCGAAGCCACGCGGACCTGATGTCTCTCCTTCAAACGGGCGCGACGCCGGCGATCGCGCTGATCCCTGGCCTGAGGAGCCGCCGCACGCAGCTTCTCCAAAAGTGAATCCATAGCACCGCTCGTGGCGGGGGACTGTGGCCCTTCTGTAGCTGTACCGGCGCCGTTTGCCAGACCTGCATTAACCCGCTTACGAGACAGAGATGCTTCGATGCGTTTCCGATTCTCTTCCAGGCTGATGTTCTTCTCCTTAGATTTCTGGACATTGATATCACGGTTAGAAAAAAAAAGCCTTCGACGCAAAGCAATTGCATGTACTTACCCTCCACTCCAGCAAGAATGTAGCCAACTTCGCGAAGAAATCCCGCCTGGCGCCTTCATCCGTGTTATCCTCGCCGTAGAACACCATGATATCATCATAGCTTTTGACCATCTCGTCCAGGTAAAGTTGCATCTGGTCGGCCTTGCGACGAGCATCCTTCATGCTTCTTTGAACGATTTGACTGACCCGATCCTGAGGATGGAATTTCTTCGGATCACTGAGATTGCCAGCGTCCAAGCTGGCTTGGACGTTCTTAATGTTGTCTATGTACTTCTTAGCATCCGTGCGCAGTTGGTCGACGTTGAGCTTCTGAATGGCGACAACGCCGTTGATCTCATCCACAAAGCCCTCCCACTCGGGATACTGGTTTCGAACGATTCGCTCCACTAGATCGGCGAATGTAGTCTCGTTCTTATCATCCTTCACCATACCGAGGCGTGCGAGTGAGCTCAGTTTGAAACCTTGAGCTTGCTTATTGGCATCGTTCATGAAATTACCAATGTCCAAGATCAAGCCAAGAACATTCATTAGGGCCACGGAGTCTCTCAAAGACTCGCTGACCTGCACGACTTGCTGCAGTTTGGCGGAGATATGCTCATAGTCTGGCTCATACGAGCGTGTCAACGCAAGAGCACGCATTCTTGCCTTCCAATAATGGTGCAGCTCGAACGCGGTATAAAGGTAGATCTGGTCTTCGCGCGTGAGCTCAGTTGGATCCTGCTCCCGCTCGGCGCTGGCAGCATCTGGACCGGTCCAGTCTCTACTGTATGGCGCCATAGACTTTGAGATATTCTCGGGTATGGTGCACATTTCATCCCTCTGTAAGAAATCCATGACGACCAGGTTGTCGAGAATCTCCGTGTCGCAATGGATAATCATCCGTACAACATCGTCCGCAGGGAACTGAGAGAATTTGGCCATAGCAATCTGGAAAGTCTTGGACAGCTCGTTGGAGATGAGTTGTTTCTTATCCGTACGCTGTTTGCCTCCCGCGCCCTTGCCGAAGATCTTGGTCTCTTTTGCCATGAACAGTCTCTCGACTTCATCCAAGACTCCCTTCTTCGCCAGCTCCACATACTTCTCCTCCTTTGCTTGAGCTGTAGGAGCATGAGATGCCCACACGGTCACCTGCGGAGTATCGACCTTATCCCAATGAAGTGCCTTGAGTTTCTTCTTAGGCCGGATAGATGGCATGAGAGCTGTCTGGTGATGAGGAAGAGCTTGGGAAGCCATGTAGTTTGCGCGCCAACCTCCGAATCCACCAGCACCAGGCGGTGGAGGGGGTGGAGGGGCACCGAAAGAAGCACCGGGAGGAGGAGGGGGTGGTGGAGGCCCAGGTCTTCCACCGGGCGGCGGGGGAGGGGGGGGCGGAGGGGGCGGGAACCCTGATTTTCCTGGTGGAGGAGGAGGGGGCGGAGGGGGCGGAGGTGGGATCCCAACAGCTCCTGGAGGCGGGGGCGGAGGCGGAGGAGGGGGAGGAGCGAACCCCAGCCCTCCTGGCGCAGGAGGAGGAGGTGGAGGAGGAGGAGGAGCGAACCCCAGCCCTCCTGGCGCAGGAGGAGGCGGAGGCGGGGGTGGGGGTGGAGGAGCAGGAGCAGGAGAACCTTTATTCTCGACCTTTTCAGTTGCACCCTCGACCCTGGCTCCTTCTTGTTGTGAACTGGCAGGGCGATCTTCTGTTCCAGGTTCAGCAAGTTTGTTGTCCACGGAGCCATTTGTGACAGCATCGTCAGCCTCCTCAGCGTCAATCTTAGGAACCTTCGAGGCGATTTCTCCCAGGAGACCGTTAGCTTGCTTAGGATTGACTTTAGGTCGATGAAGATCAACAAGGCGTGCTTTTTCGTATACGACCTCACCGGACTCGTCGACTGGCGTCTGAATCTCGGAACTGTCGTCTTGGTCCATGCCCGGAAGATGGCTTCTCTTCCGGTGAACCGATCCGAAGGCGTTGACGTCCAGGCCTTGACCTGTCCGTTGTCCAAACTCATTGTCGGCATCGGCTTCGCCATCCATCTGCTCTCGAAGCTCACGCAGTCTATCTGAGGTGACATGTTGACCCCATACCTTGCCCTCCAGCTTGAACTGTGTCTTGGTCCGCTCGAGCTGCATCTCCAATCGCTCCAAGAGCTTCTCTCGGTCGAGGATGCCTCTCATCTGTGAAGGATCCGCTTCGGCCATGTTGCTCTTCTTGGCAGTAGATGCAGCTATATCCTGGGCGTCTCGGAGCATCAGGTAGAGTTCTCGAGTTTCCAGCTCATTCCGCTGTAACTCTTGAGCCCGTAGCCTCTGAACATCCGCAAGCTCCGCCTGCATCACTTCCTCACGTCTCCGTTGCAGCTCAATGATCCCTGTCTGCTCATCGATCTGTTTCTGCAGCTTCTTAACCAAGCCATCTGCGCCAAGCTCTACCTGGGCCTTCATCTCATCGCGCTCCGCAAGAGCAGCCTCCGCGATCTGACGAGCTTCCAAAGATTCATCGTAAGCTCGTCTTGCCTCGGAGTCTGTATGCAGGCGGTCCAAAAGACTTTGCACGGTGAAGGTCAACCCTTGTCGGAGGTCAAGATCGGGAAGCCTACGGTCCATAGCGACATAGCTGAGCATAGCATCCACCAGCTGGTACATACGAAGACCATCCTCGCCAGAATTCTCCCGGATCAGGAGCATGTGCTGCATGGCCGAGAGAAAGTAATCATGAGCCCGAGTGCCCTGTATCCTGGCGGTGATGGCATCTGTGATTTGCAAAGGATCACTCATATCCTTGACCTCGCCCTCGATGCTGTCCTTCATACTGCTGCTCTCCCGTTGCAGCAGGTCTTCGTAGTCAATGGCTTCATTCTCCCTGAACCGTTCAATTTGCTTATCGATGACCTCGTACTGAAAGCCTTCCATCTTGGTCATGAGGCGCTTGATGCCGCAAGAAATGAACTGAGCCCTAATATGACAGCGGAGCTGCAAATCGCTCTGGGGCGCATCCACCAACATATTGATGAGCAGCATAGTTGAAACAGCATATTCCATGAGATGGTTCTCCATGCCTATGCCGCCGCTGCGATATTCTTCACTTGCGCCAACCAGGCTGCCCATTTTCCCTCGGCCATCAATGGTCACCTCCACAATACGCATCCAGGCGTCGAAACGGCCGGTTTCCCCATGATGATTCTTAACATGGTCCATAGCCTGGAGGACCTTCTGGTGCCCATGGCCCTCGGCCCAGTGACAGAGAAAGGTTAAGACTTCACTGACCAGCTTTCGCGTATTCAATCGAGGAGATAGCAGTGAGCTAACAAGAGCCACAATGACCTGTTGATGTGCGAGAGCATCGTCTGCTCCATATTTGTTGTTCATCAAGGCCTTTAAACATTTGACGATGTCATATTCACGATCCAGATCCTTATCCCCTGTCGGGGGAGCTGGGACGACACCTGTAGCCTTCCTTCGATTGATCTTGGCAAGCACGTTTGTCAAAGCGATTTGACCCTGCGCCTCAACAAAAGCCTTGACCCAACTGATTGGCTGCGTTCGTAGACTGACACTTAGACTGGCCAGCTGTTTCGAGGTGATTGAATCGTCCATAACCTTCTTCACATACCACTCGGGGCTTCCCTCCTCATCAGCGCGTTCCAGAATACCCGAGGGTCCATCATGGCCGTGAGTCTGCCGAGCATTCTGCCGCCGCTTCTGTTCCCCCTGTATCTCCGTCAACCGGTCCTGGTGCACCAAGGTCCACTTTTTCGAAGCCGGATAAGCGAGCATCTGTCGTTTGGCCTGCTCCGGGAGGTTCTGCCATCCTCGTTTCTGCATCAGCTCGATAAACAGTTGATCCACCACTCGATCGTCCCTCGGTCGGGCGAGATATTGCTCCTGGTTAACCGGAATCTTGGGTGGTTGAGCGGGCTGGGTCGATTGCCATGCTGCCTGTGCATTCGACAGGCGGCCGGAACTGCCATTTGATGCGTAGGTTGTGCGATCGGCGGAATGCGAAGGTGTCAGCGTGCGCGAAGAGCTCTCTGATGCATAATAGCTTGAACCCCGAGTATTAGATGACATCGACGAATGAACACTAAGCTGGTCGAAGGACAAGCGCGATTGCGCCGATGAATCTAATGTAGAGGAGGAGCTGTGGCTAAAGCCAGTATTGGCTGCAGAGCTGCCCGGGCGTCCCCACTGTTGATATCGAGCACCTTTATCCCCCGATGTACTTCCCGTCATGGTCACATTCAAGCCATGCGGAGGTGGCCGGGGGCCAGTTGGGTGCGACGAAGCGCTGTTGGTGGTGGTGGTGTTATTGTTGGGGACGCTGGCCGGGTTCCATGCCGGGTACTGGTGGTAGTCGCTGTTTCCTTTGGCGAGATGGTTCGGCGACGTTTCTTTACGTGAGGACGAACTAGGTCTTGAGAGGTGATCGACGGGAACAGGCGATCGGGTATCGGCGGGCAAGCTCTCGTAGGGAATCGAAGTCAGGACACCTGCGGTCATGGACACGCCACTGGGATCAAACTCGTGGGGATAGTCCACGGACTGGACGGACGACCGTTTGGAATGGCGGGATGAGCGAGAGCCGGGGGCGCTTCCAGGAGGCGCCAGACTATCGTGCGAGCCATGCGGGTCGTATCGTTCGTCTACCGACTTCTCTTTGTGCAACTTCCTCCCAAAGAACGACTTCCCAGCGGAGGTCTGTCTCGATTTTTCAGGCGCAGACGTGCTGGTTGGCATCTTGACGAACGTCGCTTGGGAGATGCAAAGCGCAGCATGAGCGAAATCCGCTGAGGAAAGAGTAGGCTGGAAAGAGCGCTAATGATAATCTTTCCTTCCGTCCTAACGACTCGTCCGATTTCCGGGGGTTGTCGTTAATTGAGGATTCGAATGAGAGGAAGAAATTAAGAAAGAGAAAGAGAGAGGGGAAAATAAAAGAAGATCCAAGGCGCCAGCGTAGGACCTTGCACTCCTGAATTGACAAGAAGGAAATTATTATTACCCGCAGCGGAGCGGGCGTAAGAGTAAAAGAGGGAGGGAGGAGGGAGGGAGGAGGAGGGAGGGAGGGGGAGAGAGAAGAGAGAGAGAGAGAGAGGGGGGAATTCCGCCTTCTGAACACCACGGATATTCCCCAAATGTATGTATGAATCGCAAACGAAGGGAAAAAGGCGATCTATTCTGAGTCAAGAGATTCAGATTTCCACCTAGTAGGGCTATCCTACTTCAGCAGTGGAAAATAGAATCCCTTTTAGGATGTGGTTTAGTGGCTGGAGTCTTTTTGCATGTCAGGACTGTAAAGCACGGGGCATCAGGGGGGCGGCATGATTGAAGAGCGGCTCTAGAACACCACCAGTGGCTCTCCCCAGAGTAACAGTACTGCCACGTGATATGATATGATTCTATCTTTTGTCCTGCCACTGCACTTCACTGCACGTACACCCTTGACCGCCTACCATTCTCAGCCCTGGGTACTAAGTTACTTGAAGGTGGGACTGCCATGGCGGTATCACGTGCACGGAGGTTATCGGCGGCCTCATCGGAGCAGGTGAGTGGAAAGAATAAAATAATAGCCAGAGCAGACCATGTGCTGTTCCACTGTGCTGTTAATTTTCCCGGATGGTTGAACTTCTGTATCTGTGGAGATCTCTGGTTACTATGGCAGTTTAACTTTCTGTCTTTTGGGGATTGGATCACACAGCCTTGCGTCGTGCATTGTTCACCCGCTTGCGATTGCTGCTGCCTTCTCCTATTCCTCCTCCTCTTCCTCTTCCGCTTCCGCTTCCTCTATCTGCTGGGGAGTAGACGATACACGACAAGCGCCGATTTCCTCGGGCCCGGACGGACACTTTCAAGCCAAGATGGGTTCCGCATCGAATTTTGCAAAGGTGAACCTCTTCCTCCATCAGTCCTCATATCTGACTCGTCACGGCCCTAACAGACGGCTTCCTTGCGCAGACGATGGTCATCCCCGCGGTGATCTCGCTCACCCTTTATCTCCTTTTCTCCTTCGTGATCATCCCCTTCTTTCGACGTTATCATCAACGATACTCGCAGTATCTGCCGCTCCACACGATCTCCGCCCACACGTTGACCCTTCGGGACCGCATCGCCGATGCCATCATGCGCCGGTTCTTGCCCTCATCGTGGCAGCGGCAGCATCTAGCCGACCAGGACGACAACATCAGTATATACGATGAAGAGGGCGAGATTATGGTGGGGATGGACATGAATGTAGAGCGAAGAGGAGCCCTCGAACGGCAACGCAACTCAGTCGTCGACTCTGGGAGACGACTCAGTCGGGAACTCGAGGCCGGGTTCATGGATGACAGTGAGGACGAGGAAGAGGACCATCCGCAGTCTCGACGCTAGTTTTGGCAATAATCCGCTTCCCATGTCTTAATACCTATAGAGATATTTACGGAATGCTGTCACTAACTCACTCCTACATGTCACTGAGGATGTCATCACATCTTTGCGCAGCCAGCTGGGCCACAATATCTACAGTGCTCGAAGTGGAAACCACCCGTATAAGTTATGTTATGTAGCCAAGTTAATTTTAAATTAGAGTCTAGTAGGCTGAAGCGGCCATTGACTCGCACAGAACAGGTGCTGCATGAATACCGCAACTCCGGATGAATGGGTCCATTGCGGCGGCACGGGGGATTTATCTTATTGCGGAAGGAATCCAGATATAGACTACTGTCAAGGCGTCGCCAGAAAAGTCTATGTCAGTGCTCAACATTCCAAACTTACGAAGGTGTGGGGCAGCTTCGGAAACAGCCCGATGCCATGCGCAAAGAAATTTCACTGAAGATATTTGTATTTTGAAGGTATCATAAATAGCTAAATCGTCAAGGAGACGTTCAAACCAGGAACATCTGCCGAACTATTCGAGTCATGTATTTCATATTAATGTCCTCCGGGGTTTAAGCCTTGTTGCGCTGACCGTAGGCGCGAGTGACATAGTCACCATTGTGGACGATGAGGTCCTCGTTTCTGTAGTCGTGGCGACCGGAGAAGTAGCTCTCGAGAATAGCCTTGGTGCCGTTGGCATAACGGATCTGGGCGTCGATGGAGGTACCGGACATGTGGGGAACCATGGCGTTGCCGCCGCCCCAGGGGCCCTGGACGTAGCGCAGAGGGTGATCCTTGGGGGCGGGCTGAGGGAACCAGACATCACCTCCGTAGCCTCTCAAGTGACCAGACTTGACGGCCTCGGCGACGTCCTCCTTGACAACGATGGCACCACGAGCGGTGTTGATGAGCCAAGAGCCTGGAGAGTTGTATTAGTGTCTGAGATTCTATGCCGATTCGAAAAGAGGCATCTTACCCTTCTTCATCTTGGAGATGAGGTCCTTGTTGAACAGACCACGAGTCTTCTCGTGCAGAGGGCAGTTGATGGTAACGACATCACACTGAGCGAGCATCTCCTCGAGGTCGTCAACACGGCGGCAGCCGATCTCCTTCTCGACCTCAGGGGAGAGAGGCTGGTAGTCGTAGTAGAGCAGCTCCTTGCAGTCGAAAGGCTTGAGACGGCGCAGGACACGCTCACCGATGCGGCCGACAGCGACAGTTCCGACGACCTTGTTCTCCAAATCGTACTCGTTCTTGGCAACGGCAGCAACGTCCCATTCGCCGTTACGGATCTGCTCATGGGCAGGAACGAAGTTGCGGACCAGGGTGAGGATAGTCATGACAACGTGCTCCGCAACGGAGACAACATTGCAGCCAGTGACTTCGGCAACAGTGATACCGCCATTGGTCTTGTTGGCGGCGTTGAGGTCGACGTGGTCGGAGCCAACACCGGCAGTGACGGCGATCTTGAGGTTCTTGGCCTTGGCCAAACGCTCCGCGGTGAGGTAACCGGGGTGGAAGCTGAACCGACCGAGTTAGTGGCTAAAAGTGTTGCTTGGGGGGGGGGGGGGGGGGGGGGAAAAAAAAAAAAAAAAAAAAAAAAAAAAAAAAAAAAAAAAAAAAAAAAAAAAAAAAAAAGGGTGGTGATGATGACTTCGGCATCAACGAGCTCCTTGTCGAAAGTGGAGTTCTCACCCTCCTTGTCAGAGGTGGTGACCAAAGTGTGGCCCTGGTCCTCCAGCCACTTTCTCAAACCAAGCTCGTTCTCAGTGGTACCCAGAAGACCAGGCTGCTGCTTGGCGTGCTCACCGCCCTAATCATTGTTTGTTAGTTGATGTTTTGTCGTCATTGATGGATCAGGGCCGAGGCCGAAGCCGAAGACGGACTTACGTCATAGAGAACCATAAGAACCTTGCCCTGTAGATTGGCCGAGGCGGTTAGCGTACGTGCACCAGCAATGTTGGCCAAAGGCGATGTCCGAAAGGGACTGCTGCCCGCCGATGCGAGAGGGCCTCTGCTCGAAAGAAGAGAAGTCGCAGGCCGTCGAAGTTGACGGGAGACGGAGCGCATAAATACCATTTTGAAAGAGTAGAGTCAAATTGACTGATGATTTGATGGATGGATTGAGTGAGAGAGAAAGAACTGAAGGATCTTGTAGACCTATAAAGCGGAGGGTCAGCTTGCCATTATATATACCCAGTAGCGATGAAAGAAGTTGGAGAAGGCAAGGTAAGATTCTGGCCCGCAGCCACCACCAGCGTTACGGCCTGCCAGTGATCGGGAGCCTTTGCGAGCTGGATGCAATGCAACAAGGACGAGCGGGGAACGATGACAGACAGAAGTGGATACCAAACTGCCTGCAATAATACTGCACTGGCTGGCTAGGAAGAAAATCTCCAAAAAAAATAAAAATAGAAAATAAAAAAGCTGCAGACTGCACTGCAGGCAAGAATTGTCTCAACAACGACGCTGAGGGGAAATCGACTTACCGAAAGCGGGATGGAAATTGATTAAGCGTGGACCTTGGTAGCAAGGAAGACAATGGGAAGATGACCCAAGAATGATGATAAGATGAGATGATAGGAGAGACACTGATGGGAAGTCAGAACTTAAAGGGCGGGGAATTTGGCCAAATTTATAGGTCCATTTTCATACGTTCTCACCGAGTTGGCTTTCCCCCCTCACTCTCTCTCGTGATTGTACTGTACTACTGTACTGATTGTACTTGATGGATACCTTACCTTAGGTACTACCCCATTATTGCTATTCTAGGTAGGGTACAGTACACTCAGGGCTATCCGTTCCTCCGTCTTCCGGCGAGAGGGAGCGGAGGAGGGGAGGGGAGGGGAGGGGAGGGGAGGAGAGGGGGTGTCGCAGGCAGGCAGTGTGGGTATGGGTACAGTACAGTAAGACTCGGAAAGAGGGGTGGATCAACTACCACCAGCCAACCTTGAAACCATGGCAGATGGCAGATCATCCCAGTTAGGGGTTCACCAAGCTTTCTCCGCACACGGAACTCCCTCCCGTCTTTGCGGTCGTTAGGTTGACAGTCAATGCTATGTAAATTAGTACTAAACTCAAGTACTCCGTAAAGTGAAATGGTCAGAGTAGTTAGACTATCCTGGAACTCAATCCTCGATTACAGGGAGCGATCCGATCTGTCGGTGCACGTTTGTATCACCCTATTATCTAAACAATCAATGTACACACACAGTACACTACACATACGATGTCTCTATGCTCCAAGGGTACAAAGCTCATGCGGGGATCTGGAATGCAATGCAAATGTAACTACGGAGAAGTTACAGAGTACAGTAGACTACAGTAGCCGTGGTGAGCCGATGAGGGGGAATCCGAGCAAGGGCCGAGCCTGTGCCAGATAACTCGGAGCTCGATACGGCTCAGTACTGTACCTGGCAGGGCGATCAGCAGCATTGCCGCGGCGCTACTGCAGAGTTGAGTCGGGACTACGACTAGATTATGAATGGATCTTTTGTCTCGATTTAGACAATCAACGGACAGAATTACTGTTTTGTCTGGCTGTCAGTTGGGTACCTAGCACGGAGAATGGACTGGAATCTTACCTACCTGGTAGTACCATCCGTTCATCCATGATTGTCCCGCATTCCACCCAGTTCGGATAGCTCCATCTTTTCCCCTCACGAGGGGAAGACTGCCTGTCATAGCATGGCGGAGTGAGGGGTAATTTTGACTCCTCATGAGAAAGTCTCCCCGCATGGCCTCCCAAATGCTGTCTCTCATAGCAGGCCAGGACCCCATGTGAAAATGCTGCGGGCGAAAAGTCGCTTCATTTCATTCTGTGTAGCTCAGTACAATATTGACACACAGAACAGACATGTATGTGTCTACTAGAGCTTGACTCTCCCCTTACATTGAGTTTCGTCGTGGGGTGGTCAGCGCAAGCGCAGTCCGATAACCGATAACTAACAAATTACTGACGACCCAAGCTTGAGCGTTCTTCTACCTTCCCCCCGACCGAAGCGATTTTTCCCCCAAATGCGATTCCTCCACTTCCTGGAAACCGAAATTCGACCGCATTATCTCCGGCACTGGTTCTCTGGGAGAGAATCTTCAAGTGACGTTGATGTCCTGGAAGAGAACCACATTGGAGTCTCCATAATTTGAGACAGACGTCACGCCCGACCCCGACCGCGGCGGCGGCGGCAGCATGAGGGGAAACCATCCGTCTGTTCCCCACCACCAGCGTGTCTGCGTGTCTGCCTCATTGCCCACACCCATTGCCCTGCCGGTCTTGCCGCATCACACGATACGCCTGTCTGCTCGTTGACCCGAACTGTTGAAACGCCCCCCTTCGGACTCACGAAGCGCTTGCGATGCCCGGTGGCCAATACACAGTACCGGGCGAAAGCGCCCTTGTTCAAGGTGTCGCAAGCTTCAAACTTGGGTGGAATCTCTACTGATTTCGAGACAACAATGTGCACGAACCACAATTTTTGTTTCGCTTCTTGAGTTCGGAGTTGGTATATTCTATTCACCCCATTAGGATGTCTTCTATCTATAGTACAATTTTTCCGAATAATAGGCAGCGTATGCTTCGCGTGAAACACGGAACATGATTCGAAGCTTCTGGCGATATGATGTCGCTTCTAAAATACAACATTGACCACCTTGCCGCCTTTGACAACAATTACTCGTCGCCGCTTTTCCCAGTCGTTCTTCTCCCGCAGCCATGTTCGTCCTTCGTCGGTTTCTAGAATGCGACTGATAATCCAGTCTTGTTCATCTGTGGTGTTCGCGTTGGCTTCGGTGGTCGTGGGCGAAAGTCGCTGTGGGATGTTCACACTGAATCGCAATTTCCCGTTAACTTGAACCGCAACAGTCTGCCCTCCTCGTGCGGACAGTATATCGGCCTCGGCGGGAGCCAAAAGGGGTGTGGGCCAGTTGCAGTCGAATATACTTGGGATAGCTGCCGTTTCCGAAGCGGCGTCGGCTGAGTTCCGCGTCACCACCGAGCCGTTTAGGATCTCCCAGCACTCGGAGGCAAGAGCCGGAGCAATTGGCGAGAGTAGACGAAGTAGGGACGAAACAGTCAGGTAGAGAACTTCGGGTGAGGTGGGGGTGGATGATACAAGAGCATTGGTCAGCTTGGTCAGGTCAGAAACGACGGTGTTCAGGCCATAGCGATTGGTCTCAATGCAGTTGGTGACGGAACATATGGTTCGATGTGTGGTAAGGAGAGCGTTAGCATCACCATCAGCCAGGCGTTGGAGGGCCCCGGGCAGCGCAAGCGCATGGCCGGAAGATGCCTTCAAGTCCGATATGCCCAACGCAATTGATGAAGAAGACAACGTTTTTTGGGTGTCAGTAACGAGCTTCCAGAGCCGGCCAAACCAGCGCTCCATACCAACAATCTTCGTCTCGTCCCATTCCAGCACCTCGCTGACCGGGGCGGAAAAGAGGACATGGGCGCGAATAGTATCTGCGCCATACTTCAAAGCACACCCAGTCGGGTCGACACCGTTGTGCTTACTTTTCGACATCTTTTCAAAGGATATCGCTGGCGTAACTTGCGTTCCTTTGATAAGTGGTTTATCTGGATTTGACAGGTCCAGCTCGGAAGGAAGGAGGAATTTGCCTGTAGATGGATCCGAGAATGTCTTGCCATGCACCATACCCTGTGAAAGGAGGGACTTGAAGGGTTCAAATGGACCCGATACATTTCCAGCGCGAGCTAACTCTGGAAATAATTCGGACTCTGAGAGAAATTTGTAGATGAACCGGGCGTAGAGAAGGTGCAAGATCGCGTGCTCAACGCCGCCAACGTAGATATCAACCGGTCGCGCCACAGAAGGCGAAAAGGGCGATTGTTTGTTTTTTGGGTCCAAGAATCGGAGATAGTACCACGAAGAGTCAACGAAGGTGTCCATGGTATCCGTGTCTCGCTTGGCTGAGTGGCCGCAGCTTGGGCATTGCGTGTACACCCAGTCGTGCGATGATTCGAGAGGGTTGCCCTTCTTGCCCTTCAGCCAGTCGCCTTCGATCTTGGGCAGTTTGACGGGAAGCTGGTCTGACGGGACGGGAACAGGACCGCAACTATCACAATGGATGATGGGAATTGGAGTACCCCAGTAACGCTGTCGGCTGATCAGCCAGTCTCTCAGTCTCCATTGTTCCACAAAGTCCCCGCGGCCAACTTGCTTGAGATCGTTAACGATCTGCTTCTTGGCGTCACTGGAATGTAGATCCTGGTACTTCCAACACATGGAACTGAGATAACCTTCCTGCGTGAATGCTTTTGCGTCATTCGACGAAACGACACTGGTCTTTGATTCGTCTGGCTTGCCTTCCCGTCGAGGCCCGATGACAACAGGTATAGACTCCGGGTTCACGTTCTCCTTGAAAAACGCAAGATCTCGAGCATCGTGGCCAGGGACTCCCATCACTGCGCCTTCACCATAGTCACTCAAAACGTAGGGCGCTGCAAAGATAGGTAGCTGCCGAGCAACGTGAGGACTTTCCTTATCAATAACATGTAAAGGATGGGAGGCAGTCAGGGTAGTCAATTTGTAGCCAACTTTCGAATCTGCTGGAAGCGAAGCAGCAGTGTCGAGGAACTTCTGCAGCTCAAAGTCCTTCTTCGCGGACTCTAGGACGAGGGGATGATTCAGAGACAAGGCGAGGTACTCAACTCCGTAAAGAGTATCCGGTCGTGTTGTGAACACACCGATGTCAGTACTTGCGACTTGCTTGCCATCAATGGCGACTGGGAATCGGATGTTCGCGCCCTGCGACTTTCCTAGCCAGTTTCTCTGCATTGAGAGCACACGTTCCGGCCATTCGCCAGACAAGGAGTCCAGGTCCTTGAGGAGCATTTCCTTGAAAGCTGTAATACGAAAAAACCACTGTTTAAGTTTCAGTTTTTCGACCTTCGCGCCGGAGCGCCACGAGCAACCGTTGGCATCAACCTAGTTCCGCGGTCAGTCCAACGGCCATGAGGGCTCCTAGCATCTCAACACCCACCTGCTCATTCGCGAGTACCGTTCTGTCTACGGGATCATAGTTCACGACCGCTTCATCCTGATATGCGAGGCCCTTCTCGTATAGCATTAAAAATATCCGTTGCGTGTGTTCGTAGAATTCCGGTGAGCAAGTCGCGAATTCCTGCATGTTCGAGTAAACATCAGTGTTGTTCTCACGGTAGAGAGAAGAGCATCAGAAAGAGGTGGAAATTTCTGGTAAACACTCACAGACTCCCAGTTGAAAGAGGTCGATATGCTCCGTAACTGTTCCTTCATCTTCGACATATTGCTGTTGGTCCATTCCGCCGGGTCTATCCCCCGCTCAATCGCCGCATTCTCTGCTGGCAGCCCGAATGCATCCCACCCCATTGGATGTAGAACATCGTGTCCTCGCATGCGATAGAACCGAGCCAGCACATCTGAGATGGTATACACCCGCAGATGGCCCATGTGTAAGGTTCCCGACGGGTAAGGGAACATAGACAGAACGTAAGACTTGGGCTTCGCTTCTGTTCCCTGGGTATCTCCCGCAGCATTGCGTTC